ATATGAGCGATTAATGTTGCCATAGTAACATAACAGTACATTAACATTTTAAGTAGGTGTTTAATTTGAATCTACTACAGAATGTAACATAAATAATTCATAGTCCCGTTGGTCTGGCTCTTTCAGTGGCATTGTGACTAAAGATGGATAGCAGCCAGATGTTTCTACTTCTGATACACACACAGAATACATTGATTGAAAACCGAATCATTTACCTTCCTATAAAGATGCACCCCATACATTTTTATACATAATTATGGAAATCAAATGAAGAGCCCAGGGGAATATCGATCTAAGTCACTTTTTCCATAAACCCCAGTTAATGGCGCCATCTGGTAGCAAATTGTGTAAGCTTTCTGTGGAACAATCAATTTCAGGTAAAAACAAGCAGCGTCACATCGAACCAGGGCCTCCTGTAATGACCCGCCAGTTGTTTCATGCATTCTTCTCGTCTATAAGTTTTCAACGTTTTATGCGAAAAGACAAAATGTGACTTAGATCGTTCTTCCCCTGGACTCTTCAAATGTTGTGTCGAGGACATGGTAGGCTTATTGTTTTGGACCCAACGTTTGACAAAATTTAATTAGTTTCGTTATTTTTATAGTTAAGAATTTCGTTTTACTTGTCTTCACAACACTAGGATCTGGAAGTGTTGTTATATAACCCGTGTTTTGGTTGCAGTGAGGGATTAGCCAATGAAACGATCTGTTACGGCGACTTGCTGGCGTGCGATGCACGAAACTGTGGGCAAACTATCAAAAACGTCAACGCTGATTGATTAATCAATGTCTGTGACGTGATAGGGTCAAAAGCCGCTCGTACGACCCCTGACGCGACCTCCCACTAAAACCGGTCAGATCTTCATCTAGTGTAGGACATCGAAAGTATAAAAAACAAACGAAATATGGTTCTGTATTTTAATGTGCTAATAATGAAAGACTCATTAAAAAGGATCGTGATAGTGTCCGTCAAATTGCCCTGTTGGGCAAATCATACAAATTTTCCTATGAGACGCCCACACTCACTTTAGGTCAAATAATTTAAAAGGAGCGAAAATCATTTATATCTTGTAGATCTCGGCAGACTAGAATATGCCATTTATTAGTATTTTTGGGAAATATCCCAACTCTCTGTTATTAACCGTTTCTAATTTGATCTCAGTTGCAAGGGGAGGGGGGGGGTAGAGTGGGGAAACTATTGTATGATTTAAGCTATGAAAGTTGGGATACTGTTTTTAATTAACAACTGATCTACCACGGTATGTCCCCGTATCTATAATAGAAAGTCGAGTTATAACAGATATAAGTATTCATATAATGTACAGTATTATAGTGATTGATGGACTATACCACCATAGCGCCAATATTATTTGGCAAATCTGGCTAAAAGTCTGTGTTTATACGACGGTAAATGTGTTTTCATATAGGGACTATGTTGAATAGTATCCTTTTATAGTTTATTTTTCAAATCTATATTTTGGGAAAACCGAGCCCGTATTAATACGATTGCCGATTGCGAGCTTAGAATATTTCTTACGTCGTTGTGAGTTACCGGATGAATTTGTGGTTGGTATATGTGGTTGCTCTATAATCTCTGTAATGTAACATACAATGACACTTTTCTCTGATCTTTCCATCCTCTTTTTCATGAATACCTCCTCATCGTCCTGGATGCATACTTTTTATATACAATGACACTGTAAACGGTTGATATATAACTTTAATATCAAGATGCAAAAGTAAAAACATATTAATTTTTATTTGTGATCTATCCAAAGTGTAACAGCCAGTAATGTCTAAAATAGGGATGTCATGACCAACAGAGTTATTACCCTTTGTTCCAATTGACATTTATTTATGACATTTTTGTATACATGTATGCATATTAATCTGCATAATTAAAATGCATCTTTGTTTTCCATTTTACAAAAGCATTCAATGATGCACTATTTAAGATTTAGAAAAAGATCGGTCTGTTCTTGCTATAATCATTCAATAAAAGATCATGAAAAGGGAATATATATTGAAAATTTAAGTCAAATTAGTTTACTCTGAGTGAAGTTAAGAGTGTTCGAAGCTTTGACAAGAAATATCTGATTTTTGAGTCGTCATGATAACAAACTAAGTCTCGAATTGTCAGTCCTTTTCTTGAGTAATGTCCATTTCAACGTTGCTCGATTATATGGCGCGGATGGTCCAATCCATTCAATATGCTAGACAGCCGATGATCTAGAGAGTTGATTATGGCTTTGTCATGTGAATAAATGTCTAAAATAATTTACATAGCATTTTAAGTCAGACAAAAGACTGTCAGATTTAGTTCTTTCATAATGCATCTTTAATATTATATCATCTTGGAACATCTTCTTTATAAAGAATTTTCTTCGGGAATTTTTTTTGAATATTTTTTATGCAGTTAACTAAAGAAAGCTGAAACATTTGATGTTAAGCAATTTGATTATAGCTATCAATTAATAAACAATACTTGTTCAAAATGGCAGAACCTATAGCCAATTATCATTGGTAATGCATTTTACACTGTCGATATAACATGAAAGTTTATAATCCATAAGTCGACTTTTCTATATAAATATTATGACAAGAATGTAATAAATGGCTGTCATGGCAACCAATAGTTACTGTTGGCAACGTTTCTTACTGAGGAATGGGGTTTATATTAGTTACCATGGTAATAATCATTACCAATACATTGTTCATGTTTTAATACCTATTGTATTTATAGTTCTTGTTCTACATATGACTTTGTGTTTTGGTGATGTGAAATGTGGTTAACATATTGATAGACATGCAAAGTACAAATCATTTTGTCCTCACCAAAAACTTTGTTTAAAGGGCCAGCAAGTAAAAAATAAATCAACTGGTTAGTTTAAGATTATATTCAAAGCGAAGACAATATTTTAAAACGCCCATTCATACAGGTGCATAGTGATTTTGACTAGCTTTCTTATCGGTTAACAAGGAATTAGTCAAGATTATTCTGTCTTATCTGTTTGATGAGAATCCTTACAGCGACGTCAAGAGAATGCCTGGCCCCGACCCCTCCCCTTTTGTTATAAATATGTTTTAGTATTATGTATATTCTTGTCTTCTGCTACTTTGTCCTTTTAAATTGTGGATTGCTATATTCATAAACTTCTGACTTCAGGGTCAGTATAAAGAACTTGGTATAACCCGTGTCACTATTAATGTATATTTGTCCCTTTCATAATATTCACTGATTAGCGAATTATAACGAATCTCTTAGAAACAGACGGTCCTTAGGTTAAAATTTGATGTTGACTGCAAATTGTAATACATGTAGTAAAACACAGATAGGTATTGACAACAGACAAATTGTTGACAAAACGGAAATGGATTGGGATTTAAAGCCGTACTGTTCTGTACCGACTGGGCTAATGAAGACGGGCATACACCATGCAATGTGCTATGAGGGGAAAATTTGCGCTTCGGTCTACTCTTATTTCGAAATCCCACTGGCAAGTCTTCTTCTTTTACGTACACGCTAATGCGTACACGCTAATGCGTACACGGGACTTTACGTTGTCCATTCAATTCCCTCCATTCTACACCACCGACATGGGTGAATCACGCCGGATAAATCCCGATGAACTTTCTAGGCCAACGCAGGTACCGGACACGGTACCTCCACGTTAGCGAGCCGACGTCTTACCACTGAGCCACCTTAGATTCTCTGAAACGGTCTTGGTTACAAACGGTCCTACTAATCACCGACAAGAGAGTTATTTTCGGGAGACAAAAGCGCCCCACGCATTACAAAGACTGACGACAAGGAAAGATGGATACTTCTAAACATCACATCCTTATATGCATGTTTTACACTACAAGGGCGGATCCATAGACCATGAATAAACGGGGAGGGGTGCACGAGCGGCAAAGGCACTCGCTGTGAGCACCAAAGGCGCGAAGCGCACAATACGGGCTCCGGGTGGCGTCCCCCCCCCCGAAAATTTCGAAACCTAGAAGCCCAGAAATAATGAATTATAATGGGACTTTTTCAATCAGAAATCTAGGAAAATAGTTCAGGTAGAGACAGGCAGTGGGAACAGTTTCTTCGAGAACTAATGAACAGCAAAACGAAATTAAGAAAATTAGTTTATTAAAACACCTGAAACACGAACTACTGGTGTAGATCGAAGCCGTCATTGTACATTACGATCTGTGACTCGTACATAATTGAGTCGGCCCTCGCGTGTGCCGACCGGTGCGCCCCCAGGATTCAGATGGGAAGTGGCTGGGGTGCCGAACGTGCGCCGGATGCGCCACCACTAGACCCATCGCACACTGATCAGCAGTGAATATTCGCTAGGCCGCTACAATCACTGATAAGGATGACATCCATGCGACTTAATGAGCCACAAATTTAAATTCTAAAACATTTTTTTTATGTATTAGAAAAATAAATAAAACCATTTGAAGTATTTGTAGGTAAAAAATATTTCCTTTTTATGTATTAGAAAAATAAATAAAACCATTTGAAGTATTTGTAGGTAAAAAATATTTCCTATTTAGTGGAAATGGGTATTAAAATGAGTAAAAGGCACCATTCTGCCCGAATCAGTAACCTCTTATGTAAACAATGCACGCGCCATTAAGCCAATGATTGATGCCGCGTGATGTGACGTCACGTGTTGAAGGCAGTCATCTTTTACAGAGATCTTAGAAGACTTTCGTAATTCTCTGTGAACCAGAGAGAGAGAGAAATGGGGTTTAACGTCCACTCGACACAAACTAGGTCATTTCGGGACTAACATATGGTTTAATTTCATTTCAATAATTCGCTTGCGCGTAGGGGTCTTTAGCAGTGGGAGGAAACCGGAGGACCCGGAGAAAACCCACAAGGTTGGACAGGCGACCCTACTCTCTGTGAAACAGATTGGATCCGCACTTTACTATGCTCAAATTCATTACTCTTCGTCAATAGTATCATTAGGTATAATGTCTTATGTTATGTCGTTTCAGATCCGGAAGAAGTCTCAAGCAAATGACTTAGGCCTTCAAGAGGGAGATTCACTTATCAGTATCAATGGTATCTCAACTCGAGGTAAAAGTCACGAGGAGGCCATGGAACTGATAGATTCGGGTGGCACCAGGTTAACCCTTGAACTTATCAGGTAAATAAAATAAAACAGAATAAAATCACTTTATCAGTAAACATTTGATAAAAACACATTCCTTGCCTTTCAAAACCGAACAATCGGAATTGAAAGTTTGTGCTTTCTCTAGAAAGAATCTTAGATTTTTTTAAAAGCATGTGTTATTTGATTGGGAGCTTAAAGGTTGGGAAAACCATCCGCTTTGCCATGTTCCTGAAGCAACGACTGCGATTTTCACAACACCTTGCCGTTGCTTGTTTACTTCACAATTCCCGAACTGATAGCGTCCAATCAGAGGTTGTGACATCGCGACCTCCACGGAAACCTTGACATTGAATGAAGCTTGAACTTTGCAACTCGATTATCACAGGTAGGCATTTTAGCTTGAACGTGCGAGACTTGGTATTCGCGACGATCGAGGAATCTGATAGGCTCACCCAATCGAAATAAGTGCCGCAATATGCAGGGTATTACGTGAAGACCTTGATACGATGTACGTAGTTAAAGCGAGATCAAGCCTTCTATCATCGGATTTCTCGATGATACCATGATGACTTGTGAAAATTTTAAATTTTGAATGTTGTATATTAGCTTCACTTCTGTCCGTCCCTTCGCCCGTCGGTATGTCGTTTATATTATTCTTCAGCACAAGAGACTACAAGAGTTATGCCCCCTTGTTACGAAATGTTGTTTGAACTTTATAGGCTGTTTAACCGATCTCCATGAAATTTATATTGTTTGTATATCCTATTGAGAGGAAGAACCCTATTTTCAACGATTTTAAATAACTTCTCGAGCTATTTTCTTTTTTTTACGAAATCTTGTTGCCGTCTGAGAGGGTTTAATTATTATTTGATCTTATTGCTATTTTGTTGTCTAGCTCATAACCCCACGGACGATAACTGCTGGCAACCAATGTTTATCATTGAGTCACAGACAAAGCTTCTTGTGTGCGTATGTTTCGTTGCTTGGCAAGCTATGTTACGATCAATGTAAACGCTATTGGGGAAACCATGTGCTGTGAGCGTATGTTCCATTTTCTGCATGGCAACCTGACTTTAAAAATGGCAAGAGTTTTCCTGAATTTAAAACTAAAATCGTCTGTACACAACCGAAGTCCTTTTCCTTTTTGCCTCTTCGTTTTCGTTTGACCTGGTATGACGTGATCCTTGATAACAATGCTAAGGCCATGACAATTCATTATATGGATAATTCGGAAAATGATATCATAATTAATAATGACTACGTAATACAAGTGAGGATACAGGAATGAGGCGATGTGTGTGTGTGTGTGGGGGGGGGGGGGGGGCGTACCTATAACATTATTGAATCACCACTGTTGGCATTACAGATACGTGCCGATTAACCTCAAACCGATTTTATTTAAGTAAGTTTTGGGGACCAGTAACTGGGTGTGAGCGTGGATAAAGGACCACTCTGCCCAAACCCCCTCTAGATCCGCCCATGGCAAAACATACTCTTTATTGAAATTGTTGTATATTTTGGCACACGTTAGTGTAATGGTTGCTATATATCTGTAAATGTCATGAATATACTATGAATAATTCCACCCTACTTATAACATACATTATTATCTAGAAGTAGATATAATTCTACTAACAAAATGGTAGAAACTATTAAGGGAAGTAACAATTGAGTAGAAGAGTTTTAGTAAAGAAGTTAACCTTTATTTATATTAAGACCTGATCAGTTGTGATAATAAACTATGATATAAACAATACAAGATGTATTGTAAGACGATGGGGAGAATATAATGTGGGGTAATCTGATACATCATACCTAATGTTGTAGAAGGCGGTATTATTACCGTGTTAGTGCACCAGATTCCTATAATGACAAGCGCCAGCAGCTATCGACCTTTTGAAGATTGTGAGACACGCCAGGTTATTCGTGTTTCAGTTGGCTGTAGTAGCATGTTTCGTCCTTCATGCCACCATGGAAGCTTTCGTACCTCGCATAGTGACCTGTTATGCACAATATTATGATAGGTGAAGTGTTATGTGATGTTCTGTGTATAATTAAGAATGTGTGTTCCATATGGATTAAATTTATTCGTATTCGGGAATTAATGCAGAATGTTCTATGTGTTTTTGATTTATGCATTTGTTTTTCCTTCTTTTTATTTCTAGGAGCAACTTGAACGCACCCGAAGTTGGAAATACTCCTCTGTCATTTGGATCGTATGTAAATGGTCACTCAACACCAACTCAGCCGACATACCCTACGTCTTCCTCATCTTTTCAGTCGTTTTCGACGGGGGATACCCAGAATTCAGTTCAAACTGACATCTACCGACAACAAGATGGAGGGCGGGAAACAAACACGTTTGTCAGGCAGGAGCAGACACAGACGTTTGCCCCCAAGCCATGGAATTCGACCATGTACCAAAACCAAATACCAAAGCCTTTCAGCCCGTCGTCGTCTTTCTCTCCAGCACCTCAAGTACAAGTTTCAGCCATGTACAGTAATGCAGAAGTAAAGGAAAATGTTCCACCACGTCGACTTTCACTTCAAGCAACGTCTAACCGCTCTCCAAGATATGGTCCAAGACCAACTTCACCAACAGGCGACAGAATGCCAACGTTAAACGTTTGGGCACTAAAAGAAATGCCAAAATACACAAGACCGGCTCCCAAACCTGTACCTAAACGTGTAGTAGAAGCACCACCAACGTTTCCTATAGTACCTGTGAAGAAACCAGTTCCTGCTCCAGCGCCGCCACCACCACCGCCACCCCCTCCAGAACCTTCACACGATCCACATTTATTTGCTCCTCCAGTTGAAACAAGCTTGGGCACTCCGAATCCAAGATTAACAGACAGTGGGTACTTTGGATCCCCTTTCACTCACAGACCCCACAATCTTGCATTGGAACGTACATTTAGTTTAGAGAGTGATATTTCGAGTACCTCCTCTGCACTTGGACGTAGTAAGTCTGCCTTTACACCCTAGCACACCCTCGTTTATATAAGATGCAAGTGGTACACGTATCACCATGGTTTTTATTATTACATGACGTAAGTAATGATTTCGTCATAACCACATGTATAGATATATCAGTATTTCCCTTTATAAATGTCAGCAGTGGAATTCATGCCGGCCTATCTGTAAATCTGCAAGATCTTACGAATTCACCCTCTATGTTTCTTGACCTATACGTTCCTATGCACCACATTTTGCAAGATTTATTTTGCATGCTATTTATATTTATAGTTAGATTTTCCATAGCTCGTCTCACGTTTATATTGAAGTTAACGATAAAATATCAGATTGATAAAATATTGAAGTTAAAGATAAAACATTAAGAGTTAAAGATAAAATATTGAAATGAACAATAATATCAGTGTGATAAAATACTGAAGTTAAGTAAGAGAAATATAAAATATTGAAGTTAGGTAAGTTAAATATAAGTATTAAATTTAAGTAAGTTAGATATAAACTATTAAATTTAAGCTTAAGTTAGATATAAAATATCAAATGTAAGCAAGTTGGATACAAACTATTAAATTTAAGCTTAAGTTAGATATAAAATATCAAATGTAAGCATGTTGGATACAAACTATTAAATTTAAGCTTAAGTTATATATAAAATATCGAATTTAAGTAAGTTAGATATAAACTATTAAATTTAAGCTTAAGTTAGATATAAAATATCGAATGCTAACTGATTAAATTTAAGTAAGTTAAATATAAAATATCAGATTTAAATATAAGTTAGATATAACAAATTTAAGTAAATTAGATATAAACTAGTAATTGTAAATAGGTTAAATATGAAATGGGCAGATTTAGCTCTCTTACATAATACCTTTTAAATAAGTTAAATATGAAATATCAAAGTTAAGTAGGTTAAATATAAAAAATGAAATGGGGTTTAACGTCCTACTGTTCTGCTCCTAACCTGGGCTAATGAAGACGGGCATACGCCATACAGTGTGCTATGAGGGAAATTTTGCCCGGACAGCGGCACTACGGCCTACTCTTATATCGAATTCCAACTGCCAAGGGATCTTTTACGTGCACGCCAATGTGTACACGGGACCTCGGTTTTTCGTCCCATCCGAACGACTAGACAGCTTTCCTTGTCAGCCCCTCCGTCCTGCATCACTGACAAGGGAGAACCACGCCGGAAAATCTGGATGAACTTTCTCGGCCAATGCAGGGATCGAACACCCGACCTCCAGGCTAGCGAGCTAGTGTCTTACCCACTTAGCCACGTGATCCCCAGGTTAAATATAAACTATATAAGTTAAGTGAATATACAATATAAAGGCCAAGCAAGTTAAATATAAAATGTGGAAGTTATTATCATATTCTATGAAATGTGATAAAACCATTGAAAAACAAATAATGGGGTTTTCTTGAGCTGAACTGTTTCTGTCGAAAAATGACCCCAATGAACTTTTCTGTATTAGGTACTAGGATCTATTGCAAGAAAACCCCAAACTTTTATTTAAAAAGAAATAAAACGCTAAAGCTTGGTCGGTCACTCTGTTGGGATTGTTTTAGTTTATTTTTACAAGATACATTAATATTGATAAATGATAATGTTTCTCAAGCTACGGGATTACTTTTAGCCGTGGAAATAATAATCAACATAAAATTACTGTGTTTATATTTCCAACTGTAAGAATTATACAGTCTATTAGAGAAATTTTACATATGGTAATGCTGATCTATGTCTACTAGATACATTGCTTAAATAAACCATCTAATATGTTATTAATTAACTAGTACATCGATGAACGGTTCAAAGCCATGTCAAGGACTTGATATCATATTGGTCTTTATCCAGTACAACTGTGGTTTTATATCTTTATATGTAATCTTACACAATCTCTTTTCCATAAATTGGCTACGCATGTGATATTTAGCCTTAATTAGTTTCTCGTATGTCTTTACCTTCAGTGAAAGCATGCAACTTTCATTTATCTTTCAAACCATTGCTTTATTTACATTGGTATACATACTTTTCTTATAGCATGAAATTTGAGTCCAAGATAATTCAGTAAAAGATCTAACATCTCTCAGCATTTCTAAGATACACTTTATTTCATTCTTATATTTTATTTTTTAAATTCTTTATTAATAATTTCAGTTTATATATTTCTTGATACTTGTAACAAATGTTAACACCTTTTAATAATTCTTTCTCTATTTTATGTTTCGTACCTCAAATACTATTCGAATATTTAAATATTTTTGCCTTGTTTCTTGCAGAGAAACTATATGGAGATTCGGCATTTTACAATGACCCGGACAAGAATTTCCCAACGATTGAGGAACAGATGAAATTGTGCAAGGCCATCGCTCAGTCTCTCACATCTGCAGCCAATAAGAAAGCACGAGGTGCAAGGATGTTTGCCAAGCGACAGAAGAAGGCGTCGAATTGGGTGCACGATGAAGTTACCCACGGCAAAGTGTCGTCAATCGGCGGTAGTGATGTCGGTAACCTGTTAGATCTAGATAGTGAGTTGTCTTTTGATGATGGTGGTAGTAAACCACTCTTCTCTTTCCGTGTTCCAGCAGGCTTAAAGAATCGAGTCAACTCACCCGAGTCTACTCCCAAAATGAGTTTAAGTAAGGACGAGTTCGAAAGACTTCGACTTAAATCATCGAAAAACGAACATACAAATGTGTCGCCTAATCAGTGTTTTGATTTAGTTGCTAATTTAAAATCTGGAAAGGGAAGAGGCGCCAAGTTATTTGAAAAACGACAGAAAAAAGCCGAGAAGTGGGTCATCGATGAAAATAATGCCAAAAAACAGACACCTGTGATTCCACAGAATAGATTGGATTCGATGCTCATGTCTCCTCCCAAACCGTACTTATCACCGTGGGAGGCGGCATCTAAAGGCGAGGATGTAAACTCGGCTTTCGAACATTTATCTGAATTTGAAAAACAACAGAGACTGAACCAAATATTAGGATATAAACCTCCAACTCCCAAGGCGGAGACACCCGCACCACGGTCCCAGCCCATAATGCTAACACCAGTTTCACAAACTTCATTAAAGACCGATAATACTCAATTACTTTTGGAGGGACAAAACTTTAACAGAGTAGCTAAAGGTTGGAGTGGATTTGGCTCCTCGTCTGGTAGGTTTATTCTGTAATCACCCCAATTTTAACATTTATACGTAAACTATATAACTTCGACCCCAGATGTAACCCACCCATGTTTTAGTGTTTTGTAAAAGTTCCACCCATTAATAAATTATAACAATGATGTTTTATTCAATGCTATGTATTTGACGATAAAGATTACCGCATTCCTTAAACATACATTATGCAAGAGCTAAATCTGCCAAATGCAAGTCTTTCTGAAAGGTTTTCTAAATTATTAATTAGACATTAATTAACTTATCCAGGTCATAATCAACTCTCGATGGCATCGGCTTTCTCCGATATTAAATAGATTAGAACAGTTCAGCCATATTTTGATTTAAGCTAAAAATGGAGGAGCGAGACTTAGCTTCGAACAACCAATACGGTGGTTGAATTATTGCACACCTCTTGTTAAACCTTCAAAGGCTAATATCTTCGATCGCAATAAAGTAATCTGAATGAAATTTTCAAATTATTCATTTTACATTATCTATTTTCGATCTATTATAGCAAGAATGGCTAGCTCTTTATCTAAATCTTACATAATGTATCTTTAATTGCATACACTTTTTTTCAAAATGCCTTCATTGATGATATTTGGCCAAGTCGATGTATTTTGATTTCTGACACTGGGTTAGTTTTCACTCCTTGGTGCAAACTATATTAAATGGAAGATGTCATGAGAATATATCAGGACGACTGAACCCTTATCACATTCCCCAATAGTTTCGGTTAAGACATCCAATGCTGTTTATTTTGTTAAAATGAAAGTAGATTCTGTTATATAAACCCTTAATGGATCGGTGTGATGAATATAATTACATAAAGTTGTAAGGAACCTTGATTCAAATACAATAACGTTTAACTTCTCTTCTTCACGCTGCAAGGTTTATAAATTAGATTATCATCCAGTCTATGACCAACCGTGTTTTAAAATTATTGATTGTGGCCTGCTCATAATTTTTTATTTACAGATTATTGAAGAGCTTTTGGAATAAAAAAATTAAAGGTCGATGTGTAATTTTAGTCAAAAACGTTAAGTCTCTTTTCTTTGGCGCTACAATTTTTTTTACAATATAAATTAAATAAACTTGTAGTTTTGACCAAACATACTTTTAAGTTATTTGTTATGGCTTGTAATGGCCTGTGCATAATTTCATCTTGACATATATTGAAAGGCTCTTACATTAAAAAAGCAAATTCCTGTGTAATTTCAGTCATTTCGTGATTAGTGTCTGCAATATATTCAATTTTTCATGAATAGATCGCAGCCATAATCAGGCTGTAATCATTAAACAACACACCACACCAGACACCTTATAATTGCATTATTGTCATATATTTTATCACATCTATCCATTAGAATTAGATTACACCTAATTAACAAAACATTTTTATAGTATCTGCAGTCGGTGGCATCGATACTTTGCTATTCCTTTAAGCCATTTAATATTATTTGTGTGTGTGTGTGTGGGGGGGGGGGGATATTAGGTATCGTACTATATTTAATAATACTAAGCTTGTTTATTTACTACAGTATTGTACTATATTTAATAATACCGTGTTTGCATACTTACTATAGTACTATGTATTGTACTGTATTTAATAATGTTTTCTTGCAAAAGAAGAAAGAAATTGGGTTTAACGTCCACTCGACACAAACTAGGTCATTTCGGGACTAACACATGGTTCAATTTTATTTCAATAATTCGCTTGCGCGGAGGGTTTTTTATCAGTGGGAGGAAATCGGAGGACCCGGAGAAAACCAACCGGGTTGGAATGCTTTCTTGCATGCTTATTCCATTATAATGTACTGTACAGTATTTAATAATGCTTGTTTGCATACTTACTACAGTATTATTTATTGTACTTTGCATACTTATTACATTATTATATATTGTACTGTATTTAATAATACTGTTTGTATGTTTACTATAGTATATCATATATTGTACTGTATTTGAATACTTATTATGTATTGTACTTGATTTACTAATACTGTTTTGCATACTTACTACAGTATTATATATTGTACTGTATTTGATTACAAAAAGATTATGGAACGTGTTCATATTTTTTTTAATATACGCCCACAATGCAGGCCCGTAGCTAGCGGGGCGGAATGGGGAATAAGGAGAGTGGGGGCAGCTGCCGAAGGCTCCCTTGCCATTGGAAGCAATACGAAGCCAACGACCAACGTGCCCATATCAGTATGGACGCCCCATAAAGGCGTGTGACATTGATTGGGCGCCCATGACGAGATTCGCGGGGCGCCCAATCGATGTCACTTGTTTTTATGGGCGCCTCGCCAATCATATCGTTATATGTGAGCCCCCCCCCCCCCGCCCAAATGGTGGGGCGCCTCATAATGAACTACACGATTAACACCACAACTTGATTGATGGGGCGCCCAAAACGGCGTGATCTGTGGTGTGCTTTACCCTGGAGGGGCGCCCATAATGACATGATGGTGGCGCACCTTATAATTACAATATGTGATTGTCGGGGCCATGCATAATGCTGAGTGAGATTGGTTGAGCGCCCAAAACGGCATGATTGGTGGGGTGCCTCATCCCGGAAGGTCGCTATTAATGCCGAGATTGGTGGGCCGCCCACGACGAAATCCCCCAAGAGAAAGCCAACTGGAGATTGTAGGAAATTTTCCAGGTCAAATTCTCGATGGAGATTAGATTGATTCAAGCTCGCAAGGTGTGATAATCTTCAAAATTCAAACAAGTCGCACACTAACCCGATTCCGAACTTTTCGTTTTTCTCATAAATTGTTATAGGTACGCTAAAGTCGTATTCCTTCCTTCAAAATTTTATAGTGTTCATGTCAAAATATCATAATACGCCAATATCGAAAATTCAGCCTCAACATTGAAATTTTCCGCCATTTTCATATTTCATAGTTCCTGGTGCCGTTCGCCGTGGACCTTCAAGTGTAGGTACATCGGCGCCCCCAGAAGCCCCTGCCCACCCCCTCCAAATTTTTGGGCTAGCTTCGGGACTGCATTGGAATGCAGTCCTATATTGCGGTCGCCCCCGTCCGTAGATGCTCTAGGGGCTAAAGTTAATATCCAATTGATTTTCCACAATTTCCGATAATTACTGTCAGATTTATAGCCCTTGATCAATTGAAAAATTTTGTGGACGCTCTAGAGGCTAAAGTTAATATCCGATTGACTTTTAATTTATACACAGTGTTTACCTTCCTGAGACGAGAATACTATTGATCTTTAACAATTTCCGATTATTACTGCCAGAGTTTTGTCCTTGATAATTTTGAGAAGTCATGTAGACTCTCTAGAGGCTTAAATTACTATGCGATAGACTTTAAACTGGTACATGAGACGAAGAAAGCTGTTGATTTTCAACGATTTCCAATAATTACTGCCAGAGTTATAACCCTTAATCATTTTGAAAAATCTTGTGACATTCTAGAGAATAAAGTTAATATCCGAATAAATCTAAATTCATACACAGTGTTTCAGGTCATAAGACAAAGAAGCCTAGTGAGTTCCAACGATTTCCGATAAATACTGCCAGAATTATGGACCTTGATCACTTTGAAAAATGTTTTGTATACTAAAAGTTAGGGCAAAACTATTAGAAGGCAAACAAATTCTAATGATTTCTGATAATTACTTAATGAGTTGTTACTCAGAATCAGATTTTAGTGTCTTGTAAATGTTTCCATTTCTGGCAAAAGAAAAATATACGACAACACTTGTTGACTGTGCGGACGACTTAGCTGCTGTGGGCGTATGTTTCGTTGTCTGGCAACTTATCTTTTATATTTTCAGCAAATAATTCTGTGAAGGTATCCCAACCAATGGTATCTGAACCACCACCGGTAGCACCAAAACCAAGTAAACCGGTTCCACAACGGGATTATAATCCAAAACCTAGGGCTTGGATGGGATCACAAGTTGCAGAAGAAGAAAACGATTCATCTCCAGAACCAATGTCCTACTCTCCATCTCCCGCTGTTTGGTCGCCTGCTGCCTACTCCCCAGCAGATAGAAACATGTACACCCCTTCCAGTCATAGTGCTTATAGTAGTGGTCAACCATCCCCTAATTATTATGGACAAAATGTAAGCATGTATAACAATGGTTATGCTGCCCATCCTGTAGAGTTACCAGGCTCAGATTTGTGATATGTATATTTGAAGAAATAAGAAAACATTCGTAGGAAACCAAGAAAGCGTTATACACATACTCCCTCTACCGAAAAATATGACAAACTGTTTTCGGGTTTATTTTGTTCTTTTTTTAAATGTTTTGAGTGCAATATTCATTTTCCTTGCGTATTTTGGGTTTGAACCGTCCGATGTCTATATTTGTATTTAGTTTCTTTTTCAATTTTTTTAATTACCTTTTTTCCGATTTGTATGTACTGCGTTTGGAGAATCCCAGCTAGAGTACATAGATGTGTGGCATTCACATATTTTTCTTCTCTTCTTTTCATGAAATATGTTTTTATTGAAAATAAATGGTGTTTGCCAGTATTACATCTGAACATCATATTAGTATACTTTTCTCCTACCCGTCTGCGGATCGTTGCTATGGTAATGGTAGTTTAGCAACACACAGCCTGTGTTTTTGTTATTCTAGAACTTGGCGTGTATTAGCATTGATGATTTTATAGGTGCTTACAGGTGTGCATTAAGTACAGTAGCAAGGTTATTGGAGAGAACAATTCAAACTCGCAAGAGATTTAAAATGAATAGCAAATACTTATTAAAGCCGTCTTATTATTAGAACAAAAAGTACTATTTCGCAGTATGTATAAATATGTTATACCTATTGGTATATGCAAAAATCTTGGTATCGCTACCTATATCCTTGTTGTATGCCAAATAGTCAAGAGTATAAGCTTACTAGATATCGTATCATCAGTGAGGCTTCTAGCCTAATATGGAAGGACAGGCTATAGCATGATACGTTCATCTTCAGTGGTGTAAGGTATACGTCTTTCTCTGTAAACATAGGTCATGGTATATCTATAATATACTATTACTTACCAACAGCTTACGTTGTATATACATCAGTAACAGATAAATATATATAACCCCATGTAGACAATGTAGTAATGTAATAACTTAGTATAATACCATGCCATTTCGATAACCCCAGTATACGTGATATAACACTTGAATAATTATGGATTAATTAGTTAATTGCTTGCAGTATTTAGTGATGATTAATGAATATCAGATTGTTAATTATGATGTATAGACTATTTATATTATAACCCACATCTTTATAAGGAACTCGTTTTTGTTTCGATTTTTAAAAAATAATTCCTCAACGTTTTTCATATTCATAATCCCATTTCGAGTCACAAATGTTTTTGTTTCAGTATTTATTGTTTTATGAAATAACAAGTAATATAAATAATATTTATGATATTAATAATAGCAGTTTATCAGTTGCTATAATAATGGGAATGTTATGTAGTTACTTAGATACATGATGATTAATATAGTAAAATTGATGCTATATGAATTATTTTTTCCTCATGCGGTTGTGTTTTTGGAAGAGTTATATACTTTTAAAAAGTAAGGACTCTCTACTTTTTTGTTTGTTGTGATATGTTGAGAAGTTGAGTTTATTTATTTGTAGAATATTGAATGGTGTGTACATACCACGTGTAAATAGAATATAAGTAAGCACCTCCTGATAATTACTTACCTGTATATAAGATGAATAAACTAGTTTCTACAACAGGCAAATATTAGCTACTAGCAGGATACCCGGCTTCGCTCGGGGGTCATAACTCCGAAACCGGAAGTGGTAGACTAACGCCACCTCGCCTATGTTACTCCTCGGTCCGAGCTACCCCTATACCCCAAATTTCAGACTCGGGGCAGACCTAGTGTAGCCGCCAACCCCGAACGGACCGGCTTCGCTCGGGGATCATAAATCCGAAATCGGAAGTGGTAGACTAACGGCACCTGGCCTATGTTACTCCCCAGTCCGAGCTACCCCTATACCCCAAATTTCAGACTCGGGGCAGACCTAGTGTAGCCGCCAACCCCGAACAGACAGACAGATACCCGGCTTCGCTTGGGGGCTCATAACTCCGAAACCGGAAGTGGTAGACTAACTCAACCTGGCCTATGTTACTCCCCGGTCCGAGCTACCCCTACACCCCAAATTTCAGACTCGGGGCAGACCTAGTGTAGCCGCCAACCCCGAACAGACAGACAGACAAACAAATATTAGTATAGATGTGGTCTACCCAACGAGAAATTGCACCATCTCATCCTGTAAGTATATTATATGTCCAGTGGAGCTACATGGAAGCGAAAGAATAAATGTTTTTTTGGTAATAAGCACATTAACATAAAAGAGCGTGATCTTCATTTGTCCGGCGGTCAAAGGTAGAGACCCAAATGTTTTCTAGACGGTATTATACGGTATCGAACCCACTGAATCTACTTTTCGGTACTGGATTACTGTCAGCCTGGGGATTTTTTTTTGAGTAATTAGATAATTAAAATGACACAACCCCAATTACTGAAAATGACACGTATGTCGAGATTTAAATTTTATAGTGATATTATAAACGGAATCGGACCCGCTGAAGGCATAATTACGTTGGATCACTGTCAATCTGGGACGTTTTTAATAATTAAACTTGTAGTTCATTCCAATGAATTATCACTCCTTTACGCAACTGAAATAGCGCTGACCGAGAAACCAACAAGCGGTTGTCTTGCAAGATAAGCACACTTTTTTATACGCCCACATGGAAATGTGGTCGTATATTGTCGTTGCCCCCGTCCGTCGTCCATTATTTCTTGTGAACACTCCACGGGCTACATTTATCATTAAATTGTTTTGACAATTTCCGTTAATTCTTTCTGGAGTTATGACCCTTGTTTCACTTTGTTGCACCTTGTGGACGCTCGAACGACAAAAGTTATTACTCGATTCGATGAAAATGATATGCATCACTTAAAAGTTATCATCCGAGGTGTATGGAAATTATATGCATTATTAAAATAGTAACACGAACAAGACCTACTCGACGATTTAGCTGCTGTGGGCGTATGTTTCGTTGTCTGGCAACCTATCTTTTAAGAAATGAACATAGAACTGGTCAGCTCTCTAGAGTCCATCCTCTAATTTTCCCAATGCTTCACGTCGGATTTGGAAAAAAAGAAATATTTTAAATACTGTTGCCTTTATCGAATTCAGGTTTTCAGAAATCCACCGTTGTTACAGCTTCAATTTGTACGTTTGACATTAATTTATAAACCTAATCCGAACCCTAACCCTAACTCTAGAGAAAGATATTTCCCAGATGATACAATGATCTAGTATTTTTCGGTTTGCAACAAATGGGGGTAACTCCGGAAGAACTTGTTGAAAGCTAAATATCGATAGGGTTCATTCAAGCTTCATTCTATATTTGACTTTCGCTTAAGGGGGATAACTCTGGGACGAAAGGTGGGTGAATGCTGATTATTGATAGGGTTCCTTACAACACCAATGCTTCAAATGAAATCTGAAAAAAATCTGTCAAAAAATACAGCCTCTATGGCAATCCGTTCACAGAGTATTACGGAAGTCTTCTTATATCTCTGTAAAAGACGACTGCCTTCAACACATGACGTCACATCAGGCGGCGTCAATCATTGGCTCAATGGCGCGTGCATTGTTTACATAAGACGTTACTGATGATGCATTTTACCCATTTTAATACCCATTTACACTAAAATAGGAAATAATTTTTACCGCTTGTTTAAAAACAAAACAAAACCAAATCAGACATATCACAAAAGTTTCATTACAAATATAGTAGTTTTAGTAATAAAGAAATTTTATTTATATAAACGTTTACAAACAGAATCCTTCCAAAATAATGAATAACAAGCCAACAGTCCCCCGCCGAAATCACAAAATAAATAGATGACACGTATTCATTAATCACATATTTCAAAAGTATCAAGCAATCAAACAGATTATCACCTATACACTAAGTTTCATCACTCTCTATCAGATAGAATCAAAGTTGTCTTGTCCCAAAGCATCGACCAATGAACTTGCTTAGCACTGCTTAGCTTTAGATGTTAATCATTGAACTCAGTCAAGACATTCACCTAATGAACTTCTACATCAAGTTTAAACATTCTACCTCAATTAAAAGCAGAATGGTTATGTTCCAAAGTCTTGACCAATCAAATTGCTTATCGATCCTTAGCCTAAGCAGAAAATTCTCATCATCAAACTTAGTCAAGGTAATGATATAATGAATCTATACTCAGTTTCATCACTCTCACTTAATTAAAACCAAAGTTATCGTGCCCCAAAGCATCAACCAATCAGATTGCTTATCTCTACTTACCGTAAGCAGACAATTGACCTAATGAAAGTCCACACTAAGTTTGAACATTCTACCTCAATTAGGAGAGTTATCGTGTTCCAAAGTCTTGACCAATCAAATTGCTTATCGCTTCGCTTACCCTAAGCAGAAAATGCTTATTATGTAACTTAGTCAAGGTCTTGATGTAATAAAACTATACACCAAGTGTCCTCACTCTCACTTAATTAGAATTAAAGTTATCGTGTCCCAAAGCATCAAACAATCAAATTGCTTATCTCTGCTTAAACTAAGCAGAAAATGCTCATCTTCAAACTCCATCAAGGCATTGACCTAATAAATACCTACACCAAGTTTGAACATTCTAGCTCAATTAGAGAGTTATTGTGTCCAAAAAGTGTGACTGACAGACACACAGACGGACGGACAGGCTGACAGACAGACGGACGAACAAACCCATTTTAATAGTCCCCTGCTCCCTTCGAAAGGCGGGGTACAATTAAACATACATTATGCAAGAGCATAATCGACTCTCGATGGCATCGGACACTGGAGATTTTAACTAGATTAAAACGTTCGCAATTTAGAAAATGAATTTAAAAATGGGAAAGCGAGACTAAGTCCCGATTATACCAGTGCCCTGGTTACCACTGTGCACGCATCTTGTCAAAACTACAAACAACGATAAATTGGCCGAGAATGAAGTAATTTGAATGAAGTTTTCAATTAAAAGATACATTATGGGAGATTAGATAAAGAGCTCAATATAATAGTTAAAAACTTGGCAATTTGCTGAAATGTTCAGTCAAATTGATCCACTATGAACCGAGAATTAAGCGATTGAAATTTCGGCCTAGCCTCGATTATCATTACTAAAGTCGGTACGGTTAAAAACATAGTCTCGATTATCCAATTAATTGATTAAATCATGAATGAAAGTTGAGCAGCAAATCGGATCATAATCCAGTAAATATCACAGGCTAGCGATGACATGGCGAGTTGATTATGGTCTAGATAAATTAATTAATGTCTAATTAATAATTCAAATAACATAATAAAGAAAGACTTGCGATAGGCAGATTTAGTCCTTGCATAATTTATGTTTAATATTGTTATCTACATAACAGAAAACACAATTCCCAATAATTTAAAATATACACTGGAACAGGAGTGATCTGCGAAAATTCCCGACCCAGCCTTGGACCTCTATTGTATATTGATTGTTGTCTTTATCTAATCCTGCATTTGTGCATCTTAAAGATGCATTATGTAAGAGCTAAACCTGCCTATTACAGGTCTTTCTTTTGGCGACAAACTATGTTATATAAATTATTAATTAGACATTTATTCACATGACTATTGGGTGGTTCTGAATTTTTATGGATTGAAACACGATTGCCATTTAATTATATAATTTAAAGATAGGTTGTTAGGCAACGAACATACACCCCCGGCAGGTAAGCCACCCGAAGAATGTCTACAGGGGTTGTTGCATATTATTTCTTTTGTCGGTAATGAAAGCATTTACAAGACTCTAAAACTGATTAAGAATAACAACCCACTGGGTAACCCAATAGGATTTATTTGGCTTCTAGTTCTGCCCATGTTTGGTCTCCAAAGCGTCTAAAAGGTTTCAAGGGCCATAGCTCTAGTAGTAATAATGCAAAATCAATAAGGATCTTCGTCTCAAGACATTGAACATAGTGTACATGGAATTCAGAGTCCACAAGATTTTTCAAAGTGATCAAGGGCCATAACTCTGGCAGTAAATATCGGAAATCGTTGAGAATCAATATGCTTCTTTGTTTCGTGACATTGAAAACTGTGTAAAATTTAAAGACAATCGGATAATAATTTTAGTTTCTGGAGCGCCCAGTTTTAAAGTGATCAAGGGTCATAACTCTGGCAGTAAATATCGGAAATCGTTGAGAATCAATATGCTTCTTTGTTTCGTGACCTTGAAAACTATGTAAAATTTAAAGACAATCGGATAATAATTTTAGTTTCTGGAGCGTCCAGTTTTCAAAGTGATCAAGAGTCTTAACTGTGACAGTAATTATTTAAAATCGTTGACAATCATTATGATTCTTCGTCTCATGACTTTGAACATCGTGTATAGATTTAAAGTCAATTGGATATTAATTTTAGCCTCCAGAACGCCTACAAGAAATTGTTGACGCCTGGCCGATGGTGGCGACGACAATATACGACCCAATTTCAATGTTTAGCGTATAAAAATAGATGATAGAGACTGTGTTTATTATTAATACGAGACTACGCTATTGTGATCACAGTCATAACTTCGCTCAGAATAAAGTAATTTGACTAAAATTTTCAAAATATTCCTTTTTCATTATATATTTTAAAAGTATTATGACTCTTTATCTCATCCTTACATAATGCATCTTTAATTGCTTTATATGAAGACATCAAAATCTGTATAGGTATGGCGAAAAACATTGCAATTGCTATTTACAAAAATTATTTCAAACGACTAAACATTTTAATGAGGTGAATATATCGATCACAATGTGTTTATGTATACACTAAGGGAAGGAATAATTCTAATCCCATACTATGCAACGTCAATAACAATTCATAATATTATAAGGCGTATGGCTCTATTCTTTGGAACCTTAAACATTGTGTTGTAGGATATTTGTTTCTTTGTTCATTGCAAATTACACCCGAAACCATAGTGTGCACGACTCGTGTACAGATTTTAAAATGTTCATTATGTATTGAATATTAGATATTATATTTCCATATTTTCACGGTAAGATAGCACCATCAATATTGATTGAAATGGGCCCATATTGAATTCTAATACGTGTGTTTAATTTCGAGTATTATGGAAAATATTGAGTTACAGGTTTAGCTCCTTAAAGGCAAACAGGAAAATGGTTAAAGTGAAACAAACTGTAATACATATAATATAATACATTCTGGTAAATATAACAATCTAGATTCATAATAAAAATATATTAAATTCTTCACGTCACATAAATCATGCTTAATATTATAATTTGGAACGGATGAAATATATTTTACTATCATCTTCTACACAGAGGATAATCTTCAGCATCAACTACAAGTCCTCTCTCTTCATAATGTTCTGTTAATTTCTGCCATGTTGAGTCACAATTCAATAAATGTTTATTACCTGAAACATACATCCAATGCACTTTTGTCTAAGGAATATTTAAATACCGACCTATTCCAGCTTTAAAATTGTTGTTTCTATTGAGTTGGTAACACTACCTTTTATTACATATAAAACAAGGAATAAAATGGAATCAAGCGTCTCGCCAGCACGATACTTTGGTTATTTCGAGATTAACATACGGTTATACCCCCCTCCCCACCCCGAAATGTTAGGGGCGTGAATTTAGCTCAGTGAGCGAGAATACTTCTTCCAACCGATACTAGACAACTATTTACTTGCTAGCCACACAGGTGCTATCCCTGACAAGTAGTAACATTAAGGCTTAAAACATTTCGATTCTTTTCAGTAGTCCAGTTCGCAACCCCCCGACATGCCTGCCATATAGGAAATACAAAATGCATTAATTTGTCCTGTTAAATCTGGAATTGGAATGTCTAATGAAGGGCATGCGGAAAATTTTGCCCGCAGTGTAGCACCAGGGCCTACTCTTTATTTCAAATTTTTCTGTCATAGGGTCTTATACACGGGACCTCGGGGTTTCGTCCCATCCGAAGACTAAACACTGTCTTGTCAGACCCTCCGCCCTGCACCACTGACAACGGGAAACCGCGCAGGGAGCCACAGTAGCTCAGTGTGTAAGACATGGCTCGCTAACTAGGAGGTCTCCAGTTCGCTCCCGTTATTGGATGAAAAAGTTCATCGATATAATCGGCGTTGTTTACCATGGTGCAGGACGGGGCGCCTGACAAGGAACAGTGTCCATCCGTTCGGATTATACGAATACACCGTGGTCTGTACACGTTGGCTTTCATGTAAAAGAACCCTCGACACTTAGTATTCGAACATGGGCTAAAATAGCAATATTGTTTTTCAGGTACAAATCTTCATGGTAAGATATTTTCCAAATGATGTGACTTACCAATAATAATAAGACCCTGTTTAGCTCGTGTAATGGCTACATTTAGTTGGTGATCATCAGTTATAAAACCCAGATTGTGTCTGATCCACGACCGGGATGGATAATTTTCTAACATATCTATTGGTAAAGATCTTACGGTAGAGAAGATAACATATTCCCATTCACTACCTGTATTTAATCATGAAAATAAATCAAAAAGTACGCCATGAAACGTACATCTCCACCCTCAACCCAATAAAAAAAAACGAAATAAATAGACGGAATGTTGAATCAAAATGAATGTAAACGAAAAATGACTCAGATGAAGAAGACACATCTGTAGTAATTTATAAGATAGGTTGCCTGGCAACGAAACATACGCCCACAGCAGCTAAATCATCCGGGCGGTTGACAAGGGTTGTCGCATATTTATTCTTTTGTAGGCAATGGGGGAAATTAACAAGGCAATTTCATACAGGTCAGATTATAATTTTCATCGTTTCAGGGTTTACAAGGTTCTACTGACTGAAACAAGTGCATTAACTCTGGAAGTAACTTAAAGGAATTTTTGAAATTCGACAGGCTTTTTCATTTCACTAATTAAAATGATGCATATAAATTTCATACAGATTGGATGATAACTTTTGTTGTTAGAGTGTCCACAAGGTACAACAAAGTGAAACATGGGAAATAACTCCAGGAGAAATTATTCACATTAGGTAAATAGGATTCGGCATCTCAATAATGTAAACAACATATATAACATATATATCAACAACATATATTAATTCAAAACAATCAAATCATAAATGTAGTTTGTAGAGTGTTCACAAGAAATTGTGGAAGACGGGCGGACGAACGGACGGACGTACGGACGGGAGCGACGGCAGTATACGACCACATTTCCATGTGGGCGTATAAAAAAGATTTTGTCATAGGCTCACGGGTCCGCTGGTTGTTTGGGGGGTAGGTGTGAGAGGCTGAAATGCCCAACATAATCCCGTTTACAGACGGCGCCGCTCGCTATCGAATGTTGAAATCTCGGAGCTTACGGAGTAGGATCATCTCCATGAAAGTGTGGAAAACTAGACGTCCGCAAATGCGTTTTCCTACTATTCCAGTCCGTGAATACAGCAACTTCAATGTGGTCAAATATAGCCTAACTTAGGTGACTGACCTGAATTCCAAACAACTAAGCAATAGTTTAGTCAACGGAGCAGGGGGTATGTTGAACTCGTCTTGCCCGAGAAATTTTTGAAAATTTAACAGCTGCAGAGAATCCATAGAATCCAAAAATGAAAACCGACGCAGATCTGTCGAGAAAAAACCAAGATGTTGGCATTTTTTGTCCTATCTGTAAAACTATTCCGAATTTAGTAATATAGTTCAACGGCGGCCAACCACATCTACGTTGGCAGAATTTTTGCACCATGTACAGTTTTGGCCGCAAACTCTGACTAAAATCGGCAAAAAAAAATAATAATAATAAAAACTCTTATAAAACAAACCTTTCTGACGCTCACCTGGCAGTCATCTGTTTTTAAAAGCCTTGGGAGGTCAGCTATTTTGAGCTGTACCCTATATACGAACCCTATTTTCAATCTTCCCCGGCTATGAAATGAAATTATCAACATATTAAGACTACCTACCTTGACTGGCTACTACGGTTGACACGTGTATTTCTGGTAATCCACAGTCCTTCATAGCAGCTTTTATAGCAGAGCATTGCGCTCTGTACTGAGAAAGTATTGCAATATTTTGACTCTTAAGTTTCCACTTTACTACTAAATTCACAGCCACACTAACCTTAAAAATATATATCAGTATAACGTAAATAGCATTAGGGAATAAAAAACAACACATGCTTTTATCTGATTTGATAAAAAATTCAATTAGAATTAAGTTTCATTTGGACTAGCATAGGTGGATGTTAGTTAGGTTATATCCCTACCATAACCTGATCACCATATATAATATTTACATGTAGAATATAAAACCCACATCAAATCTAATATTTTCTGAAAAACACTTATTCAGTCTTTCTTAACGAATAATTAAAATCAACAAACACGATACAGATTACATTATTCCACTTTGAAAAGGTTCAAAGAAAGAACTTACTACATAATCAACTTCATTCTGATTTCTTTTGGACTGTTCCGATCCATCTTCTGTAGAGACAGTTAATGTGTCTTCCTCTCCCTCTGTATGACATAAAACTGTTGGATGGCGTCTTCCATTCGGCCAAATATCTAACTCAGCTTTTTTACTCTGTCGCTTTGTTCCAGTTCTTAATTTACCATCATAAAACATGTTTGAAGGGAACTCCATTATACCTTCATGCTGTAATAGAATATTCTAATAAATATTTACTTATTTATGTATAAGTAAATGTATTTTCCAACCATCAGCTTACTACAAATACCTTCCATCATTGTTCGTCTGTCTGTCTATGGTTGCAGTTTTCTGTAGTTGTAAATTAGAAGATCTGACCTATGATAGCTTTGAGAAACGATTCTTTGGAAACAAAAAATAAAATAAAAAAAATATTGTGAGATTGCCAGCAAAAACGTGGAGACAGTCCAATCCAAGCAGGTAGCCATAAACACCAGCTAAATCGTGTTCACCAAATTGGATATGGACGAAGTTCAAGACACTTAATCTCGATTGTATTTACACGCTTGGAAAAAAGCTGTAGAAACTGTAATCTCAATCACATTCATAGGCTTTTTGGAACAGGGGACTAACCTTGGAACGGAAGGCTACATAATGCTGAAATCGATACGGTTTGTCCTGCCACGACCCCAGTGCTTCACATCAAATTTGAATATATATATTAAAACGTATGGCCTCAAGCGCGTTCACGGGGTCTTTGGCAAAGAGCTCATTACTTCGATGCTCCACGCCAAACCTGAATGTTCAATTTATCTACAGTGTTCGTCCAAGGTATGTATGGTCATATACAAAGGAGAAACAAAGGTATAAAACACTGCCAAGTATTAATAATATTGGATAATTTATACCACAAATACACATATCATTGACAGAGTCGGCACTCGTAAGGTTTGAATTTTAGCTGCAGAAATTATTGGTCAATAATTTTTATTGATAATTGAATTGTAATAACCGAGTAAAAATTGTAAGTGGACATAAATAGTATGAAAATGAACAATAATGGGCTATTTCTACAAACATTTATTGAATATATCATTCAAATATTGCTCGAATGCTACAGTTGCTAGCAATAATTCAATTTTTGTTACTTTAATTTAGCTTTCTATTTGTACCTGTCATCAATGCTCGGGTAGCAAATTTAGCTGAATAATTGTTAGCAAAAATTTGTTCGAATTCCTACTAGCAGAAATTGAATTAAAGCAACCAAATTACAACTATCAAATTAATGTTACATGCTTTAGAATAACTGATAGAAACAATAATAACTATCCCAATTACCAAAAAATTAGCAATACGTTCAAACAATGTTAGCAATAGAATTACTCCATTAAGCCTAGCAATAATAGAATTAAGCCTAGCAATAATTTAATTCATGGTAGCAATAATTATAATGTATCCACAAAAATAGTAAGAGCTGGCTCAATTGCTATATATTACCATACGATACTGTATTTCCAGCATCTGTGCTTGTCCGGCATATCTCTCAAATAATGAGGTCTGTAGACCCAACTGTTTAGCTTTCTGTTCAGATAAAATTGGTTGTAGTTGTTTATGGTCACCTATTAATACTATATTACTAGCATCAAATGAGGTAAGTGGAATCATTGTCTCTGGTTCTGTACACATACCTGATTCATCTATAATAATCTGAAAGTATTGTAGTAAGATAGACAGAATCTTTGCTCTTTAAATTAATAATAGCATTTATATTATATCTTTGACTAATTATTGGTTTCAAATTAAAGAGAAGTCATATCTCACACACTCAAAAATGTGAGTGATGTGGGTGACCCTTAAAAAGATTTATAAACCCAAAATATAGCTGATTCTATGGGAAAACAAAATATCACCAGATTATTCGTATTAGGAAAATTCCTATTGCATCATTTGGCTTAGTAACCAATCATTGTAATTAATTACGTTATATTTGACCAATTAGATAATTGAAAGTCGAAACCCAAGGGTAGAAAACCAACAGAGTTGTGACCGGTCGACAGGCAGCCGCTAAATTCGGGAGAGACCGCCGACGTTCAAGAGACACCAGCTGGGATGAGTAGACCCCATTGATTTGTGGGAGAGTCATATGATGTAAGCATCCCTTCAGTAAATTCATCTGCGAGTTAGGTGTAGGAGAGGCAGACATGTTAATTTTAAAGTAGCTAAGTCTCTAACTCAATATCATCCAAAATCTTCAACATTGAAACCTCGATTTATTTGTCAAATTAAATCAACATTCATGTTGTGATCTTACCGGAAAAAGATGGGCTTTTGATATCCAATGTTTAAGACAAAATAAACATTTTACCATTGGTACACGAATCGTGTACCATAATGCGCTTGAGCCCCAGTTGTATCAAGAGACTCGAGGGCCGAGGCTAGACACATTGCACCAAATCAAACGGCGTATGTAGACTGGAATAACCAGACGCTAGCAATTTGCACTCGCTTGAGACGGCTGGCTTATTTCGCCGAACATAACTGATTTGAAATTGGAGTAAAAACGCAAACCATTGAATGTTAATCAGTTTATATACATCCATATTGCAGTATTATATGCGTTGCGACCCACTTGTGTCAATTTCTAGGTCCCAAATGTTAGCGATTTAGCTCCTTTAAGTATTGTAATGTAAAGTAACGTTCCGACAAGAACCAAGATTTTTGGGTTATAAACATACATTTTAAGTTTCATCAAAATCGGATAAAATTTGTGACCTCTAGTATTACATGCTTATTATACTAAAGGGGAGCGGCCACTTTGTTAAACAGTCTCGGTCCGATTTTCACAAAATTCGAACTTAACCGTCATGATGGTGTGACGGTGATATTGTTTTTAAAATCAAATAAAATTGTGACATCTAGAGGGTCCACGAGCTAAAAACGCGATTTATCTGAAAATCAAGGGTCATAATCAAGGACGTTACGGTCGGATATGCGACAATATCGACAGTAATCGAGATCCTTGGTTTATAGACATACATATAAAGTTTCATCAAAATCGGAAAAACTTGAGTTTTCGTGCCATAATTCATGAAGGTACGGTCCGATACATGCCAATATCGAAAGGGACAGAGATCTTTGGGATATAAACCCATATTTCAAGATTCGCCAAAATCGGATAAAAATTGCATAAGGCCCACAAATTGAACGGACGGATAGCCTAAACGACGGTTAGGCAAACAGGGGCGTATACAAATACATCTTCGAGCAGCGAACTACATCTATCCATTTTAATCGGACCTTCCTGCTGCCAATATGTTTGAAACTGGGTACAGTGTGAAAAGTTTAACAGGATATTTGTTGACATAATATGATTTATTATTCTATTATTGAAATGTTTGACTCTTTTTTAAAACAAAATGCCACTTATTATTACCTGTTTTATATTTAGAGGTATTTCTGTTTTAATACCACCGATTGCAAAACATGTGCTAAGAATGATATCAGCTTTATTCAGTTCTTCTGTTTTAGCCATATATATTTTCCTCTTATATTCAATTATCAATTTATCGTTTACTTTTTTCTTTAATTCTTCTTTCTTGAAGTTTATCACGTCACGTTTGTATTTTTCTTTTAATTCATCGGTCATACTTCTTATTAAGGTTTCTCTAAATATCTTATTCAAGCCTTTAATTTTAATATACTCATCCACTAATTCATCTACGTCATCTGGACTGGATGGTTGGAACATACGATCAAAATCTCTGATTTTTTCACTGTATGAATTACCAGGAGCTCTGATCAGATGATGTAGAGCCCTGTCTCTTATTGCTTGAACTTTGGAAACCTCTGCCGAGTATCGTTTTTTGGTTGGAACCGAATCTCGAGGAAGGGGATATTCCATATTTTCTATCCTGTTACTATATACTCTTATAATATTTGGACAACTTTCTCCCAGATGTAGCAGTTTATCTAAAAATACACATAGTGTTAATTATGGATGGTTTCGTTCATTACATACTTACCCATGTTAATAATGTTCCTTTGGGGGTAAAATAGGTCAACCTCAAAAGTCAATTTCATAATCTAAGGAATACAATAGAATGAAACACAAAATGTTATCAGCGTCGGGGTGATATCACATTTTGCGCAAAAGGCAGGGGTTATAGCTCTAGAACAGCAGGTCTAATGCGTACCTAAGTCGAACTCATCCAAGCCGAGCTGTAAATTAGAGACCAAGTTTTTCTAGACCGTTTTCTTGCGCAGATTGGTGTAGGTGCCCCGGGGGGGGGGGGGGGGGGCAAAATGTATTTTTTGGGGACAGAAATCATTTGGTTCAAAATTGACCTTAAAAGTGACTTCTCGTCATTCAAAATATTAAATTATAATGGTACTTTTAAAGAAGATATTTATTCCGCTCATTATGATGACGACTATAAGAATAAACTAATATCTAAACATGTCTCTTGTTAACTGTGGTTTATTTTATTTACATTTACATTTCAAGATCTCTTGAAAATACCATTCTAACTTAATATTTTGAATTCCGAAATCGATACTGGACGAAAAAGCTAACGAGAAGACACTTTTCAGGTCAGTTTTGAACCAAGTGGTTTCTGTAGCCAAATGTACATTTGCCCCCTCCCCTCCCACCCCACACCACACAATGGAAATCTTATATACATATTAAGAGATGTACAGCGGCATAAAAAAAGTAACGTTTTTACCAAACTCTAAGAAAATCATCATTTATATCAACGTGAACTCATTTCCCGCCAATTTTACCCATCTCCCCGTTCTCTTCCACACACACGCACAACTTACCTCGCCACAAAATAAAAACCATTTGGTCCAGGGGCATGGACAGAGATGGACAGGCCTAGAAATTTATGTTTTGCGTCAACATTATCACATTTCCCCACCAATTTTAGACATTGGAAACCCATATGTCTCTAACGCCCCCTCAAACGCCTGACCACCAGTTAGATTCGGAATCTCCGCAAAAACATGGTTTAGAAAAACTTGGTCTCATACATTTAGAGCTCGAGTGGCGAACACATAATTTAAGTTTCATCTCACTCATGAATCGGACAAAGACTGTCGCCTCAGAAAGGTCCACAAATTCATTCATAGTTCATATTTTGCGTAAAAGGCAGGGGGTCGATTCTTACAAAAATTTAACTCATCCAAGAATTAGTGATACTCATCCAAGAACTTTTGATCTTTAACACATAGTTTATGATTTATCTCATGAATCGGACAAACATCCTAAAAGTGTCGTCCGATATGCACCCATATCGAAAGAAACTAAGATCTCTGGGGTATAAAAATATATCTTAAGTTTTAGCAAACCCGGATCAAAATTGTGACCTATAAATAGAGGGTCCACAACTTTGGTATTATTATGCAGCCTCATATCAAACCACTATTGACTGTGCTGTCATGCTAAGGGCTTTAGAAAAGAATTAAATTGATGAGAAAGCGTATTCGACGATCTGGACCCCCAGGAGCATCCACGGCCCCTGAATCCTCGCCTAAAGTCCTGGAATTGTACCCACTATCAAGGATTGCTTCCACCGGCCCGAAATTGCAAAATCTGTGGTTTACTTCGAAGACGTGATTAAAATTAAAGACGGATGAGAGGGGAAATGAAATGGAACAAAATGGAATTATATTCCATTATATGCCCTTCGGGCATCTCCGATTTATATTGCATATTTCTCATTGATCTAAATAAATATGTATACTAACTCAACATTCAAAGTCTAAAAATAGCACAATTGCACGTGCAGCACTGTGTCAACATACGCCTGACTATAAATAAGAGGTAAGGCTCGGCTCTAGTTGTAGTTCTCTAGTTGTCTTTTTCTTTATTGATCTAGACCATGACTAGTAGTGGTGCACTACATAGTCATATTATATCGTATACTATTACTTTGCGATTTTGTTGGATCGTAGATTCAATTCCTTTTTTACGTGATCGCGACCGATACGCTGTGCCGGTCCATATATTTTTGTGGCGTTGTTTCACGCCCGTTTATTGCTTTATTCCATGTTGAATTTAGTAAATCTCCAAGCGTGGATTTTGAGAGGTTTTGTCCGGAGAGTCTGTTTCTATAAACTTAGACCCCGACATTCTCATCCTTGATGAAGGTTAGACCTCTTGGTTGATGTAGATACGATCGGTAAAAGAAAAGCCGCCATTAAATTATAAATATCTCAACCGGCTAAAGGGACAAGTAACAAGTAATAAAACAAGATTCGTAATATCCCGATCAGGTAGATAAATTCAGGCCGAGTGGTATTGCCATTACGGATACTGTGGATTCTTTTGTTTCACAATTAATTTCACTCTACATCAATCTGTCTGTTGATCGCAGTCATTTTGACATTTTTCATGTCGGTAATAATCGTGTCGCTTGGTTTTGATAATCATTTTTTTTTCTATCTACGTGACCACGTGTCCTCTGTTCGGAGTGTATATTTTAATGGAAATAATTATGTTTTTACTTCTACCGCCGACAAATGGATATATAGGCCTGTTATACATCTAAGTCCTTATACCGGTAGTTTTAGTAATAATAGTCTTTATATATGACTATATAGTTCAAATGAAAATGAAATAAATGAATAAATGGAAATAATTATGCTTTTACTTCTACCGCCAACAAATGGATATATAGGCTTGTTATGCATCTAAGTCCTATACCGGTAGTTTTAGTAATAATAGTCTTTATATATGACTATATAGTCAAATGAAAATGAAATAAATGACACAGTAGCCTACCAATTTATAACACTTATGTAAGAAGAGATGATTTTAAAACCAATTAAATATTATATTTTTAACAATTTTGTTTACAGACAACAATGTTAATAATAATGTCATTGATGAGAAATGAAATGAAATGAGGTTTAACTTCTACTGTTCTTTTCCGACTGGGCTTATTTAAAGACGGGGTCATTGACGAGCACAAGACTTGTCAGGCAAATTCGTCATGCATGCATCATTTTGTTCAGACCAATCTATGGAACCTAATGGTTCATAATTTTTGACCCTGAATCAACAGTATAATGATTTCAGTCCTGACCAGGGGTTCAGTGATTTTGTTTTTTCCCCCCATTTTTCAGGGTGACAATGCAGTAAATGATTCGATCGTTAATCTATAAACTAGTTAATATGGTTACCATGAAGCATGTTGAGATAGATTAACTGGTTGTTAAAGACCCTATTTAAAAAGAAAAATTACAAATGCATGTGGCCGTATGTTGCACCTCAGGTGGACACTGACATTTGGTCAGTTTTTACTCCGTCAAGCACAGTCACAAGATGCGGCTATTCAGGATATACAGAAGATAATGGGCCTTGGTGTTTCACCCTTATTGTCATTGCTGTCAAAAAATTAAGATACGAAAAATTCTATTGCTGATTCAGTAAGTGATCCAGGGTAATACCCATTTGGAATTGTCTTTTAAAACTTAGGAATTCCCTTAAACGCTATTTAAGTCGTTGATATCACCCACTCTGTTCTTCCAATCGGCCAGTCGATACGACTTTATATAGATCAGTCAATCAATTATACATTATATGCATTATTTGGTAATCATGTTGAGTCGAGTACTAAGCAGCAATCCTTTTACAGGCCTCCGTTTTCAGGGCAGCATCAACCCAGCTACAGTAACACCTGTAGGTAATACTTTTGTAGCCAGCCAGATTTCGAATACTTTTTAGGCAGTTGGTCTATCATGACATCAGATAACTGGATTCTTAATACAGTTAGCGGGTACCGGTTTGAGTTTTCTTCAACCACCCTTTCAACTTTGCTTGCCTAACCACCTCTGTATAATTCAGAGCAGATGGAGTTTGTTGATTAATTTAATGTTAAGTAAGAAGGCTTTATGTCCAGGTATTCCCTGGTTTTCATACCAATCAGTTTATTTCTAATATTTTTTTAGTTACAGAAAAAGACTGACGATTATCGTCCTGTTATAAACCTGAAAACATTTTACACAAGAAACTTTATTCTTTGCTTCTATCAGTATAATACATAGAGAGGATTTTCTATCATTAATGAATCTAAAAGATGCCTTTTTTTTAATTCATATTCGTCCAGATCATCATAAATAATATTTACATTTTATTTGAGATCAAACTGTTGAGATTACAGGTCTCCGTTTCAGAGTTTCCTCAGCTCCAAGAGTTCTTTCTAAAGTTTTTCAAATCAAATTTTGCAATCCTTCGCAAGCAGTGTATACATTGTTCATATTTTACAGACAATTCTATTTTTTCTTTTCCACTATCAACACTGCAAAAGAATTTGGTTTTACACACAGAAAGCTGTAAGATATTTTCGAGAGCTAGGATTTCCTTCTAAAGAAATTATTTTTTAGAATTTACTATTAATTGTCATTTATTTACTGATCTCTTACTCAATGAAGGATAAAGTCAAAACCAAGGCCAGAGCTTTATTAACATCAAACAAGCTCACTATCAGACAAAGAGTATTTTATTGGACTGTGTTCCTTTTCTACGAACAGCAATACTTTTAGTACCTTTGCCTATATAAAAGAGTAATCTAGAACTTTAAGTTAAAACAGAATGTAATTATTCATATGGGTATTTCCCTCAATGACGTTTGAGTTAAACTGGTGGTTACATATAACATTAGCATTTAAAATCGTAACCATATTAGACCACTCTTGTGTCTTTACTTTGGATGCTTCTCTTTATGTATCGGGTGCTCACTCCTTATGATATTCACATCTATCTGCTTTGGAATAGTTCAGAATATCAGTAAATTATCTTGAACTGCTGGCAGATTTCTATGGATGGACATCATTGTCATTGTGCAGCAATTTATCTAATACGCATAACTTGTTCCATGTGATAACACTATATCCTATAATTATCATATATTTATAATATTGGGGAACTATAGATAAATTGTTTTAAAATAAGCAAACAAATTTGGTACCGGTGTGCTTCTCGAAATATTTATCTGCTAAATATAGATCAATTATGTCTCATAGCATAACAGATGCATTATCTAGACATTTTTCTGACTTCACAGAATTGAAGATGATTAAGCACATTTTTCAGAGGGTATGTAATCTTTTATCTGTACCGGACATAGATCTATTTACACCACAGCTTATTTACCAAGTTGTAAAGTATGTATCTTGACAGTCTGATCCATTTTGGTTGGTTCTTGAATATGATGTATTTAAGATGAGTTGATTTAATTTTCACCAATACATCTTCCTCTTCTCACTGAAAGTTTCAGTGTAGTTGCCAAGTACCGGTATCTCAACAAAATAATCAGAGACCATGCTATAATTATAGTGCCAGGATGGCCAATACCGGTATGATATTCTAGACTCTTAGCAATGCTAATTTCTAACCCCATTCATTTGCTCCTACGGAAGGACCTCTTGCGTTTAGTTCACCATGGGATGTGCTACCCCATGGGAGGCAAAATTTTATACATGAATGCTCGTCTCAAGCAAACCCTCACTAATAGAGGACTATCACAACATGCTATTGACACTATTCTCAGGTCCTGGAGACCAGGAATTAACAAACAGTATAATCCTTTGGATCCCACTGTAGAAAATATTGCAAATTATTTGAGTGATTTGTTGTCTAGTATTCATATAGTGTTGCTAACACCTACAGATCAGCAATTGTTCAGACTCTGAATGTTTCAGGCAGCAGGAAGTTCAGAAACCATGCCATTATTTATTGTTTTTTGGAAGGTATTTTTAATCTTGATCCTCCAAAATCTTGTTTTGTAGCAACCTGGAGTGTTTCTATTCTATTAAATTGTTTTTTTGCCTTAGGTATATCTTTGAAGCTTCTCACTTATATAACAGTGAACTTATTGGCTCTAGCTACGGCCCAAGGGTGCCACATTAAGAGCTTTTAGTATTAATCGCTTTCTAGATTATGGCAATGCTATAAGGTGAGGAAGTGAAAATTTGGAAAATTTCTTGTCAATCTTCTCCTATACCAGGTCAAATTGGATTAGTTTACTGATATACTCTCCAGTATTATGTTGAATTAACTTCAGAACTTATTGTATCTCATACATGTATTACACTCAGAGCAGTAACGCCATCTACCATTGGCCGTTGGCTTAAGAAACCATTGTACTGGCAGGAATTGATACTTCTGAATATAAGCCTCATTGAATTCGTTCAACTTCCTGATCTGCATCGTTTAATTCTGGATACTCTATTTCAGACAATCTTAAAACAGTATCATGGAACAATGATAAGTTCTTTTTTGTTCTACAGGAAATAATACATTTTTTAAATTATATGGATAAATTTTAACAGCCTACTATTTGTTATCTCTTTTGTTGACAACCCTTTCAATGATGCAATATAAATCGGAGATCCCAGAAGGGCATATAATGGAATATAATCACCTCTCATCCGAGCGCCCGAAGGACGCGATGGATGAGAACGATTATATGAATATATATAGCCCGAGGGATCGAGGATTTATATACCCTCCCTTTAGCCCTCCCAGTGCTATATATATGGTTGCCAACAAAACTTTAAAGAGACAACTAGAGCCGAGCCTTACCTCTTATTTATAGTCAGGCGTATGTTGACACAGTGCTGCACGTGCAATTGTGCTATTTTTAGACATTGAATGTTGAGTTAGTATACATATTTATTTAGATCAATGAGAAATATGCAATATAAATCCTCGAGCCCTCGGGCTATATTCATATAATCCTTCTCATCCATCGGGCGCTCGGATGAGAGGAGATTTTCCGACTTACTTTTGTGTACTCACGGGTCTAAAGAAGACGCATATGAGGGAATTAGGTTACTTTAAAAATCGTATTAAAGCGACATGACCAGCACTTTCTTCACATGCTTGGATCAAAAAATTGAAACAAAACTATTGGCCAAAATAGTCAGTCCAAAGAATATATTCTGAATTCATATATGAATATATCGTATTAATTTTATTGCTATTTTTGTGTAACATTTAACGAAAAGATGTAAACTGAATGAACTGTTCAGCTGACTATATTCATTTTTAAATCATCATCACCATTGCAATGGAGTTAGACCAGCATAAATTTCCACAATTTTGGTACTACGAATGAAGTGTATGTGTATGTTTGGAGCAAAGACGTTTCCAGTTGTTCCCCAGCATCCCCAACACTATAGTGGAAAGCGTTCATGACAACGAAATTTGCAAAACGTTGGAGACGGCCACAAAGATCAGAATTTTAACATTAAGGTCAATGGGAAATTAATGGCTTGTATTGAGTTATCAGGATTGGTGTAGCTAATGGCACCAGTACACTCTAGATTTTCCCCTATGGCGGTAAATTTGTGACTGCCCCCCTCCCCCTACGCCCTGTGTAACGAAACTGTTAACTAGATTATCATTTCTCGCCAAAATCATGAATATTCAAAACATGGTACAAAAAGTAAGTCCAACCCCCTGTCTTCCATTCTACACCTAAAATTCAACAAACTTTAGCATGCGAAACAGAAAAAAGGGGAAGGAGAGAGATAAGAAGGGTCATAAATAAAAGGAACGGTTAATAAAATAAGAGTAATTAATGGTTGACTAGGTCATAACGATTTGATAAGCACACATGTAAGGCCAATTTATAAATTTTGGATGTCGGCTTTTTTTCCACACATTCTATTAAATTAAATTCCTTGATTTTCAGAACATGGTGAAACCTTTTTTTTAATTAATCCGTTTTAAGTTTAATTGTTACATCTTAAATTTAATATTCCTACCTTTTAAATTTAATATTCCCACCTTTTAAATTTAATATCATTACATTTTAAATTTAATATTATTACATTTTAAATTTAATATCATTATGTTTTAAATTTAAAATGATGTATGGATATACAAATTATTACATATCCAATATACTTACCCACCACCACGTCCACTGATTTATTTGATGGACCACAATATACAACCTGTTCTCTGCCATGAACAGATCTTGATTTATTTCGCGTAACGAAATAGAAGGCCAAATAAGCCCCTGTGACTGTTTTGCCGGTTCCAGGTGGGCCTTGAATCAACGTAAAGGGATTACTTAAAGCATATTTTGTAACTTGCATCTGTACATAATTTTGTGGCTGTAATGCATTACCGCATATCTTCATCGACAAAATCTCATCGACGTCTCTATAGTTTTCTGTTAAAACGAACAATACGTATACATAACTTTCAATGGAAATTTAATAACAGCTGGACATTAAACTTTAATGCAAGAACCAATAGGAAAGCAAACATGGGTAGGCAGTTTTCATCAATTCTTCCTTGAAGTGTCAAATTTGACAATGAACCCCTCCCACGTGTATGGCGCTATTGTGTGTCGTACGTTCAGCTCAGTGGTTCTGTTGGCGATAAGGTCTTCATATGTGAACATACTCTCTAAGCAGGTCAAGTGTCCATGACTATTTATCATATCACAACCTGCATAGGTATTTGCATTTCAATATCCACTACTTTTTTGAAGAGTATATATTCTGAAGATGCGGAGGTTAGAAAGCGCCTAGAAAATGTAACGGTGAATGTAATGTCGTTAAAGACTGAGAAAATATCAACGCGTATGAAATTTTTTGACATATCACCACCATCTTGGATTTTCAAATCTTAAATTTAACGGCTCCCAAAACCCTTATACAGAGTCAAGATGAGGTTTATACAGGATGAAATAATGAAGATATCCAATGAAATCTGAATGTCCACTCCCATTTTAAACCCTCTGACTCCAGGGCGGTTAGAAAATAATACAAAAATATGCTCATAAATGGGTAGGGTAATAACAACTTTTTTTTTTGGGGGGGGGGCCCGTATTTGAACATCAACATTTGTGGGGGGGGGGGGCCCGTATTTGAACATCAACATTTGTAAAATAACACCACACCTGAATGTCACTGTGCTTTATTATTGGTGATAGGCCTGTTTTTTGGTTCAAATTAATTTTTATGCAAAATTGTTACGACAAATTTGAATGTGAAATTGCGCACTGATCTTCAGTCCAAAGCTAGATAATGCTCCTTTTGTTAATTTTTCTGCATCAATTCACATACCTTTCTTTTGCTGTTTTGTTCCCAAAGCTATTTCTTTTATTAACGGTGTCACTGCACCTTCCATTAATGTTTCCACGGCATTCTGAGATCTCCTGTAAATTATTATTATTTATTATTACAGCATATTTATAGTGGTTTATTCCACTCCATATTGCTTTGTCAATATCGTATTTATATGAAAACGATTGAACATGCCTATTAATATTTTTTTCTAAGGTTGTGATTGGTTGGCTCCAGTTTAACCTACCAATCAAAAACTTAGATATACAGAAAATGTCGTATAATTGTTTGATAGGCTTTGATTATTGGATCTTTAGATAGGCTGTCTAGTTAAGGTCCAAGGTATAATGTTGTTAGAATGCACCACAAGATTCATGTTTGCCACCTTAAGCTCGTGCAATATCAATAAAAAGCTATCAAATATAAGTCCTTTCTAGAGGACCTTTATATATTTACCTGTGAGGAATAGATTTTGGTATTATTTCAATAGATGCCATTGGCGTTTTGGTTATCAAATTTCGAGGAAAGGCCATGCAGCACTCATGAAGTTTCATCTGTATTAAGTAGATTTTATTCTGTCGTTCTATTTTGTTTATAACACAATGACAAACAAAACATACATTTTCGTGGTGATTCACAACAGCTCCAACTTTATCATCTAGATCACCAACAATTGGTATAGCAACATCGTTGTATCTAACACAAACATAATCTGATTCTAATTTAATATCTCTTTCTTGGCAAAACTCTACAGTTAAAACAAATTTTCCTTCCATGGTCACATTGGTCAAATTTCCGAAATTCTCACACCAAGTAATCGGCACATCATGAATAAAAATTTGTTCTTGTCCTTTCACAGAACAGGTCACAGATTCCATTGCTAGAACTGGTAACCATAGATTCGCATATTCAGTCAAATCTGTATACCTCTTTTTCGATGCTTGTTGAGAACCCAATACCGTAAAGCAACCTATAGGATCTCGTTTATGTTCCATACATATGATATGTTTACGTGTTAAGAAGTAAAGTTGTATCTGTGGAACCAACAAACCTCTCTTTAAAACTGGGGCCAACTGAACTTTCACGTGCATATTTGGTCTGTATCTAATGAAAAATTTCCGAAAGAACTGAAGTTTGCCCTCGACTCTCAATTCACTCGTTAGGGTTTCTTCTGGAAATTTTCGAAGCATATGGCCGACATTTTTGCGTATTTCTTTGAATTCAGATATTATGTTCTCTGGGTTGCTCCCAGAGGCAATGCTTAGCATATGTTGCCATTGCTTACAGGGAATCTCCACTGATTTCATTGGTTCCTTCAACTCAACTGGGGTTACTACATCTGTTGCTATTTCAGTGACATTGTAGATCCGTTCTTCCCACTGCAATTCTACTGTCATGTCATCTTTAAAGGGTCGTTTAGAAGGTGCTAAATATCCCATTTTTATTTTTCTCTGTGATGATGTGAAACATGTAAGGTTTGGAAATACAAGAGTTAATGCGACATCATCCACTTCTTCAATTACAGGATAGTATATCAAAGGTCTTTTTTCTAGGGCGACACTTAAATGTAAAGCGAATACACTGTTGTCGTAACTTTTACTGTTCAAAAAGGCAACATTGCATCTGTGTGCTATATCAGCCATTTCAGATTCCGAATACGGGTTTTCTGTGTTATTGATACACGCTGATACCATTCTGTGTACAACAATATCAAAATATCGTCTAATAGGACTGGTAAAGTGGGTATATTGTGGGAGATTGAGGCTGTAATGTGCGTTTAACAAGGAATCAAAATTAGCAGAACAAACATAAAATGCTCTGTCCTGTATTTTTCTATACTCTACTAAGGCGACAGCTGACTGTGGGTAATTTTCGGGTGAAAGTAATACTTGTATAAAACGTTGCCAGTCACCAAGATCTATTGAATCACACAACCGTGTCCATACATCAAAAGGTACAGTAATAGTGGGGTCAAACATCAAAGCATTTTCTTCCACATAATTATTTAAACAGGAACACATTCCGGCACAACGGCAAATGTTATCATTACTTGTAAAAGCTCTGGTAAGGGAAACTGAATTAGAAGCAGCAGCAAAGTGTTTTCTTCTCCATGTTTCGGCCTTGTAATCATCTGGAGGCCGTTGTATTCTTAATGGACAACATTTGGGAAATTTAGTTAAAACTAAAGATGCTACCTGGTGATTCGCCATAATCATGAATTCTGCTACCATCAAATGTGCTTGTGCTGATTTACTATCAACCACATCTACCTCGCTATATAAATGAGCTCTACCCATTCGTTTTGCTCTCCATATTCGTGCTATATCAGCTAATTGTTTGATTGACCACGACATTTCATCAGTAGTGTCAGGTCTGTTCAGAATATCTTGCACTTCTTCATAGTTAAATCGTCTTTTTGATTGAATAAATGATTCGCACAACTCGCTTGTGATTATTTCGCCATGTGCATTCACAGTAAGAAAAACCGACGTTGCACGTTTATCGGCGTGTGGCAACAAACTGCACATGGATGTAGAAAATGTAGATGGCAACATATGAATAGGTCTTTTGCCGATCGGATAGTATGAGGTTCCCCTCTTGTACGCTACTTTGTCCAAATCTGAATCCTTTTCGATGAAGTGTGATACATCTGCAATATGTATTCCTACAATGAAAGTTCCAGTAAATCCTTCCTCGATACTTAGTGCATCGTCAAGATCTTGTGAATTTGTTGGATCAATGGTGAAGCAATTTTTTTTTGTAAAATCCAATCTCTTTGTGTCTTTATCTTTAGAATGTTGTAAATGTTTAAAACTGCCTTTGAAATTGGGTTGAATATGATGTTCCCTATCTATGATAGACATTCCTGTTTCTATATTTTTTCCCACGGGTTGCACGCCAATAACAATTCCGAGAGGTAACCTACTGTTCTTTTTCCATTTCAAGTATCTCACCAAAAACAGTTTTCCTGCCGGATCAATTGGGTCAATTTCTTCATAGTGATCAAATGATATAGAGTAACCTTGACATTTATAAACAATGACTTGTCCATCTCTATGGCCACGTTCATTGTCTTTCAAGGTTAGATTCAAAATGGAAGGAACAGAAGTGCTGATAGGTATCATTAAACTTGTATTGATTGGTTCTGTACGACAGACAAAGACTTTATATCTCGGATTCATGGCTCTGTTCAAAATACCTACAACTTCGCCGTATATTTCAACTGGTTTGTTATCAAATAAATCTTTGTCAGGTTTTCTTAAATTCGGTAAGATTAGCACAACTACTTCATCGTTATTCAAGGCCCGACCACAAAATGTTCTGCTTCTGATCTTTATTTCTTTAATAGTTGAGGTGAAATCCATTACTCTAGCATATCTTACTTCAGAACTTGTGTTTATGATGCAGCGCTTGTAATTTTCAGGGTCATCTTCAAGAAGTTTTCTCAATTCATCTTTTTTATATTCGGTTCGTTTAAACCTACTGAAGCTTGGGTCACCATCGTCATCTTCAAATTCCTCATCCGAGGCATCGCTTAGGTTATCAGCGGCATCCTTTTCTGTTAACAGAATTCTTTTTGATTCTTTACTGATGGGATAAAAAACAGCCCGACCTCGCTCCTCCCTAACCCCATATTTCATTGTCCCCTTCGCTTCTGTTCTCCTTTTGGCTGCTCTATCTTGTGCGGGCATCAATATATCGTTGCTGGTTGTCGGACAATGAAGTTTTTCTCCAAGTTTTTGTATGATTTCATCAGGTTTCATTCTAAAATCGTCCCAGTCATCATAGTCTTCATTTTCAATTGTTTCCGATGTGTTTTGTTGTAATTCACCATATTTAAAAGGCTTTCCGAGTCTTTTCTGAACATCATCGGGTAATTGCATTGGATGTTCTTCGTGCGAACGTGAAGTGTGGTTTATGTGCAAAATGCCACGTTGTGATGGGATTTCATTCTTAATATTAGAATTCTTTCTGCTCCAGACACCCATTAGTTCTGAATGCGGTATAGGATCTAGTTTATAAGATTCTTGTTTTCTAGACCAGCTCTGATCTGATAATTTCCTAATTTCTGCACCTAACGGTGACGATTCTCTCTTCTCTACGGCCTGTTTTATTTCCGTATAAGACCACTGTGACAAAAGTGAACCCAATTCGTGACACTGCTTTATATATTTTTTCCATATACCACTACATTCTCCGATTGTACAAAGTGCTATAGGATCCCCAACAACTGCAACATAAGACTGGGCGCGGGTTAGAGCTGTATTTAACATGTTGGGTTCAGAGAGAAAGCCATATTCTCCCATATTAATATCTTCTACCCCTTGTAAACATTTCTTCATATGATCGCGTTCACACAATTGCAGTGTCCTAACAGTGCTGATGAATAAGATCCTAAATTGTTTTCCTGAAAGCAGATTAAATTTTATAGATATACGATAAGGCTTCCATTAATAAGAAAGCAAATCCACATTATAAAAGTCTACAGCTGAAAATTGTAAATAATTCCATCAGATATAAAATAGCAACATTGTTTTACCTTGTATATTGTATATTCTTTCTACATTCACATTTCTTAGTTTGTTTATCCTTAATTTCTTTCTTATCAGGGCGACTTGTTGTGAATATGGAGCTACAACTTGGATATCTTCTGATTTCCTCTCGCCCCATTCCTTTGGCCAGTTGTTAAAAATATATGAAACATCATTTACTATTTCATCTGCTTCTTCCTCGTTGTAGAAAGACGTACTGTCATTGGTCTGTACTTCCTTACCAAACACAGAGAAAAAGTTAATAGGATTTAAAGTTATATTTGGCAAATTTGATCTACAGATTAAATGGTCTTCATTGCCATAAAACGTAGCTGAAATGAACTTTAAAAGCTGGCAATGAGAACGGTAATTTTGGTTTAGAAATATACTGATACTTTCATAGCTCTGCTTTCTTTGTTTACAGTATCTTTCATAATAGGTATGTAATCGTTCCAGGATAGATCGGCCAAACATCTGACGCTTCGCTTCGGAACTGTAAATTTTAGGATTCATTTGTCTGTGATCACCTGTTAAAACTATACACGTCTTGGCATCTGCTAGCGTTAGTGGTATCAACGCCTGACATTCTAAAGATTGTGCTGCTTCATCAAGAAAAATGTGTGAAAAAAATCCTCTAATACCATTAATAGTTGTCAAATGTATGGCTGTCTCAACGGTCGTTATAACAATTCTCTTCTTCAAGAGGTCATCTTTAGTTGGTAAATAAAACGAACCCAGTTTTTTAGAGAACAACATATACGGGTGGCATTCTGTAGGAACAGTATCATATCTCTTATAGGGGGCATAAATATGAAGAGCTATAGATTGTTTTCCCTTTTCCTTTAAGAAATCTCCAAGATACTTAATATAATATATATCTGCGGCGCTGAAAAGATAAATTCACAAAAAAAGTTTACCGGTAGAGCCTAATCCGCGAATGACACACAGTACATATTGCAAACAAACAATAACGAATGAATATTATTTTGATTAACATTTAAATTCTCCAATGTCAGCTATTTCATTTTCTTCATATTTCCAAAGATGGTCCAATTCCATTCAAAATTTACAAAGAAATAACAAATATTCGGCATCCAATGTAGAAGGTATATAAGATATTCTCAACAGTCTCCTTCTTATCCGACTGAATCCAAGATTGGAGATATTTTGATTTTGTGTTCTTAATTAAATGTTAAATAATCAATTTGAGTATATATTAGCGTCGATTAAGGTTATGCTTTCCGAAAAATGCAAATGACAAACAGTCTTTGATTTTTAGATTTTACCTATTAGTGTAAGTACAGATGAGAATGCGTGATTGGGGTTGGTGCTGAAATAAGTATTTGGTAGCCTCGGCCAATGTTTCTGTTTTTCCTGTACCAAATGGTCCATACACTATCAGTGGTGGCGAATAATCCTTTTTTGTTACCATATGTTTAACTGCTTTTGTTTGATCCCCATTTAATTTATCAGACCTATTTATATAAAAACCTTAAATAGTGGAGGTACTACATCAAAACATACACCCACCCTACAGCTTTCCCATCCAGAGTGTAATGGAAAATTATCCGCTTTTTTATATGCTTCTTTACAATACTTTTATAAATATAGACTCTGTTTAAATATACGACTCTATATTACATTGATGATATCAGTCAATTTCAGTTATATTTCGATTAGCTCCAATGATAACGTTTAGCCTTTACTCAAGACTCTTTAAGGTTTCCAGATGGACATAATATATATCATTCCAAAAACATTGTAGTGTAGGAAAATGAGTGTTTATGATACATTTCTTAAAAGTAACACAGGGTACAATTTTATGGATACACAATTACTGAGTTTAATACTAAGCGACGTATTAAACTCAGTAATTGTGTGTCCATAAAATTGTACCTTGTGTTAATATTTTAATTAATAAATGCCTATCAAAGAAGTTACTTAAAATTATATGTCAATACTTAATGGTCTACTTACTTAATATCTCGTTCATGTTCATTCCAATTCAAAACATTTAACTTAGAGAGATTTGGAAATACAATATCAACATCACTTAATCTATCGACAGAATAGTGCATTCTACAGAATGTACCCCGATTCATCTGAAATTGGATCTCCATTTCAACATCTGTATCTGGCTTTAATTCCAGTTGTTTAACCGTGGTTGGGTGTAGCTCTAAATATATATAATTTTTTCCAATCCCTTTAAACTTATCTCTTTTAGCAATACCGACTTCGTAAACGCGGTTATCAGGTGCGTCTTTCGGCTTTATTAAAGCCCCCTGGACAGACTCTAGAAACAACCGACCCTCATCAGTGTCTTCGGATAGGTCTTCTGTTAAACTTATTCTAGCAAAAAGTTCACCAGATTGAGCAAATATAAATGTTTCGTCTTCAATTACGCCTTTAACTGTTACCTTGGTAACAAGATTGTATCTACAAAATAGATGACAAAAATACCAACATATCAATAGGTATGAACGGACATTTTACATCAAAAAATAGAGAGTGAATTAACTTATCTTGATGAACAATGGGAATTAAAGGCTTTTGGTACAAAATTAAACTGTTATCAAAGACCGATTCTCTCTAGACAAATGGTAGGCTATGTTCCTAAAATGGGTAGCATTACTGACGTGTGCGCAACAAATGCCACAACAGTATGGACTGGGATTTTAGAAGTCTCAAGTCACTGGGTAGAAGATAAGATACAGGTAAATTGTACTAAAGCAGTCAAATGAAAATGAAATTAAATTGAAAACTAACTCATTAGAGAACAATACTAACCTTGCTATGATATTACGTCTGGTCAGTTCCTCACTATAGAGTAGTTTGTGCATCTTATGTTGATAGTTATAACGATTTAAAGGAAAATCTCTGTTGTAAAAAGCATGCAGTCTATCTTCTTCGTCAGCTTGTTTATATTCAGTTAGTAATTTCCCAGTAAACTTGTCTTCAACTAAACTTGGGTCAGTTATTATTTCTCGGGTATATTTGGTCCATACCTCAGCTTCGCACTTAGGTTCATTTGCAATATTATGCTCTTCTTCACAGGTTTCAACGGTTAACTTTCGCACAATAGCTGGCCCCGAACCAAACTCAAAAACAACCCATTGTACAAAATAGCCATCTCTAAAACTTCGAAAATGAACATTGATGGTAAATGGGTTTGAATTGGATTGGTCTAACTTGGTCCCATCAATGAACTGTAGATGTTCTGTGGATGTACTGATATTAAAATTATGTCGATCTCTATTAAGTAACAAACATATTCTCTTCACTGGCAGCTAAACAAAGATAAGAAAATATTTTAACGTAGAATTAATTATATAAAACTCAAAATAATTACTGGATCATAACCTTTAAGGCATGTTTATGTTATACGACGTTTCTAGTACGTACTTTCCGTCAAAACGAAACTACTGTTATAACGCCATTCTGATACATACCTGCGTTTTTTGGGGGCAAACAAAGTCAATTATATTTCTCCGTGTCATTAATCCATATATGGTGTTTCATGGTATACTAAATATATTTACCTCCGGGTTAATTTTGACAGTAAACTTCCATATGTGCTTCTTTTTGGTCAACCTTACATTTAAATCTTTGTCACAAGAAATGGAAATGCCGTTTGTCTCCTTATATAACTGTAAATTAAAGATAGTCATATTAAACAGTAAATAGCTCGGGTCAACCGTTTTACTGGCACAAACTCTTACACTAATAGTGACGTTTTGCTCTGATCTCATCCATTTTCCAGAATCGTTGTGGTCTGCATTCAGTTGAGTGTTATATAATATGTTTGCCCCTGTCTTGTTTGCTCGCTATTCTTTATTTATTATTTTACAAAATTCTATCTGAATTATCGCCCTTATTATTGTTACGTCTTTATTGTAAATCATTATTATTTTTCATTTAGAATGAAGCCTGTATTATTACAGACCCGTGGCTGTAAACCCATTGGACGCTTAGGACTGGCTCCCGAAATCATTCACTTGATTTGATATTTGTTGTTTATTCCTTGCCATATCTATAAATGGTAGCCTGTCTTGTCAACAGGTTGTCTAATGGGTTTTGTTTTGTGTGTAGTGCGGTTCTCCTGCAGTTACTATTATTTCAAGAATTTTTCCGCTAACACTATTCTTGCGGTATGTTTTAAAAAGTCGACTTAAGAAAATGTTTCGACAAACTTACCACACGATCAGCATACGACATAAACTGAATATCTTTCAACATGTTTCTTTTCATCTGTCTATGGGTATATCTTTCATTCCATTCATTTAATTCTGGTTGTCCATGTGCATCTTGACAATAATTAAACTGATCGGAGACATGAGAGTATGGACAATCAGTTCTGTAAAACATGTTCATGACATTAAATACACTAAGTCCAGTTAGTCAATGCTCTGACTGGTTTACTAATACACGATTTTCTATCTACTGAATATCCTGACCATTGAAACGATCTCAACATGATATACAGTTCAAAAAATGAGCCAAACAACTGACAGGTATAGCCATTATTATATTTCAAGGATAAGACCATAACTCTGCATGAGATTACTGGGGGATTATGATAGTGTTCATGTTTATGAACTATGTATTTCTCTCTCCCATTAAGGTAATTAGCTGAAGATTTAGAACAAAGGGGCATATTGTGATCACAGCATTGTGTCCTTGTTCAAACACATTGACTTACTTGGAACACAGCTGATAAACTTTAATATCTTTATTCCAGGGTGGTTGTCGGAAGTTCCATTGCTGAACTATATCAGCTTCTACATTGAATTTATGGTCACTAGTTTCTGTGTGTTTATTTATATCCTTTAAGTTATCAAATTGGATAGAACAATCTTCACAATAATAATTTCTTAATTTAACATCGGCTGGTAACAATACTGGTCCAGATGACTGTAGGGTTGGCTCCTTATACGTCTCATGTACATCGGGATTAACCATATCATCTAGTGTTTCTGAAATAGAAGACATTTAAAATAAGGCATTTCAATATATAGATAAAAGGATGTATATGAATCATAGTACAGGTGTCCAGTTTTCAGGGGTGCTTACTGGATATGTAATTTTTATAAGTGTGTTAAAATACAAAAAAAAAAACCTTAAACCATCAAAAATGGCACGCCACTCTTTTCCATTCATTGTCATCTGCCATTCGCATCTTATACCATGCCTAAAGTACACCTAAATATTTGAATGGACGACAGACGATGGTATCGTCAAACATATTAAATTATAGATAATATTCTTAACTTACTGCCATTTTTTACCATCCACTTCCATATCTCAATCTCAATAGGACTATGTGCAAAATTGCACTTGTCTTTATAGCAACGACTCCGATTGGGTTTCAAATCTTCACAAATTGTAAACTTTAAGTTCTTTGGAATGTGAGGAGGTAATGGACTGATGATGCATCTATCAGGATCTAACCGGTATACCCAATCTTTTTTAATATTGTGTAGACCACACTTCTGCTGCTCCTTGCCCGATTTCAAACAAAGCTTACATAGTCTGGTGATTTTATAAGGACATGGTTTAAATCTGTTGCTCTCATGATTGTCAGTATTCAGTAAGGATTTCGGTCTTTGCAATGTTTGACCTTTGAAATTGGTGTCCGAACTTCTGGTAGCATGTTCTGGGATTTCATTAGTGGGCAACTCGTTAGTAATCATGTGACATACTCTGACAACCTCTTCTCTTGTAACTTGACAATGGTGTTCAACATTCCAGATTTCATTTTCTATTTCGCTGTGTGCATATACACATTTATTCTTTTTTCTATAGTTACAATGTTTTAAATATTTACATATTCTGAATGCTGCATGTCTTGGTAGATTAGGCTTGTTATCTATAAGAGTTATCTTCGAGTGATTGGAATGTACCAGAATTTTGTTTTCCTCCCAATAGTGCTTTTGTTGACAAAACCCATGGATATTTTCGAGGTTAGTTTTTGGTGGGTTTCCTTCGTAGCATTTCTGGCACATGAGGATGAATGTACCTCTGAACTCATTTAAAAGTCGTTCAAGATTTAAACGTAATATAAATTTAGAGATATGGAATTTGCTATTTTTCTCTAAATTCCAAAAGTACTGTTCAAATACATTGTGAGCAAACGAACATCCCTTCTCTCCCCCTTTGCACTGAAATATGCTTTTGCACAGACCGTAAGACTTGATTGAGTTAAAATGATTAAATCTCTTTCTGATTTGAAACCACAGAGTTCCCCGTTTATGTTTTGCCGCAAGCTTATTGAAAAGACAGGAATGTCCATCTATTTCATTATATGTATACATTCCTGGAATACCAGTAAACGTAAAGCATTTCTCACAGACCAATCGAAATTCACATGAGTCCACTGTGATGTCCTTTAGCTGGAACGTATTGTGAGTTTCGTTTCCGTGGGGCGTGCCTCTAATGATACCAGCAGAACTCCCATCTGTACCACAAATTGCTAAATTAGGACATGACATGGCCTGAAACTTGTTTAAATTCGACGGAATTTTTGCATCTGTGGCTTCGGTAGTTCCTCCTTTTGCTGTAGAGAATACATTAACGTTAGAACATCAAAGAGTTGATGAACAAAAATATGTTATAAAAAGTACATGTAACTATTGGGAATGGATGTACTGAAAACATTGGTTATAAAGCTAAGAAATGTGTCAAGGTCGTTGTTCTGGACACTTTCACAGTTTGTCATACAAATTAGAACGACTAAGACCTGGGAGAATAGGGTAGTAATAATGTTTCTGTTCCCATTTTGTGTTCTATGGTAACTCCGGTAAAGAGTCAGGCGGACCAGGAATTACTTTCAATGTAATGACAATTAATTACAGGGCTAAAAATAAGAAAGCAATTGTAACGATTACAATTTAAAAAGTAATGATAATGGTAATGTAGTTAATAACATTGGCAATGTAATGGCCCGAGTCCTGCTAACCGCCATGAGGAGCCCTTCATGTGTGTTGAGCTAATGACTAGCGGTTGTGAGAACATTGAGAGACTAAAACGTTCAGTAGACTCTGCAGATGATAAACCAAGAATATACTTAGGCTTCGGTGTGGTATATGGACAGCGACTAGCAAAAAATGCAAGCTAACATGGATTCTACCTCAATCAAGTTTGTATATGGTTTAGTCCAAATACAGCGTCAAATCACGCAGTTTGTACACGGGAAGACATCTTTAAGAAATAATTGTATGTCCTACCTTTTTTCTTTTTCCTCTCTTTCTTGTGGCTACAATATTCAAATTCCAATTCTCCATTATCCTATTTAAAAAGAGGTAATAAGACAGATACACTTTAATTTTAGATAAACCCTTTCAAAAGCAACGTCATTTGCGATCTATTTTAAAGTCTTCACAGTTGAAAACGGAAGTTTATGCTATGCATCGTGCATGTTTGACTTGATTTTACAGACGAATAAAAATTATTATACCCACAATGTTTTTATATTGGGTAGAAAACATGTAGGTCTAATCTTTAAATGAAAGTTGATCACTATAGTTCTCCCCTGCCACAAGTTCACGTTCAGGGTCAAAGTAAAGATTGTAAGGTCATAACCCTTTAAAACACCAAAATACAGTATAATGTCGAATTTGGAATTATTGTGACATCGTCAAATTTGAATGGGCCATAACCGTTGCTCCGAACAACCGAAATTTGGAATATCAGCTTTGCTAGCCAACATGATACAGAATGACTTGAAACGGGAAACATATACTACCTTGTATTGTGCTCACTGCTCACGTGTATTACCATAGTACGTTTCTATTACCTTCTGACCAATGTTTAGACCTCTCCGTAAAGGTTTTCCCCGGAAAGATGTCTCGTTAACAATACAATGCGTAAAATGGGGGGTAATCAATAATTCTCCATCTAAAGCCCCTTAATTCGCTTTCCATGACCAAACCAATAATTCCTCGCCACGATTGAACACATCAATTGTATGCCTCAAAAACAGATGTGACTTATTTTACATGAAATACATACAACAGTTCCCATCTTTATCAGCAGATATGCCAATGTTCATTAAATAATTAAAGTTTCTATTTATAAAAAAATAAATCAACTTATTAACCTTATCGATATCCTCTGTTTCCTCATTATCTGATAAAAGTTGTAACTGCTGGTGTTGTTCGGACATCCTGGTTGTCTCATACAAGTTGGTTTATATTGATACTATCTGTTGCCTTCAATCTTAATTAGCCTAACATTCATAATAAGGTTCAATTGAATCTGAAAAAAATGACAATGGTCTATTCGTTACACTCCAATTGACTTTTGATAATTTGTATATCCATTCTTTTTTTTTACGCAAAATCATCCAGATTAGGGTTAACCCGTATTTGAGCTAAAAATAAGCCAACAGTTAATTACTTGTTACACTTGTTAATTACTTGCGTATTTTCCTGCTCGTAGAGACAGCTGTTAATGACCATTATAGTGCAATGGCCGAAAGAGCACCAACACCTCCATGGCAGTTGTGCTTTATAACAACAAGAGAATCATTGTTGAAACGTAGCTTAATTAGAAATACAATAATTGTTATCCATAGAACTGTTGTGTTTATTTTTTGATGATCGAGACTATGTTTTTTTATCGTACAGACTTTAGTAGTGATGATCGAGGATATGCCGAAATTTCAATCGCTTAATTCTCGGTTCATAGAACATTTAGTCAGAAAGATCATAGATGTAGACTTAGAATAAATAGCCACAATTTTATGGTTCGGTGAGGCAAATGGGAACAAATTCCATACAACGACTTTGTAAGTTAAGCAATACTAATACCATCGAAGACGATTTTCGTAACTCATATATAAACCAATATATTGTTTATACCACTCCCACTCCCAACTTTATGTAAATCTGAAAATCCCGAAACAATTATCAATCTATCAAAATTTGTTTACCATTCCTTTTGTCACATGAATATTGTAAGAAGCTTCCATGTCTACAATTATTATGCATATCTTTATACCAAGTGTGGTAGTGTGTATAGTTCTACAATTGTATTTTTGTATATTTAAATCTAGTAAAGTATTAATTAACTAGGCATTCTTATTGAAAATTTACTCATATCCATTTTGTATATTGCACATACGTTTAAATTATAATTATCAATCATCAATGTAAAAATATTTTTATATTTATAGAATTATTTGCACTTGATCATCTTGACATATTTATATTAAATACCTAATTATCTGCACCAATTTATATTTAATATTAAATTCAGACTCGGAATATTATATCTATTTGTCAATTAATGATATAACTAGTATATACCAAATCGTTGTTTTATATATTACAATCATATTTATATTTCTTTTTACAGTCAAATATTTATAATTATTAGAGTAATTCTTCTTTTTTAAATTTCTTAAGATAATTTGAACTCATCTTGTTCTTCTCAAAATTGAGATAACTTGGTCTTTCATACATGGAATAAAGATTATTATTATTATATATTGGATTCTATCAGACCAAAAATAGACCCATCAGAAGATCCCTTTACCCTAAGGATGATCTCCATTCATTTTCGTGCATGCCGAACCCTAGGGGCATAGCTACGACCACATTTTGTGCATGTCTGTTTGTTGTCTACATCCCACAATTCTAAACGGGTCGTCTTGAAACTTTGCATACTTATTCCTCGTACCCTAAGGATAATCCCTATGTTTTTGGTGCATGCCCAAACACCAGGGTCAGGGCTTCGCCCATTTTTTCTTTGTGTGTCTGTGTGTCGCCTACAGGCCAATATCCTTAATGGGTCGTCTGGAAATTTTGCATACTTATTAATTTTACCCTAAGGATCAGCGCTATTGTTTTTGTGCATGCCCAACCAATTACTTCTTTTCGTTATATGGAATAGAAGACGTTATTGAACGGTGAGTTATTCCCCTTCGTTGCTTCTTTCTTTCTGCAAATTTTCATGCATTGGTAAAGTCACATGTATTTGTTCTTGTCTTTATTTCGTTTTGAAAATATAATTAAGTTGTTTTAGATTTAAAATTTTGGATTTAAATGTTGTTTAACAAGGCCTGCATTTGATGCCATGTGAAATACATCAAAGAGTCCGTGTCTGCGGAGAGCTTCTAACTTTCTGTCATAAGTTCAAAATAGGAAAGTTTGGAAGTAGCCGGTCTGGCAGCATCCGTTTTGCTTGCTTGCAGGTTGAAGTTGGCGCGAGATTTCTCGTTTACATTGACGTATTATATAGATGATAGGAACGATATGGCAGCAGTAATTCCAAAAGTTAAAATAATATTTTAGTTTGTGGTTTCCATTGGGAATTCAATTACCGGTTAGTTTTATTCGTTGCGAATTTGTCATTGTTTTTTTCTTTTTCGTGTAATTTGAGATATAATTAATAATTGAAAGATTGATGTCCGGAAATCAACAAGAATAAGCACCAGTCCGTACGCTACGACTAGTCATGGCAGCAGTGCCCCTGGTGGTGATGAAATAGAAGTGGTATCGGCTGCAAATAATTTGAATAATGCCCCTACTAGAATCAATGCTACTAGATCGGGAATACCAGTTTTAGTTCGCCCACCGGCTTCATATCGAGAGACTAGTGTAAACGCTGACATTGTTCTTCCCAATAATATTTCCATACCAGTAATTTCCGCTGCTAGATATAGTATTCCAAAAAGAAAGAAAACTGGTACAGGTAATTGGGGCCTGCCGGAAAGAAAAAGCGTCCTGTGGAGTCGCATGGTGCGAGTTCATGTAGTTTTCAGCAGTTTGTTAATGTGATGGCTAGGCTATCTCAACATCCAGAGTATGATTACATTCAGGTACCAGTACCATTCCATCACAGTTCGTGGGTACCTCTACAAGACCTATGTCAGGATCAAGTATAAGAGGTGGTATAACGAATTTTAATTGTGAAAATCAGGAAGGCCTCACATCAAATGTCCCTAATATGGAAAGTCCCACTATTTCCAAGAGTGTTCATGACGTTTTGGGTCAAAGCATTCCGCAAGGTATGCGTCAAAATATTGAAAGTCTACCCACTATGTCAGAGAGTGTTCATGATGTTTTGGGTAGGAGCATTTCGCAAAGTATGCGTCAAAAAATTGTTAGAGGCGAGTTTTTTTTATTTAGCTCACTTGATCACCAAAACCAATTCTTGTAAAACAACTCTTCTTTTGAATGATGAGGGAGACGACTAATGCTGTTCTGTCTATTGACAGTTGGACTAATGCCTTCCTTGTTTATATTATTATCTATTTACGCAGTCATCCTGAAAGGGCGCAAGGAATGTTAAAATACATGCACACCATTAGGCTTGCCGCGTCAAGGGACTATGGATGGAGTTCATATGATGAACAATTCCGGTTAAAAAGGAGTCTGGATCCACGTAGCTCTTGGTCAAGTGTAGATTATGAGTTATGGTTGATTCACATGGCCCGTGGTAAACCAGTAACTAAACCCTGTATTAAGTTCACAGGAAAATGTTTTGGTTTTAATTATAAAGGTTATTGTTCTAAGACATATGTCAATACTGGCACAATTGTATGTCATGTGCAGGTAATGACCCTGTTGTAGCATGTAATGTTCAGAATACACAAAATACCAGTAGTAGATTTTTTGAGGGGTCAGTGCAACAACGTCCAATCGGTTAACCACGTAATTTATACAGGGGGATCAATCCCCAGAATAACAGTGTTAATCAGTCTAGACCATCTTTACAGAGTGGTAATAGATACAATAATTCCATGCAGGATAATGTAGTCCTTCGACAAGGAAATTTGGGAATAGGTCTTTTGATAATCAAAATGCAAGTTTGAGGGGGAGGGGGCAACAATATAGGAGTTGAGGTCAGATATTTCCTGGAAGTTGGTCCAATGTTGGTAGAAGTAATGTGTGGTCAATGGGTGAGTCCCCTAATTTGTAGATATTTGGAATTGTACCTTTTAAGGGCCAGGGCAAATGAATTAAAAGAGGGGTTACCCAATGAATTCAGGTTAAATTATACAGGTCACAGGTCCACGGAATTTTCAATTCAGTAAAAATTTATTATCTGTTTATGAGCATTACATTGAACTGTCTGCAAAACTTTGTAAAAAAAATAGAATTAGGTCGTATTGCTGGTCCTTTTGCACAAAGGCCAATTTCGAATTTACACATACCTCCCATAGGATTTGTTCCCAAATCTGATGGGGGCTGGAGGCTAATAACGCATTTATCTTATCCCAGAACAAAGGGCAAAAATAGTTTTATTCACCCTGATTTATGTACTTTCAATTATACTTCGGTTGATAATGCTATAGATAAATTATTGTCATTAAATAAAGGTTCATTGATGGCCAAAATGGATATTAAATCTGCATTTAGATTACTTAGAATAAATCCGGGGTATTTTGATTTGCTAGGGTATTATTTAAATAACTGTTTCTATATAGATAAGTGCCTTCCTATGGGCTGTGCCATTTCTTGTAATTTATTTGAAAAGTTTTCAACGATTTTACATTGGATTATAGAATATAACTCTGGTTGCAGTTTATTTGATCATTATTTGGATGATTTTATCTTTATGGAGGCGAGTGATTCGGATAACTAGAGGGTGTTGATATCTGTTTTTACTGATCTTTGTAATGAAATTGGTGTTCCTGTTGCTAGGGAAAAGACTTGGCCCCCTTACCCGGCCCACATTCCTGGGTCTTGAAATTGACAGGGTGGATTTTTGCCTCAGAATTCCATTTGAAAAAATTGTTAAATTGATCACATTGTTAAAGGGCGCAAGAAAGTTACATTGACCGGTTCTCATAACTTTGTGTGTAGGGCTGTCGGACCTGGCAGGGCATTTTTGCGACGAATGTATGATGATTCTATATGTGGCATTAAGGAAAAACACCATCATATCAGGATAAATAAAAGTTTACGGGAGGACGTGTCAATGTGGCTTCATTTTTTAGAAAATTTTAATGGATTAACATTATTTTTGGAGAAAGAGTGGTTTTCCAATGAAACATTAGATTTGTACACAGATAGTGCTGGGAGTGCTTTGTTAGGCTGTGGGGCATATTTTGCCGGTCAATGAGTGTATTTTGGTTGGCCTGATAAGTGGGAAAAGTCACCTATTTTAGCTGATGTTACTTTTTTAGAGTTGATTCCTGTGGTCATTGCGCTAGAACTTTGGGACCCGAAGTTTGCAAATAAGAAATTACGGCTTCACATTGATAACTTAGCTTTGGTTAGTATTTTAAATACATGTACATCTAAATTAAAAAGAATTATGTCCCTTCCTCGCCCGCTTTTTTTAGTGTTTCTAAAACATAATATTATTTTTCGAGCAAAACACATACGATTTATAGAACAAAGTTAACCGATTAATTGTAGCAGCGTATTCATACAATACACACTTGGCGTATGCCACTGGCTTATCCTCTCTCTCCTCATTTTGTATTCAAAATAGCATTGTTGAGGTATGGCCTCCAACTTTGGAAATGGTTTTAAAATTTATTGCATCATTGTCACTGAGGAATTTGGCTCCTAGCACAGTAAGGTCTTATGTGTCTTCAATTAGCTATAAATGTAAAATGAAATGTGGGCAGGATATTAAAAAACAATTTTTGGTATGAAGCGGGATCGGAGTATAGGAGACAGTAGATTACCAGTTTCCATTACGTTACTTCGAAAACTTTTAATGATTTTACCCTCGGTTAGTGCTGATTTATATGAAGTAAAATTATTTTGGGCAGCATTTACCATTGCATTCTTTGGTTTATTTAGGATAGGGGAATTGACTTGTTCAATAGATATCTGCACAGTTCACTGTCACGTTTCACCTGGCTAACCCGAGTTTTGACCTCGCTGACCCGAGTTAATTTGATAAATTGTTGACATCGCTAACCCGACTCAATTTGAGTATTGTTGTTGTTGGATTGTTGTTGGATTGATTTGTTGATTTTGATTTTTTCGGGCTTTGATAGTTGCGTCAGCCCAACTAACCGGCGGCTGCAAGGCAGGATACGCCCACATTTTCGAGAGATGGATAGAGAACAAGCTAAAAAGAAAGCGATTTTTCGTACAATCAGGGGCCATAATTCAGGAAGTTACGGTCCGATATGCGCGAATATCGAAAGGAACCACGATCTTTGGGTTATAAACTTACATTTCTATTTTCAACAAAATCGGATAAAAATTGTGACCTCTATAGTGTCCACAACCTTGATATACCATATTTTTACGCTATTTGAGAACGAAGGGTGGCCATTTTGTCTGTCAGTGTTGGGCCGATTTTCACGAAATTCGAACTCAGTCGTCCTGAGGGTCTAACGGTGATATAATAATATGTTTTTTTTAAATCGGATAAAAATTATGACCTCTATGGGCTCCACAAGCTAAAGTCGCGATTTTTCGTACAATCAGGGGTCATAATTCAGGAAGTTACGTTCCGATATGCGCGAATGTCGAAATGAACCAAGATCTTTGGGTTATAAACTTACATTTCAAGTTTCATCAAAATACAATTAAAATTGTGACCTCTATAGGGTCCACAACCTTGATATACCATATTTTTACGCTATTTGAGAACCAGGGGCGGACATTTTGTCTGTCAGTTTTAGGACGATTTTCACGAAATTCGAACTCAGCCGACCTTAGGGTGTAACGGTGATATAATAATACGGTTTTTTTTTTAAATCGGATAAAAATTATGACCTCTATAGGGTCCACAAGCTAAAAATGCGATTTTTCGTACAATCAGGGGCCATAATTCAGGAAGTTGCTGTCCGATATGCGCGAATATCGAAAGGAACCATGATCTTTAGGTTATAAACTTACATTTCAAGTTTCATCAAAATAGGATTAAAATTGTGACCTCTATAGAGTCCACAACCTTGATATACCATATTTTTATGCTATTTGAGAACGAACGGCGGCCATTTTGTCTGTAAGTTTTGGGCCGATTTTCACGAAATTCGAACTCAGCCCCCCTTAGGGCTTAACGGTGATAAAATAATACGGTTTTTTAAATCGGATAAAAATTATGACCTCTATAGGGTCCACAAGCTAAAAACGTGATTTCTCGTACAATCAGGGGCCATAATTCAGGAAGTTACGTTCCGATATGCGCGAGTATCGAAAGGAACCGAGATTCTTGGGTTATAATCATACATTTCAAGTTTAAACTAAAGCGGATAAAAATTGTGACCTCTACAGTTTTCACAAGCTAAAAACGTGATTTTTCGTACAATCAGGGGCCATAATCCATGAAGTTACAGTCCGATAAATGCAAATATCGAAAGGAACCGAGATCTTAAGGTGAAAATGTGGGCGTATAAAAAATTAAAATGAACAGCCGTGGCCAACACTATGCCAAAAGTAGGTTACGGTAAATAAAAAAAATTGCAATTTAATTTGTTTTGTGTTTTTATTAACTCATTCTGTGAAATAACAGAGCCTAGAGCCCGGTCCCTAGTCGCGCAGTCATGTCCAATTTGTGTGTCTGTGTGCCGCCTACATGCCAAAATTCTTAGCGGATCATCTTGAAACTTTGCATACTTATTCCTTACATTCAAAGGATGATTATTCTGTTGCAAGTCAAGTACCCTGTGGCAGAGCCACGACCAAGCATTGTCTGTTTCACCTAAAGGGTGCAATACTGAGTGGATCGTCTTGGAACTTGGCATATGTATTCCTTATGCCCAAAGGATGGCAACTATTTATTTTGATGCATGCCTGACCCCCAGGGGCGGTGCCACACCCACTCTTTTGATAGTTTTTTTTTCTGTAATTACTCTACAGGTTGCAATAATTAACAGATTTGACTTTATTCTACGTACCATATCAATCATTTTGTCAGTAATAAAAAACATTTACAACACACTAAAATCTGATTACAAGCAACAACCTATTAAATATACATTATGTAAGAGCTAAATCTGCCTATTGCAGGTTTTTCTTTAGGCCTGAAATGTTATCTAAATTATTAATTAGACATTAATTACCTTATCCAGACCATAATCAACTCTCGGTGCCATCGCTAGCCTGTGATATTTAGCAGATTAGAATACATTTTTTGAAAAATAATTAAATTTTAAAAATGATAATCGATGCTTTGTTTTTTATCGTACCGACTTCAGTAATGATGATCGAGCTTGGTCTAAAATTCAAAAGCTAATATCTCGGTTCAGAGAGGCGGAATTTGACTGAAATTTTCAGCATATTCCATTTACGTCATCTATCTTTTAACTATTATTGCGAGAACTGTCAATAATGCCACTTTAACTTATCTATAGTTTAGTAAACATGTTGGTCATGTACATTTTTCTTTGTCATAAACGTATATCATATTTGTTGACCAAATTAGGTAATAATCCCCACCGGTATGCAGGGTATGGTACATATCTATTCCATATTTGGAATTCAGCTGTTATCGGTCTATGATGTAAGCAATTAGGGATGTTACTTATTTTGTTAGCACCTATAAAAGCGTAAAACCGGGGCTCGATAATCAGACACCGCTTGAGTTCTTGAGACAACCATTTGATTCTCAAAAAAGAGACAGGATGTAGAGGTTTCAAACAGATAACTCGTTCTGAGAGTGGAGTGGGATTAATGGAAAGACATGTTAATTTTAAGTCTTGTAATGTAGACTACTGTTTAACTGTTTTGACATAAAAACCTATACCAAAAAGTATTGTCGTTCCTGCTACATATTTGATCTTGGTAGCCGTATTTGAAACACAACTTTGAAGTCCTAATGGAGAGAGATACAACAGCAGCCACACCAGAGTCAACCATTAGACGATCAGCCTAAGAAATATATGTAGCCAGGATAGTGCTACAAAATCTAAAGTTAATCAGATCTTAACTTTAGCCTCTATAGCGCCCACAAGCAATTATATATAAAATGATGTACAAAATATATACATAATAACTGACTGTGAATTTGTGCCTGTGTATAATTTTTGTATAGTTTTTACCTATACCTACTGTATGCTGCCTTTTTCGATGCAATAAATATTCAAGGAAAGTTTAATAGTATTACTTTCAATTCAATATAAAGATTAGATATTAACAATACACTATTATACGTAGTGTAATAATATGTACTGTAAAATCTATTTCCCGATGATTAAGTGTATATAAATATTCACTGTTTAATAGCAGGGTAACTTATGTTATCAAACCATGGTTCTGTACGTGTTTGAAATGACGATCGTCAAGTTGTCTGGCCCCAAAAAATCGAATAATCGCAGTACACCGCGTCAACTTTGTAGTGACGTTTGGATAAATTTTATTCAGAAAATGGCTAATTTGACATACTGACTTCAAGGACGTTTGGTACCAACGATATTTATTAAGTAGTATAATCTCAACAATTTAAAATGTTACAAAACTTACCAAATTATACAACAGGACACAATTTACTGTACTATACTGGATATTAAGCTTACATTATGACAACAGCAATATTAAATAGTAAGCTGACGGATATTATATTCACGTCTAAAACAATTCGTCGAATCCTACTTTCTGTTTAGATATCGATTGTATTTGCGTTATGACGCGAACAAATTTAATCAAAGGTTATTGATAGGTTTTTTTTCTGTAATTACTCTACAGGTTGCAATAATTAACAGATTTGACTTTATTCTACGTACCATATCAATCATTTTGTCAGTAATAAAAAACATTTACAACACACTAAAATCTGATTACAAGCAACAACCTATTAAATATACATTATGTAAGAGCTAAATTTGCCTATTGCAGGTTTTTCTTTAGGCCTGAAATGTTATCTAAATTATTAATTAGACATTAATTACCTTATCCAGACCATAATCAACTCTCGGTGCCATCGCTAGCCTGTGATATTTAGCAGATTAGAATACATTTTTTGAAAAATAATTAAATTTTAAAAATGATAATCGATGCTTTGTTTTTTATCGTACCGACTTCAGTAATGATGATCGAGCTTGGTCTAAAATTCAAAAGCTAATATCTCGGTTCAGAGTGGCGCAATTTGACTGAAATTTTCAGCATATTCTATTTACGTCATCTATCTTTTAACTATTATTGCGAGAACTGTCAATAATGCCACTTTAACTTATCTATAGTTTAGTAAACATGTTGGTCATGTACATTTTTCTTTGTCATAAACGTATATCATATTTGTTGACCAAATTAGGTAATAATCCCCACCGGTATGCAGGGTATGGTACATATCTATTCCATATTTGGAATTCAGCTGTTATTGGTCTATGATGTAAGCAATTAGGGATGTTACTTATTTTGTTAGCACCTATAAAAGCGTAAAACCGGGGCTCGATAATCAGACACCGCTTGAGTTCTTGAGACAACCATTTGATTCTCAAAAAAGAGACAGGATGTAGAGGTTTCAAACAGATAACTCGTTCTGAGAGTGGAGTGGGATTGATGGAAAGACATGTTAATTTCAAGTCTTGTAATGTAGACTACTGTTTAACTGTTTTGACATAAAAACCTATACCAAAAAGTATTGTCAATCCTGCTACATATTTGATCTTGGTAGCCGTATTTGAAACACAACTTTGAAGTTCTAAAGGAGAGAGATACAACAGCAGCCACACCAGAGTCAACCATTAGACGATCAGCCTTAGAAATATATGTAGCCAGGATAGTGCTACAAAATCTAAAGTTAATCAGATCTTAACTTTAGCCTCTATAGCGCCCACAAGCAATTATATATAAAATGATGTACAAAATATATACATAATAACTGACTGTGAATTTGTGCCTGTGTATAATTTTTGTACTTATAGTTTTTACCTATACCTACTGTATGCTGCCTTTTTCGATGCAATAAATATTCAAGGAAAGTTTAATAGTATTACTTTCAATTCAATATAAAGATTAGATATTAACAATACACTATTATACGTAGTGTAATAATATGTACTGTAAAATCTATTTCCCGATGATTAAGTGTATATAAATATTCACTGTTTAATAGCAGGGTAACTTATGTTATCAAACCATGGTTCTGTACGTGTTTGAAATGACGATCGTCAAGTTGTCTGGCCCCAAAAAATCGAATAATCGCAGTACACCGCGTCAACTTTGTAGTGACGTTTGGATAAATTTTATTCAGAAAATGGCTAATTTGACATACTGACTTCAAGGACGTTTGGTACCAACGATATTTATTAAGTAGTATAATCTCAACAATTTAAAATGTTACAAAACTTACCAAATTATACAACAGGACACAATTTACTGTACTATACTGGATATTAAGCTTACATTATGACAACAGCAATATTAAATAGTAAGCTGACGGATATTATATTCACGTCTAAAACAATTCGTCGAATCCTACTTTCTGTTTAGATATCGATTGTATTTGCGTTATGACGCGAACAAATTTAATCAAAGGTTATTGATATTATATTCACGTCTAAAACAATTCGTCGAATCCTACTTTCTGTTTAGATATCGATTGTATTTGCGTTATGACGCGAACAAATTTAATCAAAGGTTATTGCACTATCAGATAACAAACAACAATGTAATGTAGTAAGCTGACGAGATTATATTATAAAATTCTACACATCGATACGAAGGCCCATTAGTGCGAAACAAAAAAATAAATATTAATCCGTTTGAAAGAGTCAGTATCTCGTTTGAACGAATTAGTATCTCGTTTGAACGAATTAGTATCTCGTTTGAACGAATTAGTATCTCGTTTGAACGAATTAGTATCTCGTTTGAACGAATTAATTATCTCATTTGAACGAATTAGTATCTCGTTTGAAAGAATTAGTATCTCGTTTGAACGAATTAATTATCTCGTTTCGGCGAATTAATTATCTCATTTGAACGAATTAATCATCTCGTTTGAACGAATTAGTATCTCGTTTGAACGAGTTAGTATCTCGTTTGAACGAGTTGGTATCTCGTTTGAACGAGTTGGTATCTTGTTTGAACGAATTAGTATCTCTTTTGAACGAATTAGTATCTCGTTCGAAGGAATTAATTATCTCGTTTGAACGAATTAGTATTTCGTTTGAACGAATTAGTATCTCGTTTGAGCGAATTAATTTTCTTGTTTGAACGAATTAATTATCTCGTTTGAACGAATTAGTATCTCGTTTGAACGAATTCATTATCTCCTTTGAACGAATTAGTATTTCCTTTGAACGAATTCATTATCTCGTTTGAACTAATTAATTATCTCGTTTGGACGAATTAATTATCTCATTTGAACGAATTAATTATCTCATTTGAACGAGTTACTATCTCCTTTGAACGATTTACTATCTCCTTTGAACTACTATCTCGTTTGAACGAGTTGGTATCTCGTTTGAACGAGTTGGTATCTCGTTTGAACGAATTAATTATCTCGTTTGAACGAGTTAGTATCTCGTTTGAACGAATTAATTATCTCGTTTGAACGAATTAATATTTCGATTGTACAGAAGCATGGAAGGGACATGCAGAAATTGTGTTTCAAGTAAAGATAATGTGATTTAAGAATCGTAGGTTCTTTACTATTTCTAGCGTTAGCGTCAGTAGAAGGAACTACACTTGTGAAAAGGGGAATTAGTATAGAATACCTGGGAAATTATCCAATTTGTTTAATGTTCGCTAAGGTTAGCCACAACATTGTAGTGAAGTCATTGTTTTATGACATGTATATGCTTAAACAGGCATTACGACAGGTATATGTATGATATTGTAAGGACGTGGATTTGGAAATGCACCCAATCAAGAAATAAAATGGTAGATTGTGCCTTAGCTGAATTTTCACTAGCTCAGTGAACAGAACTACAGGTGTATGATTGCTTGTCAGCGATGTTTACATATGAAGGATTAATGTTGTTGCCAGATGAACTTATTTCCCGTGTTGACTGCCTTGGAAGAGGATTTGGGTGGGTTTCTAAGATAAAGGGGTGCGCATGCAGCATGCAAAACGAAGCAAGAGTAGAGGTGCCGCTGCCGTTGGCCGACTTCCTCGATAGGACAGAGGACTTGAAGCCGAGGGTTGCAGAGGGGAACGCTGGCTCAAGCGAGGAACGGCTGTTCTGACCGCCCTACGTTTGATTACCGGTGAAAGCCGACACGGGGGCCTCCCCCTCTTGGTTTACCTTGAGCAGCGTCGCTTTGCCACACGGGACCCTAGAGACGTGCAATGAGGGCAATGTTTCGACACAATTACTACGCTTGTTTCGTTTTGCATACTGCTACTGCATTCCACTGTTTTTTCGTGTCATCCACAGTTTTTCGTGTCACCCGAGGACTACAAACTTTTCTAACAAGGTTCGCGCCATTAAAGTAGGCGTCGTTCAAACGAGATACTAATTCGTTCAAACGAGATAATTAATTCGTTGAACGAGATACCAATTCCTTCAAACGAGATAATTAATTCGTTCAAACGAGATAATTAATTCCTTCAAACGGATTAATATTTTTTTTTTGTTTGACACTAATGGGCCTTTGTAGTTCTTTGAATTCTACTTTTTTTATTCCGTTATTATACGTTATACGTTGTCCTGTCGTGAGTGTACATATTGGCGTGCGACATAGAGTAGTCCGTCGTAGCGCCGCTGAATATTATTTCGTTTCCGTTATGACGTGATCGTTAGGAGTACCCCCACTAGATATTTCATCTTCTAAGAGAGCTCGTTTTTTCCTCGGTGACAGCATTCGACGCCATATTAGATAAGGCGAGACAGACTAACGCAAGGTCGGCTCGATAAAAGCGTTGCAGCCAACGAAAAACAGCAGTTGTGTCAACTACAAAATTGTAGTACGAAACAGTAGAACTCAAAAAACTTGCCAAAAGTGTCTTATCTATCAAGAAGTAATTCTACCAAGAAAAAAAAGTACCACACAAAGTATGAGCAAAAAACACACAACACGTGGCAACGAAGTTCACGCTCGGAAAGAAAATGGATATCCGCGCCTTTGTAGTGACGGTAACTATGATGATGTAGAATTCCTACATTACGACCGTTACATCGATTGCATAATTCCAGTATTCACCACTCGATATTTCAATATTTCAAGTCAATGACTTGTCAAATCTAACTGGAGCTGGTTTTTACAGCGTACTATAGAAATATTATTATTAGCCTATGACTATATGTCATGCGATTCTTTAAAATTTAGTCTTTTGGTTTTGATCTTTCTAGTTTTCAAAATTTGTGTTTTTCTTTTCTTTTCTTTTTCGTTCTCTTTGGTGCTAAATCATATATGCGAATTAGTAAATTGTTTAGAGTGACATGGCGATCAGTCAAATCCTGGGTGTCAAGGTTCCATTTTATATCATTTTACTGCTGATCTGATCGAAACCTCACCATGAGCGCGGTCGGGGCTGTTGGGGCGTGATGCTGCACCTTCAGTCCCAATACTAAGCATGTCGGATCGACGCTCGTTTTGGGATGTTAGGCAGAGAGATGCTGGTTGGATACACAGCAAATTAAGCAGTCTACCATGACCTCATAAGTACAAAAACAAAAGAAATCGGAGATGGTTGAATCTGATGAGATTTCCAACCAAGACTATGTGCCCCCTCCCCCTTCCACTCTGAAAAAGTGCCCTTGAATTTCGAAAGATTTATCTCAAATATTCAAGGAAAAGCCCGCGCAAATTTCATCAACTAGTGTGCCCTCTTTTCCCGTTGCCCTTGTACCAACTAGGTTGGGTGGTCGAATGGTTAATGGGTACGCGTTGGATCAGAAGGCCTGTCGTTGAGTCAAGTGGTGTGCTTTCGATTCCAACGTCATACGTGACAAGGAGTGGGTTGCCTGTCAAAAACTCGTATGTTTTTTTCATAGTCCACCGGTTTCCTTTGTTAGTTCCGAAATTACCTTGTTTGTGTCGAGTAGACATTAAACCCCATTTTTCTCTCTCTCTCTTGCATACTCAAGGTCAATAGCTAACAGTTACCACAAAACCTACTGACATTCACACTGTCATCAGTAACTGTTTACACCATGGCCACGGGTGGTCTATATAAATCTTTATGATCTTCTGGTTCTTTGGATTGTCTCAGTGTACTCTTTAGTCAATCTGTTTCACAGAGATTTACGAGCACTGCTCTTGTATATATATAACCATATTATTTTCATTTTATTTTATTTATTTGTGTTATATGCTTGAAAACGACTTGTGAAATCTTGGTAAAACGTCGCAGTGAAATGAACCATAGTAATTGTTATCCATAAATAGTGTGTTATTCGATCTGAATGAGATGGAAGATACCGTTTTTAACGGATTCATTTTAAATTTGGTGTGTAGCGTTGAGATAGTGAGGCGACGAAATCTATCGATATTCAGCGATCCGAAACATTCTATTCCGAAGTTACCACCCTTTTCTGAAAACCCTAAGAATACGATAGAGGCTACAGTTTTTAACAGTCTTTTTTTTCTAATTTGATGTGAAACATTGGGACAAATGCGAGGATGGGACCTATTGATTTTTCCTGTTATCCGTCCAGCTATTGCAAAATGTGGGCGTATCTATCAAAGCAACCGCTTGTTTAAAAACAAAACAAAAATAAAATCAGACATATCACAAAAGTTTCATTACAAATATAGTAAATAGACATTAATTGCATCCAGTTTCAGTTATAAAAAGAAATAAAAAACGGAATATATATCCAGTCTACAAAATAACAACATGAAATACACAGAAGTAAACTTGTCGAAATTTAATTTATATAAATGTTTACGAACAGAATCCTTCCAAAATAATGAATAACAAGCCAACAGTGAGGCTGGTGTCCCCCGCCGAAATCCCATAATAAATCGATGACACATATTCATTAATCGCACATTCTTTTTTTTTTTCAAAAGTATCAAGCAATCAAACAGATTATCACCTATACACTAAGTTTCACCACTCTCTATCAGATAGAATCAAAGTTATCTTGTCCCAAAGCACCGATCAATGAAATTGCTTAGCTCTGCTTAGCTTTAGCTCGAAATGTTAATCACTGAACTCAGTCAAGACATTCACCCAATGAACGTCTACATCAAGTTTAAACCTTCTACCTCAATTAAAAGCAGAGTTGTTACGTTCCAAAGTCTTGACCAATTAAATTGCTTATCGATCCTTAGCCTAAGCAGAAATTTCTCATCATCAAACTTAGTCAAGGTAATGATATAATGAATCTATACTCAGTTTCATCACTCTCTCACTTAATTAAAACCAAAGTTATCGCGCCCCAAAGCATCAACCAATCAGATTGCTTATCTCTGCTTACCGTAAGCAGACAATATTTATCATCGACCTCCATCAAGGCATTGACCGAATGAACGCCCACACCAAGTTTGTACATTCTACCTCAATTAGGAGAGTTATCGTGTTCTAAAGTCTCGACCAATCAAATTGTTTATCGCTCCGCTTACCCTAAGCAGACAATGCTTATTATGTAACTTAGTCAAGGTCTTGATGTAATAAAACTATACACCAAGTGTCCTCACTCTCACTTAATTAGAACTAAAGTTATCGTGTCCCAAAGCACCAACCAATCAAATTGCTTACCTCTGCTTACCCTAAGCAGAAAATACTCATCCCCGAACTCCATCAAGGTATTGACCCAATAAACACCTATACCAAGTTTCAACATTCTTGCTCAATTAGAAAAAGAGTTATTGTGTCTCAAAAAGTGTGACGGACAGACAGACCGACGAACGGACGGACAGACAGGCGGACGAACCCATTTTAACAGTCCCCTGCTTTCTTCGAAAGGCGGGGGACAAAAATGTTCATTATGTATTGAATATTAGATATTATATTTCCATATTTTCACGGTAAGATAGCACCATCAATATTGATTGAAATGGGCCCATATTGAATTCTAATACGTGTGTTTAATTTTGAGTATTATGGAAAATATTGAGTTACAGGTTTAGCTCCTTTAAGGCAACAGGAAAATGGTTAAAGTGAAACAAACTGTAATACATGTAATATAATACATTCTGGTAAATATAACAATCTAGATTCATAATAAAAATATATTAAATTCTTCACGTCACATAAATCATGTTGCATAATATTATAATTTGGAATGGACGAAATATATTTTACTATCATCTTCTACACAGAGGATAATCTTCAGCATCAACTACAAGTCCTCTCTCTTCATAATGCTCTGTTAATTTCTGCCATGTTGAGTCACATTTCAATAAATGTTTATTACCTGAAACATACATCCAATGCACTTTTGTCTAAGAAATATTTAAATACCGACCAATTCCAGCTTTAAAATTGTTGTTTCTATTGAGTTGGTAACACTACCTTTTATTACATATAAAACAAGGAATAAAATGGAACCAAGCGTCTCGTCAGCACGATACTTTGGTCATTTTGAGATTAACATACGATTATACCCCCACCCCGAAATGTTAGGGGCGTGAATTTAGCTCAGTAAGCGAGCATACTTCTTCCAACCGATACTAGACAACTATTTACTTGCTAGCCACACAGGTGCTATCACTGACAAGTAGTAACATTAAGGCTTACAACATTTCGATTCTTTTCAGTAGTCCAGTTCGCAACCCCCCGATATGCCTGCCATATAGGAAATACAAAATGCATTAATTTGTGCTGTTAAATCTGGAATTGGATTGTCTAATGAAGGGCATGCGGAAAATTTTGCCCGCAGTGTAGCACCAGGGCCTACTCTTTATTTCGAATTCTACTGTCATTGGGTCTTATACACGGGACCTCGGGGTTTCGTCCCATCCGAAGACTAAACACTGTCTTGTCAGACCCTCCGCCCTGCACCACTGACAACGGGAAACCGCGAAGGGGGCCACAGTAGCTCAGTGTGTAAGACATGGCTCGCTAACTAGGAGGTCTCCAGTTCGCTCCCGTTATTGGATGAAATAATCGGCGTTGTTTACCATGGTGCAGGACGGGGCGCCTAACAAGGAATAGTGTCCATCCGTTCGGATTATACGAATACACCGTGGTCTGTACACGTTGGATTTCATGTAAAAGAACCCTCGACACTTACAATTCGAACATGGGCTAAAAATAGCAATATTGTTTTTCAGGTACAAATCTTCATGGTAAGATATTTTCCAAATGATGTGACTTACCAATAATAATAAGACCCTGTTTAGCTCGTGTAATGGCTACATTTAGTTGGTGATCATCAGTTATAAAACCCAGATTGTTTCTGATCCACGACCGGGATGGATAATTTTCTAACATATCTATTGGTAAAGATCTTACGGTAGAGAAGATAACATATTCCCATTCACTACCTGTATTTAATCATGAAAATAAATCAAAAAGTACGCCATGAAAAGTACATCCCCACCCTCAACCCAATCAAAAAAACGAAATAAATAGACGGAATGTTGATTCAAAATTAATGTAAACGAAAATGACTCAGATGAAGAAGACACATCTGTAGTAATTTATAAGATAGGTTGCCTGGCAACGAAACATACGTCCACAGCAGCTAAATCGTCCGAGCGGTTGACAAGGGTTGTCTCATATTTATTCTTTTGTAGGCAATGGGGGAAATTTACAAGGCAATTTCATGCAGGTCAGATTATAATTTTCATCGTTTCAGGGTTTACAAAGTTCTACAGACTGAAACAAGGGCATTAACTCTCGAAGTAACTTACAGAAATTTTTTAAATTCGACAGGCTTTTTCATTTTACTAATTTAAATGATGCCTATAAATTTCATACAGATCGGATGATACCTTTTGTCGTTTGACGTTCACAAGGTCCATAACTCCATAACTCAATAAGTCATATTTTCTAAGAAAGTCAAAACATGATTATTCCTATGTCTTTTGCTCAATAGGTTGTCAACTCACGGTCATAGGTGTCATTCACATACTTAAAACTCATTTACACCGGAAATAATAACACAATTACCTCCCAATTACCTTCCTTGTTTTCTATTCTCCACCATGGAGTAGTTATCTTCAAACGTTTGAATTTGAAGATGAAAATGATATTTTTGCCAATTTCTCAACTGGCAATAGTGAATTATAGGATTAATAGGATTATTCTTTAACGAGGTAGGACTGTTTATAGATACCATCTATTTTAAGGCTTTATTTTAATAAATTTTAAAAATATAACTTAAAAATATGAAATTACTAATTTAAATGATGCCTATAAATTTTATACAGATCGGATGATACCTTTTGTCGTTTGACGTTCACAAGGTCCATAACTCCATAAGTAATTAACAGAAATTGCTCAAATTCAATCGGCGTCTTCATTTCACTAATTTAAATTATACACATAAATTTCATACCGATTGGATGACAATTTTAGTTCGCTAAGTCTAATAAATTGAAACAGGGACCATAACTCGAATAGAAGTAATTAACGCAAATTGCTGAAATCCTATAGGTTTCTTCGTTTCACCAAAAAAAAAGTGAAACAAGGGCCATAACTATAGAAGTAATTAATTCAATAGGCTTTTTCGTTTCACTAATTAAAATGATGCATATAAATTTCATACAGATTGGATGATAACCTCGTTGTTAGAGTGTTCACAAGGTACAACAAAGTGAAACATGGGAAATAACTCCAGGAGAAATTATTCACATTAAATAGGATTCGGCATCTCAATAATGTAAACAACATATATAACATATATATCAACAACATATATCAAATCAAATGATAAATGTAGTTTGTAGAGTGTTCACAAGAAATTGTGGAAGACGGACGGAGGAACGGACGGACGTACGGACGTACGGACGGGGGCGACGGCAGTATACAACCACATTTCTATGTGGGCGTATAAAAAAGATTTTTTTGTCATAGGCGCACGGGTCCGCTGGGTGTTTCGGGGTAGGTGTGAGAGGCTGAAATGCCCGACATAATCCCGTTTACAGACGGCGGCGCCGCTCGCTATCGAATGTCGAAATTTCGGAGCTTACCGTGTAGGGTCCTCTCCTTGAAAGTGTGGAATACTAGACGTCCGCAAATGCGTTTTCCTACTATTCCATTCCGTGAATACAGCAACTTCAATGTGGTCAAATATAGCCTAACTTAGGTGACTGACCTGAATTCCAAACAACTAAGCAATGGTTTAGTCAACGGAGCAGCGGGGTATGTTGAATTCGTCCTGCCCGAGAAATTTTTGAAAATTTAACAGCTGCAGAGAATCCATAGAATCCAAAAATGAAAACCGACGCAGATCCGTCGAGAAAAAACCAAGATATTGGCATTTTTTTGGTACTATCTGTAAAACTATTCCGATTTGTCAAAATTGATCCAAATTTAGTAATATAGTTCAACGGAGGCCAACCACATCTACGTTGGCAGAATTTTTGCACCATGTACAGTTTTGGCTGGAAACTCTGACTGAAATCGGCAAAAAAATAAAAATAAAAACTCTTATATAAACAAACCTTTCTGACGCTCACCTGGCAGTCATCTGGGGCATGTTTCACGAAATTTTAACTAAGATAAACTCCAATTTTTAGCAATTTCATTGGATAATATTAGATTGATTTTAGTGCTTAGCCAATCAAAATTGAAGTATCTACTAAAATTTGGATTTTATCTTTAGTTAAGATTTCGAGAAACAGGGCCCTGTTTTTAAAAGCCTTGGGAGGTCAGCTATTTTGAGCTGCACTCTATATACGAACCCTATTTTCAATCTTCTCCGCCTATGAAATGAAATTATCAGCATATTAAGACTACCTACCTTGACTGGCTACTACGGTTGACACGTGTATTTCTGGTAATCCAAAGTCCTTCATAGCAGCTTTTATAGCAGAGCATTGCGCTCTGTACTGAGAAAGTATTGCAATATTTTGACTCTTACGTTTCCACTTTTCTACTAAATTCACAGCCACACTAACCTTAAAAATATATATCAATATAACGTAAATATCATTAGGGGATAAAGAGAGAGAGAGAGAGAGAATTGGGTTTAAACGTCCACCCGAAACAGTGGGAGAAAACCGGAGGACCCGGAGAAAACCCACGAGGTTGGACAGGCGACCCTACTCCTTGTCACGTACAACCGGGGATTCGAAACCACGCCAGTTGACTCAATGACAGACTTAATGATACAGCGCGCACGTGCTAACCACTAAGCCCCAACCCCATTGGGGAATAAAAAAACAACAAATGCTTTTATCTGATTTGATAAAAATTTCAATTAGAATTAAGTTTCAGTTGGACTAGCATAGGTGGATGTTAGTTAGGTTATATCCCTACCATAACCTGATCACCATATATAATATTTACATGTAGAATATAAAACCCACATCAAATCTAATATTTTCTGAAAAACACTTATTCAGTCTTTCTTAAGGAATAATTAAAATCAACAAACACGATACAGATTACATTATTCCAGGTTCAAAGAAAGAACTTACTACATAATCAACTTCTTTCTGATTGCTTTTGGACTGTTCCGATCCATCTTCTGTAGAGACAGTTAATGTGTCTTCCTCTCCCTCTGTATGACATAAAACTGTTGGATGGCGTCTTCCATTCGGCCAAATATCTAACTCAGCTTTTGTTCTCTGTCGCTTTGTTCCAGTTCTTAATTTACCATCATAAAACATGTTTGAAGGGAACTCCATTATACCTTCATGCTGTAATAGAATATTCTAATAAATATTTACTCTTCCATGTAAATGTATTTTCCAACCATCAGCTTACTACAAATACCTTCCATTGTTCGTAGCCATTCAAAACGTGGAGATATTCCAAACAGGTGGAATATACATAAGCTAAACCGAAAGGTAAACTTGTTTTTTCACCAAATTTGATATTCAAGAAGTACAAGAAATGTAGTCTCGATCGTATTCACACGCCGGGAAAAAAATCTGTTAAAAACGGTAGTTTCAATCACGTTCACGGGACTAACCCTGGAATGTAAGGTTACGTAATGCTGAAATCGATACGGTTCGTCCTCTCACGACCCCAATGCTTCACATCAAATTTGAATATACATATATTAAAATGTATGACCTCTATCGCTTTCAACGGGTTTTCGGCAAAGAGGTCATCATTTTGGGGCGGAAGATAGAAGAATTACTCAGATGCTCCACACCAAACCTGGACGTTGAAGATCTAGAGTGTTCGTCCCAGGCATGTATGATCGTATACAAAGGGGAAACAAAGGTATAAAAGTTAATTCGTCGTTGCTATAGGTACCACAAGTAAACATAGTTTTGACAAGCAATGAATATGCATCCACCAGTGGTAATAACTACCGTTGGGCAAGCCATCTCGCGATGGCGCTCATACAGTGTTTACAAGGTTTCGATGGCAGGGACAACCGCTCTACAAAAAGAAGTTGTGCGTTTCGATAGGCTTCCACCTTTTGACTAGAGAAGCAATCCTAGCAAGTTTGAAATGTAAATCTAAGAAACTCTCGACTGAAGATTGTCTACAGGGTTTCAACGACAGGGCCCGTGGCTTTGCAAACATGTACTACACGACACTTTTCCACCGTCAGACAAGCCAAACAAATTTAAATAAAATTGTCAATGACGCACTCATCTAATCAACGTTTACAAGGTTTCAGTGAAAGGGTCAGCCTCTGCAAAAACAATTGTCAGTTCCAGGAAGTTGGAACAAAATTTCCAAAGAATCCCACAGAGTCTTTAAACGACTTCAGTGACAGGACAGTGGAACTTAGTTTGAAATAAAAATCATTGCTGTGACCTGCAATGTGTCTACAAGAATTATGGATAGACCCAACGGACAGGCGTGACAACAGTAAAGTTTCTTTTATGAATCTAATGTGGTTTCACTCTCTCAAATTCCATGAGCGAGGAACCGAGCCAAACTATGTGCCTTGTACGACTATTCATGATATTGGATAATTTATGCAACAAATATCCATATCACTGACAGAGTCGGCACTCGTAAGGTTTGAATTTTAATTGCAGAAATTATTGATCAATAATCTTTATTGATAATTGAATTGAAGTAAAAATGTAAGTGGACTTAAATGGTAAAGAACTGAACAATAATGGGCTATTTTCTACAAACATTTACTGAGTATACTAGATATTACTAGCTTGAACACAATTGTTGCTAGCAATAATTTAATCGTTGGTGGCAATAACTCGGTTTTCGGAGGTGTTAATTCTAGCTTGAGTGCTGTAGTTGCTAGCAATAATTCAAATTTTGTTAGCTTTAATTCCATAAACGCTCTATTTGTACCTATCATCATTGCTGGAGTAGCAAATGTAACTGAATAATTTTTGGCAAAACTGTTAGAATGCCTGTTAGCAGAAACTGAATTAAAGCAAGCAAATTACAACTAGCAGCAATCAAATTAATGTTATATTATGTACAGTGCCGGACAAGGCCCACACAATACGGCGTGCCGAATGCGCGCGAGCGTCCGAGGGGGTCGGAGGGGGGGGGGGGTCTCCCCCCAGGAAAATTTTGAAAATTGACAACCGCAAACCCATTTTCCAAGCATTTCAGACCAAAGCGGAAGAAGGCAAATTTTTGATTTCCTGATACAATTAGATAACAGAATGACCTAAGAGCACTATCATTAGATGAATTTGAGAATTCTAGTACACTTCTTTTTTTTTGTGTTGTTTGTCAGTCATTTTTTTTCCTATCTATTCTTTCTCTTGCCTGTGTCCTGTCCAGTCCGCTTTCTTCCCCCCAACTCCCCCCTCTCCTTTCTTTCGCTTTTCTTTTTTTCTTTTTTCTTTCTCTTTTTTTTATAGGCTTAGGCCCACTTTTTTTAATGAGCTTAGGCCCAAAGGTGGACAGGTGGGCCCAGTCCGGCACTGATTATGTAATAGAATAACTATAGTAACAATTATACCTATCCCAATTAACATACAATTAGCAATACTTCAACTAATGCTAGCAATACAATTACTCCATTAATTCTACATGTAGAATCAAACCTGGCAATAATTGATCCATGCTAGAAATAATTTAATATAATGTATCCACAAAAAATAGTAAGAGTTGACTCAATTGATATCTTACCATGCGATATTGTATTTCCAACATGAGTGCTTGTCTGGCATATCTCTCAAATAAAGAGGTCTGTAGACCCAACTGTTTAGCTTTCTGTTCAGATAAGATTGGTTGTAGTTGTTTATGGTCACCTATCAGTACTATATTACTAGCATCAAATGTGGTTAGTGGAATCATTGTCTCTGGTTCTGTACACATACCTGATTCATCTATAATAATCTGAAATACCCATAGAGTTACCTGAAGTATGCGACATGTTTCAAAAGCAAACACCATGTATTACCTAGTATATTCTGTCATCCCAATCCATATACTACTATTTCAACGTGAAGAATACACCTTCGAGCCACGAACTACTTGTATCCATTTTCATTTATTGTCCCCGCTGCCGATTTTCTTTCACACTGGGTACAATGTGAAGAGGATGTGTGTTACGTTATATGATTCACTATTCTATTATTAAAAGGTGTCACGTATGACACTAACGTTTTCAAAATAAAAATGACACTTATTATTACCTGTTTTATATGTAGATGTCGTTTTGTTTTAATACCACCAATTGCAAAACATGTGCTAAGAATAATATCAGCTTTCTGTAGTTCTTCTATTTTAGCCATATTTATTACCCTTTTATATACAGTTATTACTTCATCGTTTATGTTTTTCTTTAATTCTTCTTTCTTGAAATTGATCACGTCGCGTTTGTATTGTTCTTTTAATTCGTCAGTCATAGTTCTTATTAAATCTTCTTTATAAATCTTATCAGAGCTTTTAATTTTAATATACTCATCCACTAATTCATCTACGTCATCTGGACTGGATGGTTGGAACAAACGATCAAAATCTTTGATTTCTTCACTGTGTGAATTACCAGGAGCTCTGATCAGATGATGTAGAGCCCTGTCTCTTATTGCTTGAACTTTGGAAACCTCTGCCGAGGATCGTTTTTTGGTTGGAACCGAATCTCGAGGAAGGGGATATTCCATATTTTCGATCCTGTTACTATATACTCTTATAATATTTGGACAACTTGTTCCCAGATTAAGCAGTTTATCTAAAAAATACACATAGTGTGAATTATGGATGGTTTCACTCATTACATACTTATACGTGTTAATTATATTCTTCCGAGGGTAAAATAAGTCATATACCCCCACCCCACCCCTCAAACGTTAATTTTAGCATCTAATGAACACAATAGAATGACACACAATTGGTTGTCCAAATTGTAAGCCGCAGGCCGGAATTGCAAAATCTGTGGTTTATATAGAAGACATGTGATTCATATTAAGGCTTATGGCAACAATGGGGGTAAGGGGATGAAATAAAAAAATTTTTTTTTTTTTAGAATTTTCTGTCCTACTTTTGTATAAAGAAGGCGGATATGAGGTAAATTTGCTATTTTAAAAGTCAAGACCATGAAAGCGACACGACCGCTATTTTCTTCACAATTCGTGGGTGAATAAATCACAACAAACTACTGGCCCAAACAGTCAGCTAAAGGAATATATTCTGAATTCAGAAATAAATATATCGAATTTTTTATATTTCTTTTTGCTATTTTTGTGTGACGTTTAAAGAAAAGATGTTAACTGAGTGAACTGTTCCGCTGTCCATATCTATTTTCAAATAATTATAACACTTTAAATGGAATATAAGTATATTTTAAATGGAATATTAGTACGTTTTAAATGGAATATTATTACATTGTAAATAGAATATCATTGCATGTTAAATGGAATATTATTACATGCTAAATGAAATATTATTACATGTTAAATAGAATATTATTTACTATTATTACATTTGAAATCTAATATTATAACATTTGAAATTTAATATTATTACATTTAAAATTTAATATTATTACATTTGAAATTTAATATTGTTATATTTGAAATTTAATATTATTACATTTGAAATGTAATATGATTTCATCTTAATGTAGACCGGAGGCTCAGCGCGGGGGAGGGGGGTGTCCATCAAATGGGCACAAAACCAGACCCAAATTTTCTAGAGTAAAATTTTGCGTAGAATACGATGCCGGGTGGTAATCAGTCCGCCGTTGGGGAGTTTTCGAGATATTTGGGGTCAAAGGTCAAATGAGGTCATTTGCACTGAAAGTGAATGCGCGGTCATTCTTGTATTATGTAAAGATGCTGAAAATGATCGAAAGTAATCACACTTTCAATACAAATGTAAACTTGCTAAATTCACCTTTAACCTTAGTGACCCTGGAGGTCAAAAGGTTACATGTTAAATAGAATATTATTTACTATTATTACATTTGAAATCTAATATTATAACATTTGAAATTTAATATTATTACATTTGAAATTTAATATTATTACATTTGAAATTTAATATTGTTATATTTGAAATTTAATATTATTACATTTGAAATGTAATATGATTTCATCTTAATGTAGACCGGAGGCTCAGCGCGGGGGAGGGGGGGTGTCCATCAAATGGGCACAAAACCAGACCCAAATTTTCTAGAGTAAAATTTTGCGTAGAATACGATGCCGGGTGGTAATCAGTCCGCCGTTGGGGAGTTTTCGAGATATTTGGGGTCAAAGGTCAAATGAGGTCATTTGCACTGAAAGTGAATGCGCGGTCATTCTTGTATTATGTAAAGATGCTGAAAATGATCGAAAGTAATCACACTTTCAATACAAATGTAAACTTGCTAAATTCACCTTTAACCTTAGTGACCCTGGAGGTCAAAAGGTGAAATTTACCGTTTTTGCACTAGGAAGATTTAAAACAATAAAATGTCAACGTAAAATATAAAAACTAAAGCGAAACCTGTTCTAATTAATAATAGGAACATTTAAAATTTATCTTTAGGTGGTCTTAGCACCGAACTTTTACTTTGGGACGTCGAAAATGATCTTGCATAACAGAACCAACAACAACCTGTTTCAAAAATACGTAAAAACTGTCAAAACGAAATATCTCCAATTTATTTTCACAACGATTGTTATACATAATAATACCAGTTATCTGAAAAACAATTGAATCGTTTCAGTGTTGGACTCCAGCTTGCAGGCCGCGTGGATTTCCGAGAATCCCAGTCTAGGAAATATTCAATTGTTTATTTTTTAGACAACTAGTATCATTATGTATAGCATACGTTGTAAAACTAATTCGGAGAGATTTTGATTTAACAGTTTTTACGTATTTTTGAAATCGGTTCCGAAGCGTTTTGGTTCTGTTATGCAAGATCATTTTCGACGTTCCAAAGTAATAGCTCGGTGCTAAGACCACCTAAAGATAAATTTTAAATGGTCCTATTATTAATTAGAACAGGTTTCGCTTTAGTTTTTATATTTTACGCTGACATTTATTACTTTAAATATCTTCCTAGTGCTAAAACGGAAAATGTGACTTTTTGACCTCTGGGGTCACAAAGAACAAAGGTGACTTTAGCAAGTTTACATTTTTATTGAAAATGTGATTTACTTTCGATCATTTTCAGCTTATTTTCATAATACAAGAATGACTGCGCGATCACTTTCAGCGCAAATGACCCCGAATATCTCGAAAACGCCCCAACGGCGGTCTGATTACCACTCGGCATCGTATTCTACGCAACATTTTACTCTAGAAAAATTGGGTTTGGTTTTGTGCCCATTTGATGCCCCCCCCCCCGCGCTCAACCTCCAGACTAATGTTATTACATCTGAAATTTAAATTTAATATAATTCAAAATTATTGCATTTTGAAAGTTAACATCATTACATTTAAATCAATTAAGATTTGAAAGGTAATTTTATTACATTTGAAATAATTAAGATTTGAAAGGTAATATTATTACATTTGAAATAAATTAAGATTTTAAAGGTAATATTATTACATTTTAAAGGTAATATTATTACATTTTAAAGGTAATATTATTACATTTTAAAGGTAATATTATTACATTTGAAATAAATTAAGATTTGAAAGGGAATATTATTACATTTGAAAGTGAATATTATTACATTTAAAGGAAATATAATTACATTTTAAAGTATATATCATTACATTTTGAATTTAATATTATTACATTTTGAATTTAATATTATTACATTTTAAGTTTCATATTATTAAATTTTAAATTCCATATTATTACATATTAAATTTAATTTTATTACATTTTAAATTTTATATTATTACATTTTAATATTATTACATTTTAAATTTAATATTTTTACATTTAGGACATTTTAAATTTAATATTATTACATTTTAAATTTAATATTTTTACATTTAGGACATTTTAAATTTAATATTATTACATTTTAAAGGTAATATTATTACATTTTAAAGGTAATATTATACATTTGAAATAAATTAAGATATGAAAGGGAATATTATTACATTTGAAAGGGAATATTATTACATTTATAGGGAATATTATCACATTTAATACCATTACAATTAAAGTATATATTATTACATTTTAAAGTATATATTATTACATTTTAAAGTATATATTATTACATTTTAAAGGAAATATTATTACATTTTGAATTTAATATTATTACATTTTAAGTTTCATATTATTACATTTTAAATTCCATATTATTACATATTAAATTTAATTTTATTACATTTTAAGTTCTATATTATTACATTTTAACATTGTTACATTTTAAATTTAATATTTTTACATTTAGAATATTTTAAATTTAATATTATTACATTTTAAATTTAATATTTTTACATTTAGAATGTTTTTAATTTAATATTATTACATTTTAAATTTAATATTATTACATTTTAAACTTAATATTATTGCAAATTATTACATATCCAATATACTTACCCACCACCACGTCCACTGATTTATTTGATGGACCACAGTATAAAACCTGATCTTTGCGATGACCAGATCTTGATTTATTTCGTGTAACGAAATAGAAGGCCAAGTAAGCCCCTGTGACTGTTTTACCGGTTCCAGGTGGACCTTGGATCAACGTGAAGGGATTACTTAACGTATATTCTGTAACTTGCAACTGTACATCATTTTGTGGTTTTAATGCATTACCATGTATCTTCATCGACAAAAGAGCATCGACATCTGTATAGTTTTCTGTTAAAAATAACAATACGTATAACTTTTAATCGGAATTTAGTAACAGCTGGATGTTAAACAAATGCCAGCTACAAGTCAGAAACCAGTAACCGACGCGAGTCTTTGTTACTTCTTTTTATTTAAATCATACAGCTAATACATGCAGCTATAGCAGTATACGCATGCTTCCATTATGAAATTAACCGTAACCTCAATACATGTCACTACGCGGTTATTGGTGATATGTCTGGTTTTTCAAAATCATTTATGCAAAATTGTTACAAATTTGATTTTGATACCCTCTTTTCTGCATCAGTTTCCATCAACTTTTGTTGTTTATATTATCTTCACATACCTATCTTTTTGGGCGTTTTTCCCAAAGCTATTTGTTCTGTTAACGGTGTCACTTCACCTTCCATTAATGTTTCCACGGCATTCTGAGATCTCCTGTAAACAAGTAAGCAGTCAATTTTACATAGCTGATGATACAGATATGAGGTTTTCAACAGTGGATACAGTATTAATCGCCAATCATTTTTCTTGAAATCCTTCATTTGAGTAGGTAGAAATGCAAACTAATTCAAATCATACCAACATTTATTCCACTTCATCTTGATCTAAAAAAAACGTTTTGCTTTAACAATATTTTATTTATCTGAAAACGATTGAACAGACCTATATAACTTCTTTTCTAACCTTTTTTTCTAAGGTTGTGATTGGTTGGCTCCAGTCAGGGCCGGTGTTTGACACATATTTGACCAATCTTCCCAAGTTTGGGCTAGCACTAGAAAGGGGCCCCTGTAGTAATCTCGGACTTCCTTGTTGTGTTTCCTTTGTGATCGTAAAGAAAACTAAAGTCTAGTTCGTTTCTACAACTTTATTATTAAACTGCTTCCGAGGCTTCTATGTTCCTCGTTCTCAATAAACTATAGATGGTGGTTGCTACGAATATCTGGGTGAGCTCTGATGAATGTCGTACAACACCCTCTTTTATAACCCCCTAATTTCTCTACGTCATAGACTGACCTTGGCGTTAATGTCCTTCCGAAATATGGAATAAACATCCCCATTCTCCAAAGACCGGGGCGAGAACATTACCTTATTTGGTCTACCAAACACATGTCATAAACAGATAGAATTTGATGGATATTTTGACAATGGTAAGGATTTTACCAAAATATCAATGTTTTTATATATTTAAATATATCATGCACTTTCAATAGTACGTGGGATTTGACTCTACAAAGTGTAAACCAAATAATTAGTTAAAAGATACAATATGATCGAAAGGACCACAGCATTACACCCGGCAGCTCACAACTTAAAAAAATTTCCAGGTATTAATCAATTATTAATTGTGAAGTAAAGCATATAGGCCTTGTTAAAGTTATTCGTATGGAATGTGTTCATATTGTGAACTTTGGCCCTCAAAATTGGGCCCCGCATTTTCTACAACCGACCCTGGCTCCAGTTCAACCTACCAAACAAAACCTCAGTTATACAAAATAATTCGCAAAATTGTTTGGAACTGATAGGCTGTCTAGTCAAGGTCCAAGTTACAAGTCTATATCAAACATGTTCATTAATCATGGCTTTACATGTTAATAAATTTGAATAAACGGAATGAAAATAACGGATTTCAATCAGATTGGCGAAAAGGTCTATAATTGTCCCACAAACTGGCCCTGTATGTTTATATTTTAACATATTGATGGTGTTTAAGGTTTTCTATATAAACGAGCTGCGTTCGGTTATCATTGTGTTGAAGATTTCGAAATATGTCTAATTCGACTCTTCACAGGGCCACAACATCAAATTTGATTAAAATATCAACATATCTCTATCATGTTGTTTTTAAATCCACCAATAGATTCACGTTTGTCACCTAAAGATTGTGCAATTTCAATAAGAAGCTTACAGAGAACCTTTATATATTTACCTGTGAGAAATAGATTTTGGTATTATTTCTAAAGATGACAGTGACCTATTGGTTATCAAACTTCGAGGAAAGGACATGCAGCACTCATGAAGTTTCATCTGTATTAAGTAGATTTTATTGTTATTCTGTGGTACTATTTTGTTTATAACACAATGACAAACAAAACATATATTTTCTTGGTTATTGAAAACAGCCCCAACTTTCTCATCTAGATCATCAACAATTGGTATAACAACATCGTTGTATCTAACACAAACATAATCTGATTCTAATTCAATATCTCTTTCTTGGCAAAACTCTGCAGTTAACTCAAATGTTCCTTCCATGGTCACGTTGTTAGTCTTTCCAAAATTCTCACACCAAGTAATCTGCACATCATGAATAAAAATTTGTTCTTGTCCTTTAACAGAACAAGTCACAGATTCCATTGCTAGAATCGGTAACCATAGACTCGCATATTCATTCAAATCTGTATACCTCTTTTTCGATGCTTGTTGAGAACCCAATACCGTAAAGCAACCTATAGGATCTCGTTTGTGCTCCATACATATGATATGTTTACGTGTTAAGAAGTAAAGTTGTATCTGTGGAACCAATAAACCTCTCTTTAAAACTGGGGCTAATTGAACTTTCACGTGCATATCTGGTCTGTATCTAATGAAAAACTTTCTAAAGAACTGAAGTTTTTTCTTGACTCTCAATTCACTCGTTAGGGTTTCTTCTGGGCATTCTCGAAGCATATGACTGACATTTTTGCGTATTTCTTTGAATTCAGAAATTATGTTTTCTGGGTTACTTCCTGAGGCTATGTTTAGCATATGTTGCCATTGCTCACAAGGAACCTCCACCGATTTCATTGGCTCTTTCAACTCAACCGAGGCTACTACATCTGTTGCTATTTCAGTGACATTGTAGATCCGTTCCTCCCACTGCAATTCTACTGTGATATCATCTTTAAAGGGTCGTTTAGAAGGTGCTAAGTATCCCATTTTTATTTTTCTCTGTGAGGATGTGAAACATTTAATGTTTGGAAATACAAGAGTTAATGCGACATCATCCACTTCTTCAATTACAGGATAGTATATCAAAGGTCTTTTTTCTAGGGCGACACTTAAATGTAAAGCGAATACACTGTTGTCGTAACTTTTACTGTTCAAAAAGGCAACATTGCATCTGTGTGCTATATCAGCCATTTCAGATTCCGAATACGGGTTTTCTGTGTTATTGATACACGCTGATACCATTCTGTGTACAACAATATCAAAATATCGTCTAATAGGACTGGTAAAGTGGGTATATTGTGGGAGATTGAGGCTGTAATGTGCGTTTAACAAGGAATCAAAATTAGCAGAACAAACATAAAATGCTCTGTCCTGTATTCTTCTATACTCTACTAAGGCGACAGCTGACTGTGGGTAATTTTCGGGTGAAAGTAATACTTGTATAAAACGTTGCCAGTCACCAAGATCTATTGAATCACACAACCGTGTCCATACATCAAAAGGTACAGTAATAGTGGGGTCAAACTTCAAAGCATTTTCTTCCACATAATTATTTAAACAGGAACACATTCCGGCACAACGGCAAATGTTATCATTACTTGTAAAAGCTCTGGTAAGGGAAACTGAATTAGAAGCAGCAGCAAAGTGTTTTCTTCTCCATGTTTCGGCCTTGTAATCATCTGGAGGTCGTTGTATTCTTAATGGACAACATTGGGGAAATTTAGTTAAAACTAAAGATGCTACCTGGTGATTCGCCATAATCATGAATTCTGCTACCATCAAATGTGCTTGTGCTGATTTACTATCAACTACATCTACCTCGCTATATAAATGAGCTCTACCCATTCGTTTTGCTCTCCATATTCGTGCTATATCAGCTAATTGTTTGATTGACCACGACATTTCATCAGTAGTGTCAGGTCTGTTCAGAATATCTTGCACTTCTTCATAGTTAAATCGTCTTTTTGATTGAATAAATGATTCGCACAACTCGCCTGTGATTATTTCGCCATGTGCATTCACAGTAAGAAAAACCGACGTTGCACGTTTATCGGCGTGTGGCAACAAACTGCACATGGATGTAGAAAATATAGATGGCAACATATGAACAGGTCTTTTGCCGATCGGATAGTATGAGGTTCCCCTCTTGTACGCTACTTTGTCCAAATCTGAATCCTTTTCGATGAAGTGTGATACATCTGCAATATGTATTCCTACAATGAAAGTTCCAGTAAATCCTTCCTCGATACTTAGTGCATCGTCAAGATCTTGTGAATTTGTTGGATCAATGGTGAAGCAATTTTTTTTTGTAAAATCCAATCTCTTTGTGTCTTTATCTTTAGAATGTTGTAAATGTTTAAAACTGCCTTTGAATTTGGTTTGAATATGATGTTCCCTATCTATGATAGACATTCCTGTTTCTATATTGTTTCCCACGGGTTGCACGCCAATAACAATTCCGAGAGGTAACCTACTGTTCTTTTTCCATTTCAAGAATGTCACCAAAAACAGTTTTCCCGCCGGATCAATTGGGTCAATTTCTTCATAGTGATCAAATGATATAGAGTAACCTTGACGTTTATAAACAATGACTTGTCCATCTCTATGGCCAAATTCCTTGTCTTTCAAGGTTAGATTCAAAATGGGAGGAACAGAAGTGCTGATAGGTATCATTAAACCTGTATTGATTGGTTCTGTACGACAGACAAAGACTTTATATCTCGGATTCATGGCTCTGTTCAAAATACCTACAACTTCTCCATATATTTCAACTGGTTTGTTATCAAATAAATCTTTGTCAGGTTTTCTTAAATTCGGTAAGATTAGCACAACTACTTCATCGTTATTCAAGGCCCGGCCACAAAATGTTCTGCTTCTGATCTTTATTTCTTTAATAGTTGAGGTGAAATCCATTACTCTAGCATATCTTACTTCAGAACTTGTGTTTATGATGCAGCGCTTGTAATTTTCAGGGTCATCTTCAAGAAGTTTTCTCAATTCATCTTTTTTATATTCGGTTCGTTTAAACCTACTGAAGCTTGGGTCACCATCGTCATCTTCAAATTCCTCATCCGAGGAATCGCTTAGGTTATCAGCGGCATCCTTTTCTGTTAACAGAATTCTTTTTGATTCTTTACTGATGGGATAAATAACAGCCCGACCTCGCTCCTCCCTAACCCCATATTTCATTGTCCCCTTCGCTTCTGTTCTCCTTTTGGCTGCTCTATCTTGTGCGGGCATCAATATATCGTTGCTGGTTGTCGGACAATGAAGTTTTTCTCCAAGTTTTTGTATGATTTCATCAGGTTTCATTCTAAAATCGTCCCAGTCATCATAGTCTTCATTTTCAATTGTTTCCGATGTGTTTTGTTGTAATTCACCATATTTAAAAGGCTTTCCGAGTCTTTTCTGAACATCATCGGGTAATTGCATTGGGTGTTCCTCGTGTGAACGTGAAGTGTGGTTTATGTGCAAAATGCCACGTTGTGATGGGATTTCATTCTTAATATTAGAATTCTTTCTGTTCCAGACACCCATTGGTTCTGAATGCGGTATAGAATCTAGTTTATAAGATTCTTGTTTTCTAGACCAGCTCTGATCTGATAATTTCCTAATTTCTGCACCTAACGGCGACGATTCTCTCTCCTCTACGGCCTGTTTTATTTCCGTATAAGACCACTGTGACAAAAGTGAACCCAATTCGTGACACTGCTTTATATATTTTTTCCATATACCACTACATTCTCCGATTGTACAAAGTGCTATAGGATCCCCAACAACTGCTACAAGAGACTGGGCGCGGGTTAGAGCTGTATTTAACATGTTGGGTTCAGAGAGAAAGCCATATTCTCCCATATTAATATCTTCTACCCCTTGTAAACATTTCTTCATATGATCGCGTTCACACAATTGCAGTGTCCTAACAGTGCTGATGAATAAGATCCTAAATTGTTTTCCTGAAAGCAGATTAAATTTTATAGATATACGATAAGGCTTCCATTAATAAGAAAGCAAATCCACATTATAAAAGTCTACAGCTGAAAATTGTAAATAATTCCATCAGATATAAAATAGCAACATTGTTTTACCTTGTATATTGTATATTCTTTCTACATTCACATTTCTTAGTTTGTTTATCCTTAATTTCTTTCTTATCAGGGCGACTTGTTGTGAATATGGAGCTACAACTTGGATATCTTCTGATTTCCTCTCGCCCCATTCCTTTGGCCAGTTGTTAAAAATATATGAAACACCATTTACTATTTCATCTGCTTCTTCCTCGTTGTAGAAAGACGTACTGTCATTGGTCTGTACTTCCTTACCAAACACAGAGAAAAAGTTAATAGGATTTAAAGTTATATTTGGCAAATTTGATCTACAGATTAAATGGTCTTCATTGCCATAAAACGTAGCTGAAATGAACTTTAAAAGCTGGCAATGAGAACGGTAATTTTGGTTTAGAAATATACTGATACTTTCATAGCTCTGCTTTCTTTGTTTACAGTATCTTTCATAATAGGTATGTAATCGTTCCAGGATAGATCGGCCAAACATCTGACGCTTCGCTTCGGAACTGTAAATTTTAGGATTCATTTGTCTGTGATCACCTGTTAAAACTATACACGTCTTGGCATCTGCTAGCGTTAGTGGTATCAACGCCTGACATTCTAAAGATTGTGCTGCTTCATCAAGAAAAATGTGTGAAAAAAATCCTCTAATACCATTAATAGTTGTCAAATGTATGGCTGTCTCAACGGTCGTTATAACAATTCTCTTCTTTAAGAGGTCATCTTTAGTTGGTAAATAAAACGAACCCAGTTTTTTAGAGAACAACATATACGGGTGGCATTCTGTAGGAACAGTATCATATCTCTTATAGGGGGCATAAATATGAAGAGCTATAGATTGTTTTCCCTTTTCCTTTAAGAAATCTCCAAGATACTTAATATAATATATATCTGCGGCGCTGAAAAGATAAATTCACAAAAAAAGTTTACCGGTAGAGCCTAATCCGCGAATGACACACAGTACATATTGCAAACAAACAATAACGAATGAATATTATTTTGATTAACATTTACATTCTCCAATGTCAGCTATTTCATTTTCTTCATATTTCCAAAGATGGTCCAATTCCATTCAAAATTTACAAAGAAATAACAAATATTCGGCATCCAATGTAGAAGGTTTTTAAGATATTCTCAACAGTCTCCTTCTTATCCGACTGAATCCAAGATTGGAGATATTTTGATTTTGTGTTCTTAATTAAATGTTAAATAATCAATTTGAGTATATATTAGCGTCGATTAAGGTTATGCTTTCCGAAAAATGCAAATGACAAACAGTCTTTGATTTTTAGATTTTACCTATTAGTGTAAGTACAGATGAGAATGCGTGATTGGGGTTGGTGCTGAAATAAGTATTTGGTAGCCTCGGCCAATGTTTCTGTTTTTCCTGTACCAAATGGTCCATACACTATCAGTGGTGGCGAATAATCCTTTTTTGTTACCATATGTTTAACTGCTTTTGTTTGATCCCCATTTAATTTATCAGACCTATTTATATAAAAACCTTAAATAGTGGAGGTACTACATCAAAACATACACCCACCCTACAGCTTTCCCATCCAGAGTGTAATGGAAAATTATCCGCTTTTTTATATGCTTCTTTACAATACTTTTATAAATATAGACTCTGTTTAAATATACGACTCTATATTACATTGATGATATCAGTCAATTTCAGTTATATTTCGATTAGCTCCAATGATAACGTTTAGCCTTTACTCAAGACTCTTTAAGGTTTCCAGATGGACATAATATATATCATTCCAAAAACATTGTAGTGTAGGAAAATGAGTGTTTATGATACATTTCTTAAAAGTAACACAGGGTACAATTTTATGGATACACAATTACTGAGTTTAATACTAAGCGACGTATTAAACTCAGTAATTGTGTGTCCATAAAATTGTACCTTGTGTTAATATTTTAATTAATAAATGCCTATCAAAGAAGTTACTTAAAATTATATGTCAATACTTAATGGTCTACTTACTTAATATCTCGTTCATGTTCATTCCAATTCAAAACATTTAACTTAGAGAGATTTGGAAATACAATATCAACATCACTTAATCTATCGACAGAATAGTGCATTCTACAGAATGTACCCCGATTCATCTGAAATTGGATCTCCATTTCAACATCTGTATCTGGCTTTAATTCCAGTTGTTTAACCGTGGTTGGGTGTAGCTCTAAATATATATAATTTTTTCCAATCCCTTTAAACTTATCTCTTTTAGCAATACCGACTTCGTAAACGCGGTTATCAGGTGCGTCTTTCGGCTTTATTAAAGCCCCCTGGACAGACTCTAGAAACAACCGACCCTCATCAGTGTCTTCGGATAGGTCTTCTGTTAAACTTATTCTAGCAAAAAGTTCACCAGATTGAGCAAATATAAATGTTTCGTCTTCAATTACGCCTGTAACTGTTACCTTGGTAACAAGATTGTATCTACAAAATAGATGACAAAAATACCAACATATCAATAGGTATGAACGGACATTTTACATCAAAAAATAGAGAGTGAATTAACTTATCTTGATGAACAATGGGAATTAAAGGCTTTTGGTACAAAATTAAACTGTTATCAAAGACCGATTCTCTCTAGACAAATGGTAGGCTATGTTCCTAAAATGGGTAGCATTACTGACGTGTGCGCAACAAATGCCACAACAGTATGGACTGGGATTTTAGAAGTCTCAAGTCACTGGGTAGAAGATAAGATACAGGTAAATTGTACTAAAGCAGTCAAATGAAAATGAAATTAAATTGAAAACTAACTCATTAGAGAACAATACTAACCTTGCTATGATATTACGTCTGGTCAGTTCCTCACTATAGAGTAGTTTGTGCATCTTATGTTGATAGTTATAACGATTTAAAGGAAAATCTCTGTTGTAAAAAGCATGCAGTCTATCTTCTTCGTCAGCTTGTTTATATTCAGTTAGTAATTTCCCAGTAAACTCGTCTTCAACTAAACTTGGGTCAGTTATTATTTCTCGGGTATATTTGGTCCATACCTCAGCTTCGCACTTAGGTTCATTTGCAATATTATGCTCTTCTTCACAGGTTTCAACGGTTAACTTTCGCACAATAGCTGGCCCCGAACCAAACTCAAAAACAACCCATTGTACAAAATAGCCATCTCTAAAACTTCGAAAATGAACATTGATGGTAAATGGGTTTGAATTGGATTGGTCTAACTTGGTCCCATCAATGAACTGTAGATGTTCTGTGGATGTACTGATATTAAAATTATGTCGATCTCTATTAAGTAACAAACATATTCTCTTCACTGGCAGCTAAACAAAGATAAGAAAATATTTTAACGTAGAATTAATTATATAAAACTCAAAATAATTACTGGATCATAACCTTTAAGGCATGTTTATGTTATACGACGTTTCTAGTACGTACTTTCCGTCAAAACGAAACTACTGTTATAACGCCATTCTGATACATACCTGCGTTTATTGGGGGCAAACAAAGTCAATTATATTTCTCCGTGTCATTAATCCATATATGGTGTTTCATGGTATACTAAATATATTTACCTCCGGGTTAATTTTGACAGTAAACTTCCATATGTGCTTCTTTTTGGTCAACCTTACATTTAAATCTTTGTCACAAGAAATGGAAATGCCGTTTCTCTCCTTACATAACTGTAAATTAAAGATAGTCATATTAAACAGTAAATAGCTCGGGTCAACCGTTTTACTGGCACAAACTCTTACACTAATAGTGACGTTTTTCTCTGATCTCATCCATTTTCCAGAATCGTTGTGGTCTGCATTCAGTTGAGTGTTATATAATATGTTTGCCCCTGTCTTGTTTGCTCGCTATTCTTTATTTATTATTTTACAAAATTCTATCTGAATTATCGCCCTTATTATTGTTACGTCTTTATTGTAAATCATTATTATTTTTCATTTAGAATGAAGCCTGTATTATTACAGACCCGTGGCTGTAAACCCATTGGACGCTTAGGACTGGCTCCCGAAATCATTCACTTGATTTGATATTTGTTGTTTATTCCTTGCCATATCTATAAATGGTAGCCTGTCTTGTCAACAGGTTGTCTAATGGGTTTTGTTTTGTGTGTAGTGCGGTTCTCCTGTAGTTACTATTATTTCAAGAATTTTTCCGCTAACACTATTCTTGCGGTATGTTTTAAAAAGTCGACTTAAGAAAATGTTTCGACAAACTTACCACACGATCAGCATACGACATAAACTGAATATCTTTCAACATGTTTCTTTTCATCTGTCTATGGGTATATCTTTCATTCCATTCATTTAATTCTGGTTGTCCATGTGCATCTTGACAATAATTAAACTGATCGGAGACATGAGAGTATGGACAATCAGTTCTGTAAAACATGTTCATGACATTAAATACACTAAGTCCAGTTAGTCAATGCTCTGACTGGTTTACTAATACACGATTTTCTATCTACTGAATATCCTGACCATTGAAACGATCTCAACATGATATACAGTTAAAAAAATGAGCCAAACAACTGACAGGTATAGCCATTATTATATTTCAAGGATAAGACCATAACTCTGCATGAGATTACTGGGGGATTATGATAGTGTTCATGTTTATGAACTATGTATTTCTCTCTCCCATTAAGGTAATTAGCTGAAGATTTAGAACAAAGGGGCATATTGTTATCACAGCATTGTGTCCTTGTTCAAACACATTGACTTACTTGGAACACAGCTGATAAACTTTAATATCTTTATTCCAGGGTGGTTGTCGGAAGTTCCATTGCTGAACTATATCAGCTTCTACATTGAATTTATGGTCACTAGTTTCTGTGTGTTTATTTATATCCTTTAAGTTATCAAATTGGATAGAACAATCTTCACAATAATAATTTCTTAATTTAACATCGGCTGGTAACAATACTGGTCCAGATGACTGTAGGGTTGGCTCCTTATACGTCTCATGTACATCGGGATTAACCATATCATCTAGTGTTTCTGAAATAGAAGACATTTAAAATAAGGCATTTCAATATATAGATAAAAGGATGTATATGAATCATAGTACAGGTGTCCAGTTTTCAGGGGTGCTTACTGGATATGTAATTTTTATAAGTGTGTTAAAATACAAAAAAAAACCCTAAAACCATCAAAAATGGCACGCCACTCTTTTCCATTCATTGTCATCTGCCATTCGCATCTTATACCATGCCTAAAGTACACCTAAATATTTGAATGGACGACAGACGATGGTATCGTCAAACATATTAAATTATAGATAATATTCTTAACTTACTGCCATTTTTTACCATCCACTTCCATATCTCAATCTCAATAGGACTATGTGCAAAATTGCACTTGTCTTTATAGCAACGACTCCGATTGGGTTTCAAATCTTCACAAATTGTAAACTTTAAGTTCTTTGGAATGTGAGGAGGTAATGGACTGATGATGCATCTATCAGGATCTAACCGGTATACCCAATCTTTTTTAATATTGTGTAGACCACACTTCTGCTGCTCCTTGCCCGATTTCAAACAAAGCTTACATAGTCTGGTGATTTTATAAGGACATGGTTTAAATCTGTTGCTCTCATGATTGTCAGTATTCAGTAAGGATTTCGGTCTTTGCAATGTTTGACCTTTGAAATTGGTGTCCGAACTTCTGGTAGCATGTTCTGGGATTTCATTAGTGGGCAACTCGTTAGTAATCATGTGACATACTCTAACAATCTCTTCTCTTGTAACTTGACAATGGTGTTCAACATTCCAGATTTCATTTTCTATTTCGCTGTGTGCATATACACAATTATTCTTTTTTCTATCGTTACAATGTTTTAAATATTTACATATTCTGAATGCTGCATGTCTTGGTAGATTAGGCTTGTTATCTATAAGAGTTATCTTCGAGTGATTGGAATGTACCAGAATTTTGTTTTCCTCCCAACAGTGCTTTTGTTGACAAAACCCATGGATATTTTCAAGGTTAGTTTTTGGTGGGTTTCCTTCGTAGCATTTCTGGCACATGAGGATGAATGTACCTCTGAACTCATTTAAAAGTCGTTCAAGATTTAAACGTAATATAAATTTAGAGATATGGAATTTGCTATTTTTCTCTAAATTCCAAAAGTACTGTTCAAATACATTGTGAGCAAACGAACATCTCTTCTCTCCCCCTTTGCACTGAAATATGCTTTTGCACAGACCGTAAGACTTGATTGAGTTAGAATGATTAAATCTCTTTCTGATTTGAAACCACAGAGTTCCCCGTTTATGTTTTGCCGCAAGCTTATTGAAAAGACAGGAATGTCCATCTATTTCATTATATGTATACATTCCTGGAATACCAGTAAACGTAAAGCATTTCTCACAGACCAATCGAAATTCACATGAGTCCACTGTGGTGTCCTTTAGCTGGAACGTATTGTGAGTTTCGTTTCCGTGGGGCGTGCCTCTAATGATACCAGCAGAACTCCCATCTGTACCACAAATTGCTAAATTAGGACATGACATGGCCTGAAACTTGTTTAAATTCGACGGAATTTTTGCATCTGTGGCTTCGGTAGTTCCTCCTTTTGCTGTAGAGAATACATTAACGTTAGAACATCAAAGAGTTGATGAACAAAAATATGTTATAAAAAGTACATGTAACTATTGGGAATGGATGTACTGAAAACATTGGTTATAAAGCTAAGAAATGTGTCAAGGTCGTTGTTCTGGACACTTTCACAGTTTGTCATACAAATTAGAACGACTTAGACCTGGGAGAATAGGGTAGTAATAATGTTTCTGTTCCAATTTTGTGTTCTATGGTAACTCCGGTAAAGAGTCAGGCGGACCAGGAATTACTTTCAATGTAATGACAATTAATTACAGGGCTAAAAATAAGAAAGCAATTGTAACGATTACATTTAAAAAGTAATGATAATGGTAATGTAGTTAATAACATTGGCAATGTAATGGCCCGAGTCCTGCTAACCGCCATGAGGAGCCCTTCATGTGTGTTGAGCTAATGACTAGCGGTTGTGAGAACATTGAGAGACTAAAACGTTCAGTAGACTCTGCAGATGATAAACCAAGAATATACTTAGGCTTCGGTGTGGTATATGGACAGCGACTAGCAAAAAATGCAAGCTAACATGGATTCTACCTCAATCAAGTTTGTATATGGTTTAGTCCAAATACATCGTCAAATCACGCAGTTTGTACACGGGAAGACATCTTTAAGAAATAATTGTATGTCCTACCTTTTTTCTTTTTCCTCTCTTTCTTGTGGCTACAATATTCAAATTCCAATTCTCCATTATCCTATTTAAAAAGAGGTAATAAGACAGATACACTTTAATTTTAAATAAACCCTTTCAAAAGCAACGTCATTTGCGATCTATTTTAAAGTCTTCACAGTTGAAAACGGAAGTTTATGCTATGCATCGTGCATGTTTGACTTGATTTTACAGACGAATAAAAATTATTATACCCACAATGTTTTTATATTGGGTAGAAAACATGTAGGTCTAATCTTTAAATGAAAGTTGATCACTATAGTTCTCCCCTGCCACAAGTTCACGTTCAGGGTCAAAGTAAAGATCGTAAGGTCATAACCCTTTAAAACACCAAAATACAGTATAATGTCGAATTTGGAATTATTGTGACATGGCCTTTCCAGCAATACGCAATTCACCAATGTTGAATAGAGGCGGCCCACACATTTTGGGAAAAATCGTCAAATTTGAATGGGCCATACCCCAGGGACCGTTGCTCCGAACAACCGAAATTTGGAATATCAGCTTTGCTAGCCAACATGATACAGAATGACTTGAAACGGGAAACATATACTACCTTGTATTGTGCTCACTGCTCACGTGTTTTGAAATGGATGGAAACTGTAATTATTAATTATGGGAATTCTGTATTACCATAGTACGTTTCTATTACCTTCTGACCAATGTTTAGACCTCTCCGTAAAGGTTTTCCCCGGAAAGATGTCTCGTTAACAATACAATGCGTAAAATGGGGGGTAATCAATAATTCTCCATCTAAAACCCCTTAATTCGCTTTCCATGACCAAACCAATAATTCCTCGCCACGATTGAACACATCAATTGTATGCCTCAAAAACAGATATGACTTATTTTACATGAAATACATACAACAGTTCCCATCTTTATCAGCAGATATGCCGATGTTCATTAAATAATTAAAGTTTCTATTTATAAAAAAATAAATCAACTTATTAACCTTATCGATATCCTCTGTTTCCTCATTATCTGATAAAAGTTGTAACTGCTGGTGTTGTTCGGACATCCTGGTTGTCTCATACAAGTTGGTTTATATTGATACTATCTGTTGCCTTCAATTTTAAATAGGCTAAGATTCATAATAAGGTTCAATTGAATCTGAAAAAATGACAATAGTCTATTCGTTACACTCCAATTGACTTTTGATAACTTGTAGGCCTATAGCCTTTCGGTTTTTTTAAAGCAAAATCATTCAGATTAGGGTTAACCCGTATTTGAGCTAAAGCAAGCCAACAGTGAGACTGATGATACACTTGCATATTTTTCTACTCGTAGGGACAGCTGCTAATGACCATTATAGTGCAATGGCCGAGAAAGCACCAACACCTCCAGTACATGTTTTGTAGCGGAGTTGACAGGAAGCACGGGAAAGATTGTATACGTAAATCGAACATTTTACTATACAATTTCATGAAGCACAGTTAGTTTTTACCTGATTGTTTTTCTCTGTTGTTGTATATATTAACTGGCGTGGCGAACATAGATTGTTAGGTGTGAAGCTACGATCGTCGACGTCAAGTTGTCCGGCCCCCCAAAAAATTGAATAATCGCAGTATACCACCTCAACTTTGTGTACACCGCGTCAACTTTGTGGTGACGTTTAGATCAATCAATTCTATACAGAAATAGACTAATTTGATATACTGACTTCAAGGACTCCAATGATATTTAACTAGTATAATCTCAACAATTTAAAATGTTAAAAAACTTACCAAATTATACAACAGGACACAATTTACTGTACTATACAGATATTAAGCTTACATTATGACAACAGCAATATTAAATAGTAAGCTGACGGATATTATATTCATGTCCAAAACAATTCGTCGAATCCTACTTTCTGTTTAGTTAACGATTGTATTTCCGTGATGACGTGATCTAATTTAATCAAAGGTTACTGTACTGTGCTTTTGTTATCATATAAAATCTATCTATCTATCTATAACAAACAACAATGTAATGTATTAATAAGCTGTCGAGATTATATTATAATATCATACACATCGATACAGTTCTTTGAATCCTTTTTTATTACGTTATATTTTGTCCTTCCGTGTGTGTACACATTGGCGTGCACGAAAGGTAACTCTTGACAGTCGACATATGATTAATCCGTCGGCGCAGAATATTATTTCGTTTCCGTTATGACGTGATCGTTTCAATGGAGTGGGTTAATATATATAAATTTTTATATTGGCCATCATAGTTAGGGGTACCCCCACTAGGTATTTCATCTTCTACGCGAGCTCGTTCTTCCTCGGTGACAGTATTCGACGCCATCGGGTCGATAAAAGCTTAGCAACCAACGAAAAACAGCAGTTGTGTCAACTTCAAAATTGTAGAACGAAACAGTAGAACTCAGAAAACTTGACCCACAGTGTCTAATCTATCAAGAAGCAATTCTACCAAGAAAAAACCCCACAGAAAGTATGAGCAAAAAGCACACAACACGTGGCCACGAAGTTCACGCTCGGAATGAAACTGAATGTCCGCGCCTTTGTAGTGACGTAACTATGATGATGTAGAATTCATACATTACGACCGTTACAGTCATCGATTGCATAATTTCAGTATTCACCACTCGATATTTCAATATTTCAGGTCAATAACTTGTCAAATCTAACTGGTGTTGGTTTTTACAGCTTATTATAGAAGTATTATTGTTAGCCTATGACTATGTCATGTGATTCTTTAAAATTTAGTATTTTGGTTTTGTTCTTTCTAGTTTTCAAAATTTTCATTCTCTTTAGTGCTAAATCATATATTTACAGAGGCAGATTACCTCATATGCGAATTAGTAAATTGTATAGAGTGGCATGGCAATCAGTCAAATCCCGGGTGTCAAGGTTCCATTTTATATCATTTTACGGCTGATCTGATCGAAACCTCACCATGAGCGTGGGTAGGGCTGTTGGGGCGTGATGCTGCACCTTCAGCACCAATACTAAGCATGTCGGATGGACGGTGGTTTTGGGATGTTGGGCAGATAGATGCTGGGTGGATACACAGAATTACTTGATGGTTTGCAATCTAGATCACTTGCTTCAGTCTCATCTATACAAACGTTTGACTTCTCTACTTTGTACACTAAAATTCCCCATAGTAAATTAAAAGCTCGGTTAAAGGACATTATTCACAGTGTCTTTTCATCTAAATCGGGAACTGTTAGATATCAATATTTAGTTGTTAATTACAATTCCACATATTTTGTTAAGAACCATAGTGATTCAAAAAATAAATTCAGCGCCAACAAGATAATTCAGATGTTGGATTTTTTAATTGATAATATCTTTGTTGAATTTGGAGGGGAAATATATCAGCAAGTGGTAGGTATCCCCATGGGCACCAACCGTGCACCTTTGCTTGCTGGTTTGTTTCTCTATACCTACGAAGCCGATTACATACAGGCACTCGTAAAAACAAATTAACGATAATTCAGACATTTTAATTTCACTTATCGATATATCGATGATGTTCTATCACTGAATAATCCCAAATTTAGTGATTATGTAGAATTCATATATTGTAAAAGTGGGTTCTTTGGTTGTTGTTATCTGAATATAAGACGAGATCCAATATTGTCGTTTCTTAGTAATTTATTAAGCGAAGATAATGATTATTAAAATTCACAATAATGTAAAATATGCATTCATCTTTAATAGAGCTAACTCGCATGTGAAGAGGTACAAATAAATTACTAAGAAACGACAATATTGGATCTCGTCTTATATTCAGATAACAACAACCAAAGAACCCACTTTTACAATTGTTTGAGAGGCCGGGTATACAATTATATAATATTGCTTAAAATCTATTGACACCCAATCAGCGTCAAGGTTGATTTATGTTTTTTTACTGCATTCTCGCCTCAGCGTCTTTAATAAACATATATGCATTTAAAATAAACTATATAATCAATAAAATATACATTCTTTAAAATACTTAAAAATAAAATATCTAAAATAAAATATTTGTGCATATTTCGTCAATATGCACTGTTACAATATCCTGATGAGCTCGAAATTAAAAACACTACTGACAGTAACAATTACGCTTCCGACTTGGATCTGCGTCTCGATTTTGACAATTGCCATAAACTGGGTGTTAAATTGTATGATAAATGTGATGACTTTGACTTTCCGATTGTTAACTTTCCATTTTTTAGTAGTAACATTCCAATATCACCAGCTTATGGGTGTTTGTGTCTTAGCTAGTTCGTTACGCGAGAGCTTGTTCCTTTTATTCTGATTTTTTAAGTAGATCGAGGCATTTATCATCTAAGCTTTAACTACGGGGATACTTACGCAACAAAATTATAAAAACCTTTAAAAAGTTTTATGGCCGTCATACTGATTTGATTGGTAAATATAACACGTCTCTCTCGGCTATTATTCTAGATATATTTAATCGCCGATACCGTTTTTTTAGGACTTCGAATTTTGTCTAATGGTTTGGATTGTACGTACTTGGTTTTATTTGGTTTCATTATCTGAAGTTCATCCTGGGGTTTTGTCATCATGCCGATCCCATCTATGATACACTTAAAGCAAATGGGAGTAGTTTTCATTGAATTCCGGTGGGGAATACCAATTTCCGGTGTCTCAGCCTATCACTTTTTGTGCCTTTGAAGCATGGTAAAATGATTAATATCGTCACGTTTGGGTGACTGGAATGTTGTCACGAGATTCAAGATACTTTGACATTTATAACAAGTAAACAAGTTTAATATCAAAATCAAAAAGAATCTTATCAAGCCAGAAACGAAACAAAAAGATCCTATCTTGGAAATAAACACATCAGTTATTCATCACCCTCGTCCTCCTGCATACCCCTAATCATATTGGTACGGTCCCTATCAAAACACGTGCAGAAAGATGTATAAAGCAGACCATTTTTGCGGCAACTGCATCGCCCCGTGCAGCCTGTTTTACAACCACACTTTGTGAGTTCAGTTACAGCACAATGGGTTGGCAGATCAAGATTCGGCACAGGAAAATAAATGCTCTTGTTCAATACTGCCAGCCGATTTCGTTAAATGGCAGGAAGGTTCAGGGATCTGGTTAGGTACGACTTGTCGCGTATCGCGGTGTACTTTGTCCCTGTGATAATATGAGGTGACAATACAGCACGAGTCAGTGAAAACAGCTCTCCCGCCCCAAGTTTTCTGAACTGAACAATTGCCATCTAAGTGCTGGTAGGTTTAATGGAACAGATGAAGAGTAGACTTGGTAAGCAAATCTCTCCAATTCCTTCACCATCTCAGTTGAGATGATACATTCGCCAAGATTCTTGAAACAGACGATAACAGGGTCATAATCATTAAGCTTCATGTACGCACCAGCCCTTGTTTTCTTTGTGTTTCCCACAAGTTTACCTCTCCAGTCAGCACCAGAAAAGCTGCGAAGTCCAACCAGACCTTGAAACGTATGACTTCCAATGACACGCACTAGCTCGATCACATCTATTTCTAGATCGCTGTGTTTTGCGGTCTTCTCAGTTACAAACCTGAGATGACTGGGAATATCGAGATGACCCCGGGAGACAAGGTTCATGAGAATTGTGAGGGCATCGGCGTCACATGACCAAACACGTGCTTACCGCCAGCGTGTATGGCGCTATTGCGTGGCACATGTGCAGCTCAGTGGTTCTGTTGGGGCAATAAGTTCTTCATCTGTGAACATACTATCAAAGCATGTCAAGTGTCCATGATTGTTTATCATATCATAGGTATTTGCATCTGAATATCCCCTACTTTTTTTGAAGAGTAGCCTATATATTAAAAAAAATGTTTTCTTTTCTGGCATTACCAACTAGGGGTAAATGCATGTGTTTGTGATGTAACAGAGTAAGCATCCCATCTGGCCGGAAGAGACATAAACACTACTTCTCGATTTCTCGTCACGTAAAGTGTGGGATCGAGCTCCCGATTCTTGCATTGTTGATAGACATTACATAGATTTCAATACCCTGGAAAAACGGTAAAAGGAAAATAATGTAATATGGAGTCCGACTAGCTATCGATTCCACAGTAAATTAAAACCATGTCATTCTAGGTCTGTAATATTTATTATTTGAACATCCTGATGATCTTAATATGTATAAGAACAAAAGGCAGAACATGTTACAATCATCTGAAAAAAACCATAAAAGGGGTTCAACATGATTTTTTCTACGACCGGTCAACATAGTCAGTTAATGTGAAATATGTTTTGCAGTATTCTTGTAATATTTAGTACAGTACAGGTATGTAAGAAATAGTTTATTGTATCAATCAAGATGCTTGAAATAATGGCAATTTACGGATAAAATATTGTATAAAAATAAATAAAATTTTAAACCAGACATGAGACAGTTTTGTTGAAAATAACCCCCAAGACCCAGGAAATTAACCGTTTATTTGCAATACAAATAAAGGACAAAGAATAGTATTCCTTCCCTGATTTTGGGAATAGGTCTATAGTTTGTCTATTTATAACAATTATTTTTTATTTACCCATTTGACCAGGTTGTATGCCACTGTTTGTTGACTTTGGTCTAGAATATTAGACTGTTTGAATTAACATTACATTTTTTGTCAGGACATTTTGGTAAAATATTCCAGATTTTGAGTCGAAAGTATGAGGTAAACAAAAATGCAATTGGAAAATCACCTATAAAACTGTGGTCACCGCATCTATATTCCTTTGACCATATTTTGTTAGGCTCCATGTGGATATAAAGATTAAAATAATTGGAATGTTCATCAAAAATGTTATTGGGCAAGAAATATGGACATAAGGTAGTGGTGTTGATCATGTAGTGAGTACTGGATGTAAAATCAGATGTACCTTTTTTTGACACCGAATTCAAATTGAATTACGGTTATCCCCCTTTATTGTTCCTCCTAACTTTCACCATGATGACTAAATGCTTGTGTGATGATCATGATCAATTTTAGCTATTTTCCATGTATCGGATTCTGTTATTCAGTTACTACTCATTGAAGTGATTAGGGATCTGTATGAATAGTTATCTTCTAATCATTCTTTGGTTTGATCCCTACATTGACCGAGAAGTTCATGAGAATTTACTGGCATGGTTCCCCCCTGACATGTCAGTGGTGCAAAGGCCAACATATAGTCGTTTGGATGGTACGAAAAACCATGTAAAAGATCCCTTCATTTCTAATCACGTTTTGAAGATAGGTAGTAAGTCACCTTTAAGTTTTGACTACTGCACACGAATATTGCACTTGTTATCATCTCTTCATATGACTTGATCCTAACTGTGAAAATCATGTGACATGTCAATAACAATGCATACAAGATATACATATTGATATCCTTAAGTTAGAAAAAAAACCATGTATTTTTTTAGACATTTTTCTTTATTTTCCTCATGCACCAACAAGAAATAAACATGACAGTCAAACAAAAATTCTACTGTCTATAATAATAATAATAATCTAGACACCACATCCTAGTAATAATATTTATTCATGATCATCAGTAATGTCGGAAATTGATCCAAATGGTAATTTATCATTTCAAGTAATATTTAAGCCAAAAAAAAGTGAGCTTTGAATTTGGTGTTATAAAAAATTGAATTGTTGGTAATTGCCTTATGGCTATAAACTTACATTTTGATGAAAAACTAGAAAATATTTATTAAAAAAAAATAAATAAAACCAACAAAATATGGGATGGGTTGACTAATAATAATAATAATATTAATGGATTGAATTTAAAACAAATATTTTTTGAACATGGTAAAGCAGAGTAGTGAGGTATTAGAAATTTTAAAGACAAAGGTCACATATAAACCATAATAATTGCTTTATCTATCTACAAGATCAGAAAATAGATTAAAAACAGGGTATAAAAGATTGTTTGTACATGGACAATATAATAACAATATCAATATTCTACCGAGAGCCTATTGAACTCCTAGGTCAGTAATTTATTAAATAAAAACATGAACACACATATACATCCATTTTACTATGTAGCACCAAGTGAAGCTTCAATTCAATCTGAACTGATTGCGTTGTTCAAGTTTGCATATTGTCACGATTTTCTGCAAATTATATTTCCGAGAAATTGGATCGAATGGGATTTTATTTCTATCAAAATTGGCAGGACTTTTAAATTCTCTTTCTTGTCAGATGTCCATAAGTGTTATAAAGCAGTATAACTTAATTAATAAGCTTGTAATAAAATACTGTATGACTTCAACTAAAAAAAGCATTAATAAGCCATGTAACAGTTCAATATATATTTCTTGAAGTAAACTGACTAACAGCAGTAGTATTATTTCTAATATTATAGTAATAGAAATATAACAAAAGATAAAACAATAGTCACATAATCAAATGCACAACACTTTAAGGTTTTTTTCACAACACATAAATATTATCTTTTATAAAATTTAACATGCTAAATTATGCAAAAGTGTGCATACTTAAAGGCACTCCAATGACTACGGATATAAATATTCTTACTGTATATAAATAAGAAATAATACAATCTAAAGTTTTCTAGCAAGGCCTATATACAATTCAGATTTACAGTGTAATTAATTATTAGCACAGATCATTACATACTATTCACTAAATAATCTAAGAAACGGTTTTAGCAGGAAGAACGAAAAAAATTCCAAAGTAACAAAATTTAAGTGCAAATATAATTTGGGATGCTGAGAGGCATAATACTTGGATTATAAGTAAATTAACAGTTATTTAAAATTCTTGTATGTTAATTCATTACATCATTAAGTTGCTGTTCAGTTTATGTACATCTATCTCTGTCATGCCATTATCACAGTATTGTAGCATTATATAGAAGATCTTTAATAAAAACTTTCCTAATCGTTTCCTACACAATTGTTTATGTTTACAATATATTATATAATCATTTACAAATATTTGAGGCAGTCTGTTTTTTTTGTTGAAACTTTAAACCACATTTCATATTTCTGTCTTGCTCTGGCTTCCTTCTAATCCTCTCTGATATGAATCAACAATAAACACCCATCGGTAAACAAATACAGACATTGTATTGAACTCTTTAAAACTTTTAACTACACACAATTTGAACTTGTAGCTACAAAACTCTCTTGTGTTAATGTTTAGGGTATGACGACTCTAATAGTTATCTCCCCATAATAACCACTTCAATACGTTCAACATGAAAACGCAACCACTGCACACAAGTTCAAGTTTGTTTTTCACTTTAATAGCACTATATATACTTAGTTTGGCAAGTACAAGCCATAATTATATAATTTATGCTGTAATGTTTTTGTTCATGCATCAATAATAATTTACAAATAAAAATATATATTTCTTCCTTATTTCTTTATTCTATTCACATTTCCTGTCCTGAAAAATAGTAAAAATATGGAATTAATATATTGTTTGACATTTATCTTTCTAGTTGCAGATTGTAATAATAATAAAAAAAGAATATTTCTTTTAGAAAGATATTTTGATTAACACCTGATATCAAAATCCAAATCCTCTGCATTGTTATTTTTATACATTACTTCAGACAGAAAGCATGTTCAGGAGATTGTTAATGAGTGTAGTCAAAATGGATCACCTATCATCTAAATGAATATTCACAATAACGAAGGTGTCCCACTCTATACAGCATTTGAATAACCATAACGTTTATATCTCTATCAGTACCAGTTTACATACATGATTACCAGAATTAACTTAGATAAAGATGTGCCAATAAATGCATATAGCAAAAATTACATATTGTTTAACTATTTTACATTTGTAAGAATTTTCTGATTTGCCCTTGATGGGAAATAAAATATTCTATTTTCTTGCTTAACTCCTCCATTTGCATGACAACCATGTATAAATTCAAATATGTAGGAAATTATCAGAATATAACCAGGAATGATGATTGAGAGACGTACCTAATGTCATGCCTTCCAGTGATTGTAAAACGATTGGGAGGCATCCATATTGTCATAACGTCCAGTGATCGTAAAACAATTGGGAGGAGTCCCTATTTTCACGACTTCCAGTGATTGTAAAAGGATGAGAGGCATCCATATTGTCATACTTGTCAATGATTGTAAAACAATTGAGTAAGATTGACTGCAGATCCAGTTATAATCAAGATAAATTAAATATCAAATCCACACGATTTTTCAAAACCTCAACAGATTTCAAAAGTTATGAATCCTGATAAATACATAAAATAACTTTTGACTAGAAAAATATACTTACAGATCAACTGTACATAATTTCCAGGGAAGGTTCCAAAGTTTCCTGTTCTACCAGAGGTTCCCACATACCAACCATCATCACACTGTTCCATAACATATATTTCATCACCTTCCTGTAATTCTAATTCATCTTCATTCTGTGGCTTATACATGTATATAGCACGATACCTAAATAAAAACAGTATCATGTTATTTAAGAATCTTAATGGCCTCATCACCCAAAACAAATGGACAAACATAAATAAAAAAAATTATGATTCAACTTTACTGAACATGTCTATGCATAAACCTTGTGTTATGTATAGCAAACAGTACCTTACATGTTACTTTTACATTATTTTCTACAAAACTGTTCATATTGCAAGGGCTGCAGTTATAGAGTCAAAATCATATTACTGAGTCTATTATGCCATCATTACATTAATGGATGAATAATATAACTTCTGTAGATAGAATTATATTCAGTATTTAAATCTTACCTATTTATAGCTAAATCATCGTCAGGGACTTTACTTTTGACACCATAACTTGGTTTAGTAGCCACTGGTTTAGCTTCCTGTCTCGTTACAGTGTTTATAGTGACTTGTTTTTTAGGTTGTGTTGGACTTAGTTGAGGTTTAATTTGACCTAAAATTCTCTGCTCCAATTCTTGGTTAATAGGAGAGAGTGGATTAGATTGAGATCGTAGAGCACCAGGACTCTGTTGCTGTTGTTGACGGTAGCCAAATTGTGTTGCAGGAAATCGGCTCTGGTTAAATGCACTGGGTGATGGTTGAGGGGGTGGTGTAGGAGCATCATAACCAACAGGAGATAACATCTCAGGAGTTCCTGAATAACACACATCAATAAACTCTTAAACAGGACTTATAGGGGTTAATATGTTTGCACTACTATGATACATAAACAATTAATTTTGGCCGTACAATCTTTTCTAAATATCTGATGCCTGAGATAGGTTTTTATTTTGTCAAAAGATCACTGTGCTAAATGACTTCTCATTAACATCACATTTCAAGGCACTAAATTTATCTCATCATTTTGTTTACAGGAATAATATCCAGGATCATTTATGAGTGTCAATAACAGTTATCAAAGCTGCTTGCATTCCCATATGCATTACTTCCTGTAACCAAGGGAAACTATTTACATTTGGTGATTAATGAGACTGTTTTTATTTTTTAAAATAAAACAGGTCATGTGAATCTTTTTAGATGATTTGGGAATATATCTGAGAAATAGAATAATTTTTGTTTCAATACTTCAAAATTATCGAGATGAATATTATATAAACATAATTTAGCCAAAAGCAAAAGTTAGATCTACGTATAATACTAATGAATTAAATAGATGAGACATCATCTTGATGTATACCTCTTCCAGTCATAGGGGTACAAATAACAGATGGTGCAGGAGTTATAAGAGGGGTGGAGGGTTCTTGAATGATTTCAATATAAGCTGCTGGAAAGATACCCTGTTTGTTACCACTTCTACCTTCATACCAGTTTTCATCTACTGTACGTAACAATGTTACATATTCACCCTAAAAATACATCAAATTCATTTTATTATTAATATATACTCTTCAAAAAAAGTAGGGGATATTGAAATGCAAATACCTATGCATGTTGTGATATGATAAATAGTCATGCACACTTGACATGCTTTGAGAGTATGTTCACAGATAAAGAACTTATTGCCCTAACAGAACCACTGAGCTGCATGTGCGACACGCAATAGCGCCATAAACGTGGCAGGGGTTCATTGTCAAATTTGACACTTCAAGGAAAGGTTGATGAAAACTGCCGCTTGCTGGTTTATCCTATCCATGTTTGCTTTCCTATCGGTTCTTGCATAAGATTTACTGTTTAGCATATCTTTGCAAAAAGTCTCATCCAAACTTCATCACAGTCCGAATATTTTAATCCAATTCAAACAAACAAACATAACTGCGTAGCTTTTATTGACATAACATACATTGCGAAAATATTTACCTTTCTCAGTGAGAGTTCCACTGGAGATTGTGCTGTAAAATTATATTTAACACGTCCTTGACCTTCAGCTTGTACAGCGGCTGCTTGTGCTGCCTCGATAGAGGTCATAACCTGAATTTAAAAATCATAATTATACATAAAAAAACATCATCAATTATAGGTGAACAGAAATGTGTGTCTATTTATTAAAACCAGCCCATTTTGTTTGTTCAGAGCCGATATTAATTGCCAGATCACTGACAATTTACTAGGGAAGAGTAATAAACAATTTACTAAGTTTTCCACCAAAATCTGTTTGAAGAATTACTTAAGAGATACCTCACCTCTACATAGTTAACAGGGAAAATTCCTACAGTTCCATGTCTATCTCCCTCAAACCAGTTTTTATCTATCTGTCTTAATAGGTATATAATATCACCTTTTCTAAATGACAGCTCCCTGTAATAGACCAATACATGTAATATGATCTTAAATATAATTACCCATGTATAACATGCAACCATATATAACACACAGATAGAATTTACTTACGATTTTATTGCAAATTTCAGTGATTGTATGCAAAAAGTTGCAGTCAAAGAGTGTATATAACACACAGATAGAATTTACATATGATTTTATTGCAAATTTCAATGATTGTATGTAACAAGTTGCAGTCAAAGAGTGTTTACAGTCTTTTAAATTAAATTAAAATACATATAATATACAGATAGCTATTCGTTAGTTCCTAATACACTTACCTTGCATTCTGGGCATTAAAAGTATATTTTGCTCTTGCTTTACCCTGAATCTGAAAGCCCCTTCTTCTCTCAGCAGGAACACTCAATAATGTCATTCCTGTTGTTGGAGATCCTCCTACCATTCCATTAGTTTCATTAAATCGGTCATTAGATATAGGAGATTTCATCGATGGCCTACAAATTAATAATATATTTATCATTTATTGTCATACAAAAACACATTATATAATCTTTTCAACAATTATATACAGTAAATTCTACAGTGTCTATTTAAAAGTCTACATTGTGTATATCAGGTCACACAACCCAATTACAAAATTCAATTTCACATTTATTTTCATTGATATTAATAAAAATATTTACATTATGGTAAACCTGAATATGCTTGACATAACACATCTATCACAAGTTAAGTGAACTTTAGCTGGTGACACATAAGGTCAGGAAACCATATTAAAGTAAACATCAAAGCAGCAATGCCTTCTGATCATGTTCTTATAAAATGTCAGGTAAAGTTGTTGAAATACTCACATAAAGAAATCATTATGTCTACGAGATTGTATATCTTGTTCTTCTTGTAATGCTTTTCTTTTTCTTTCCTCTTCATATAATTGTTCCTGTATAATAGAGTAGTAATATATTATTAATATCTACTACCGAGATACAAATATAATTGGATCTCTTATTTTTGTGGCGTGGTTCCTCTTTCTCAGTGGTTCAGAACCGAGAGCTTGCTAATGGACAGCGTGTAGATGTTCAACTTCAAATGGGACGAAAAACTGAGGCAGTGGGAATTCATTATAAGAGCAGGCCACAGTGCCGCTGTCCATGCAAAATTTCCCTCATTAGCCCAGTTGGAGCAGAATAGTAGGATGTTAAACCCCATTTCATTTCATTTTATTTTTGTCATAACTTATAAGTACCATAGAAGTCAATATTGCTAATTTTTTTTTTCTTTTTCTGATCTTGCTTTATTTAAATCTATTCATTCATTTCAACATCTCAAAGTATACATGGGATAACATTTCATCAATAGATGTTAGAGCATATATACTTGTCATCCATATGTTTAATTAATGCAGGGAGCTCACAGAGTATCAGTATTCAGTTGATAAAATCTTTTAACATTGACTAATATGGACACATTTTTACACAATAACATATTACACAAATCTAGATCTGATTTAAATTTCATTTTAGAATGTAAAAATTTTCAAATGTTCTAAACTTACTGTCGAGAAACATCTGAGAAAAAATGTACACGGACAAGAACATGGCATATTACATTAATAATTTACATGATTATGATGTCATAGATAGGAATCATCATACCATTATGATGTCATTCATTTTATGTATAATTTAACAGACACATCAAATACCATAATACGCAACAAGTTTTAGCATGATTTTAATGACTTTAATCCCTTGCCAACAACAATTATATTGGGAATGTTGAATCTCTAAAAGGAATGTCTAAAAACGGTTCAATTCTATTCAGCAATCACATAGACATGATGAATTGAGGATTTGTCAACATTATGAATATAAATGGGATATCGTCAAAATAAGATAGCACTACCTATGATCTTGGGAAAAATCTTTGGATGGGCCTCTTTTGAATCCAAATGAATCAAAGCTGTGAGATAATTGACCATTTATATTTTGATTTCTTAATCAAATGTTAAATATTGAATTGAGTTCATTTTAGCATGGATTAAGCTAAGAACAATGCAAATAACAATCAATGGTTTTAATAAATTGAAATCTAGACAATCTGTACAACAAAGATATTATCCAGTAGTCACCTGCATAGGCGTACCGGCATGAGGATAGTTAGGGGGGGGCAGAACCCGAAATGCCTGAAAAAAAATTGCGTTTACAGACAGTGGCTACCCACCCCCCCTGCGTTTTCCTGCTATTTCAGCCAGTGAACAAAGCAACTTCAAAGTGGTCTAATATATCCTTATTAAGGTGGCTGACTCGAATTCCAATCAATCGTTTACAGTCCACGAAGACGGGACTGTTGGGAAAAAATTTGACTGTCGCAAAAATGATTTCCAGCTTTTCCAGTCTGTGAAAACAGCAAATTCAATGTGGTTCAATGTAGCCTACCTGGCTGACCCAAATTCCAATCAACTAATCATTTGTCGCGGGATATGGGGGCCTGAAAATTTAACCACCACAAATACGTTTTCTGCTAAATATTCTAGCCCGTGTAAGCAACTCCAAAAGTGTCCAATGGTTTTGTAACCGAAAACCCCCTCTGAATTCCACCCATCCAATCAGACTGTTGCAGCTGCATTCACAAATAATAATCGATACCCGAAAAAAGTGGTTCCAAAGACAAAATGTTTTAATCCATAGTCATCTCAGTACAAATTCGTGGTATTCAATTAAAAGAAAAGTAAAATTAGTGTTTTATTAGCGCTCGATGACAATTTCGGGGGGCAGAACCCGAAATGCCTGAAAAAATTTCGGGTTTACCGACAGCGACGCCGGTCTTTTTTGAGAGGTGAAGAAGCGGAGCTGACCTTGTATGGACCCCCACCCCCAAAGAAAATTTTGGAATATTTGACGGACGCAAACGCATTTTCCTGCTATTCCAGCACGTAAAATTAGTGTTTTATTAGTTTTCGGGCACTTTATTTTGCCATGTAGATAAAATAAAAATTTTTTTATCACTTTACCCGTCTGCCCGAAAAGTCAGATTGCCCGAAAGTTAGGGGGACAGCTGCCCCCCTGGCGCGTACGCCTATGGTCACCTGTAATCATCTTACCAGTCTTTGTCTTCTATATAATTTATCCTCTTCCTTTCTCCTCCTTTCTTTCTCAGACATTGGCACCGAGCGTATAACATCACTGGTTTGATGTTTAAATGCTAAAAAGTTACAACAAAAAATATAACATTTTTCTTTAGATTCCTAACTTTGATAATTTATTCAATTCATGCAAAAACTTTCACACAATATTAAACAGGAAAAGCACAACAAGATAAAAGATTTAATTTCACAGATAATACTAGTAATGAGAAAGCCATTCAAAATAGGAACAGAATAAAATTAATTCTTAGTTTTTCAATAATTAGAAGTCTTTGAGTGTAAAGTGTCATTCGTATAAAAAAAACGTATAGAATTCAAAACAAATTCATAATGGCTAGCTTGTAAATATTTCAAAATAAGCGGAAGCTCTTCTATTATTGATGCTATTAAAAGTCTTTCAAGTCAGATGTTAATGCAAAAAAGCAGAAGTGATAGTTATTTTGTATTAAAACCAAAATTAATAAATACAGTAACTTTTTAACTATTAAATTGTTAAAAGCATGATAGCTATGTTATTTTATCATCATAATTTATAACACCCAAATTTGTTAAGGAACCAAAAATATTTAGAAATTTTAAACCAAGTGGAATATTACTTTAAAAAGGGCTGGGGTGGGATGAAATTGAACCTGCCATCTACATTGTACTTTTGAGACATATAAACTTGGCTTTAATATATAAACAATAATTTTGTCCTAAATATTTTAACTACTAAGTTTATATTTTTAATGGAATGATGTGCATTTAATTAGAACTGTATTATGTCACAATACTATGAAGAATATAGCTGCTAGAATGAGAATGTGGTCTGTTACTCTTCCAATTTTCCAATGATTTATCATAATATATTATGAGTTAAAAACAAATGCTGTTTCATTAGGTGTGGTACCAGATGAAATTTTTGTTTTTTCTTATTCATTAGAAAAATGATTTTATCAGTTATATTTTTTCTATGGTGTAACATGCAACCTACTAATTGTCTTGCAAGTAAAAGTAAGGGGTTTTATTTATTATTGAATAAATAGTGTATTTGATTAGTAATGTAAAAATTTCATGTGTGCTTAATTCTTCATTGTTATTTTAGTATATTAATATAATGCACTGTAAACATAATCAACATTTAAAATAAGTTGATGTAATTACTTTAATGCCTAAATAACGTTTAAAAAAAATGGAATGAAAATTCAGATAATTAAAAAAATATGAAATTAAATCTGTCTAAAACTATGGAATCCCATCCTTAATTAGAAACATGCAAAACCGATGTACTACCCTAAAATTAGAAATCTGTACACCTGTACAAAAGAACTTATGTTTTCTTTATGTTATCGAGTTTGATTTACTTCTTTAAACATACATTATGCAAGAGCTAAATCTGTCTATTGCAGGTCTTTCTTTAGGCATGAAATGTTATTAATTAGACATTAATTAACCTATCCAATAATCAACTCTTGATGGCATCACTAGCCTGCGATATTTAGTGGATTGTCAGCCAATTTACTGCATAACTTTCCTTCACGATTAAATGGATAATCGAGACTATGCTGTTTATCATACTGATTTTAGTAATGATGATCGAGGCTAGGCGGAAATTTCATTCGCTTAGATCTCGGTTCATAGTGGATCAATTTGAATGAAATTTTCAGCAAATTGCCTTTACATTATCTAGTTTTTAACCATTATAGTGAAAACTGCCAACTCGTTATCGAATCTCCCATAATGTGTCTTTAAATATTGTTCATATCATAGTAAAAAATAATTTGCTATAGCTTGGAAGTCAGGGCACAGCCCCCCAGATTCGGTGAACCGTCCATTTTATCGAGCAATGTATTTCCAATTTTCGGACACAAACATCAGAGAATGAGATCATATATTGTGTAATTAATTAAGAATAAACAACCATCAGAGTTTTGTGGAAAACTTGTTTTAGTTAATGATTGATTCAATCAGAAAATTGGTGTGACAAAGAAAATTTTCCGGCAAATAGCTTCAACCCCCACCCCCACCCCCTACTCCAACTGTGATTGGTCCCCTACACCTATGAGTCAGGGTAAAATATTTGGTCACTGGTTTACAGTGCAACCTGGCATACGATAAAACTCTATAAAAAGACCGAATAGTAACTTTCTGGAAAATCAACACACTATTTATGCAATATGAGGCAAGGGCAAGACTTTTCTTAATTGTACTCCTCGAATATTATATTATCAGGTAATAAGCCACAACCTAATGTATTATTTACGATGATACTGTGTAAAAAGTTAAAAGCTAAAGTAGTTAAGCAAGAACAGAAAGATTTTAGGTCAACATATGATACCTGTTAAGCAACACATTTATGGACATATATGTACATATACATTAAATTTCAAGATACCTAGAAAAGGTTTCTACATATGGATGCACTAAATGTTTGGGATTTTTTTTACTGACAATAATTTGTATATAAATATTATGAAACTAAGCTTTTCGCGTGACTTATTATAATATAATGTTCAAGGGTATAATGTTCAAGGAAAGGAAGGAGGTCGGAAGGATGTCCTGTATCAACTGATATCATATGATATGACTTATAAGATAGAAATAATAAAACAAAATTAGATAAATAAATAGAATTTAAAATATATATTATAAATATACATTAAAAAAAACAATTTGTGTTTAGACTTTATACCTCCATTTTCATTAGTTTTCACCAATGGTGGGTTTTTAACACCCAATTGTTCAACAGCAGACAAACTGCTGCGTGGCATCCGTAGTTTTGCGGGTTTAATAGTGGGTGATTGATGGGTACGAGCAGGGGGACTAGGCACATTACTAGGTGAGATGGGTTGTGATTTAGATGTAGCTTCAGGTTGATATCGAGTCAAGTTGGGTTCACTATTTGACACAACAACATTAGTCAGATTTGTGTTCTGTGCATTTGGGTAGCTTCCCTTATATTGTTCGTCTGTTTTGACATGAGCTGGTGTCCATTCTACAACATGCCAAAGGAAAAAAAAAGTCATTGTGAAAATGAAGGAAGCATGCAAATAAATAGATATACTTCAAGTGAAATCAATTTTGTTGGCTTTATAATGTTTTGATAATAAAGAATATATTCAATGTTGGTTTTAACCAGATGTTGGTCTGCAGTCTTATTTGATCATAAACAAACATCTTCTAATAGCCCAAATTTCACCGCAGAGAATTCTCATTTTGAACTCTTCTCATGGTTAAATGATGAACAAGTTTTCAGACTTAAATTTTATAACAAACAGAAGAGATTTCACTTGTATGTAAAGATAAGCAAAAAGAATATACACTAAACTGAAAAGAGATTATTAGATTTTACATTATATTTATGCCAAATTTTTTTTTTCAATCTATGACTATGATATATACAACTATTTGTGGGTATCCCTGAATCAGAAAAAGGTTTAATTATCTCTAACTATACATGTACAACTAAAAGACCTACTATTAGATAATTAGTAACAGCAGTACAATCAAGACAGTTCATTACTGTTATTCAACAAGTCATGTTACTGATGTTCATTAATGTGAAATACATCCGTATATTGACTATAATCTGACTTTTCACTATGATAATTATGATGAAGATACAACTATTTATCCAATAACTGGATATTTAAAAACACTACTGATCAAACTTATTTTCAAATCATTATCTTGACAATCAATATGCCCATTGGGCTATCGAACACCTTTTTTCATCTGATTTGTCCCCCAATGTATACTCTGCCAAAAACTCATTAGTGTCAATTCTTTTTCAGACAGGGATTCTAGAACTAAAATTGAGACTTGTGTTGGCCAATTAAAAGAGATTCTAATACAAAAACAATAACGAACTGCATGATGGAACTAATTATAAAACTATAATTAAAACTGAAATTAATTGGTTTATGATTAGTAATAATTAGTACCTCTTATACTACTGCTAGATGTAGTAATAGTTGATTTAGAAGGAATAGATGAAGAATGAGACCTTCCAGGTACAGCCACTGTTTGATGGCGAATATCAGGGGATTTGGATGCTGGTAGTACCTTGCGTCTCGGTACTGGTGGCACTCTGCGATTAGGTGGCGGTGGAATCTGAGAAAATGGCATTGGGGGTACAGGAGGTGCTGGAGCATTAGACATATCTCTTGTAATCAACTGGGGCGTTCTTGATCGTTCTACTTGATTTTTGGAGGAAATAGGTTTTGGTGTTCTCAGTATTGATTGTGGTGTTTTTGGCCTTTCTAATGAATCTTTAGAAGTCTGCATTGACTGCATGGGATTGGAGACTGAACTATGCATTATTTTATCTTGATCAGTTATATTCCCATTTCTATAGTACTGAGGTGTTGAATAAATTTTGTCACTGCGTTTAGATGGAATAGGCTTAGTGTGACTACCAAATTTCTGAGTTGGAAGACTCTGAGTTATTATTTGTGAAGATGCTGATCTGGGGACATTACTGTTGGTGTTGCCACCATAGGTTGGCAATCTTTCTCTTACCGATGATACTGGTGTTGTATGACTGTTACTGTAAATGCTACTAGTATTTAGATAACCTCTGCTATTTGGTAATGGGGTTAGGGATGAAGTAGCAGTTGACTGTGGAACAAAATTATCAGTCACAATTGATGAATTTGATCTAGATCCTATTTTCCATTCTCCACCCAATTGATCGAAGTAATCTAATGTCATTCGACTTACTGAAGATGGAGTTCTTGCTCTAGGAATAGGGTTTGTTAAAGGGGTTCCATCTGCAATTGAAGTAACCTCTTTTAAAATGTCCTGTGAAGGAATGTATGGGTCATAATCATATTTGGATAGACTATTACCAGTATTTGTTTGATTCCTGAAGGAATCATCATACGGTTCATCTACTGGGACATGTGTGATATTAGTCGTGTAATTTTTATCTCTAATTTCATAATTTTGCTGCATGTCTCTTATTTTAAAGCGAGAACTAAGGAGGTTTGTTTCAAGACTTGTTTGGCTTTCAGAAGATTCTTGTCTACCTATAGGATTCCACTGATGGTTTTCCCATTTCTTACGTACATCAGATAAGTCCCCAGACAATGTTCGTGGTAAGGAACTATTAACTGGCTCATTGACATATTCATTTCCAAGAGTTCTTCTCCAATGCCGCTTATTATTGAGGTCCTGGTCAAGATAGATCTGTGACTTAGCTGATCTAGGACGCTTTGGGTCATATTCCATCATGTTAAGATCTGGTTCAGATTTTGCTTTTTCTATACTTGTGCTTGGTGGGTACATCTCCCATCGTCTTCCAATATTTGAGCTAGACTGACTGACTGATAAGTCTTCATCACTGTTCACTATAAATGTCTCTGTACTACTATGCACATAGTTTGAAGAAACTGAATTATTTCTTTCAGTGAGATTCTGTGGCTGCCATCTCCGTAGAGACCCTTGTGATGAAGGAGGTTCGTTGTCCAGAGGAGTTTGTGTGCTGTGATACTTGTCATATCTGGATGCAGTAGGTCCATGGTCAGATTGCCTAGGTAAAACTGTTTTATTTGGTTTTGACTTGGCTTCCATTACTGAGGAGTATGCTGGTGGATGTGCATAAAATTCATTTTCTGGTAGTGTTTTGGCTGTGGCAGCTGACTGCTTGTGAAAAATTGAGTTTCCAGAAACACTTCTTTTAGGATGTTTCAATGAATTTGTGGTATTGAGTCTTTGATATTTTCTATCTTGATAGGCTAATGCATCTGGTGAGGTTTCCAGTTTTATTGGATTCAGTGACGTTATAACCGTTTTATCCAACCCACGAGATCTCTCATCATTCAATTTTTGCATCAGTTCTAGTTTTTCATCAAGTGGACTTTTTCTGTTATTTCCAAGATCTGTATACTTAAAAATATACTCATCTGAAACATCTGAAGAGTTTTTACTGTCAGACTTTTGTTGATAATGGGGATATGTTGGACTTGGAGGTTTATCTTTCATAAAAATACTACCTTTCGAAGGTGGCAGAGGAACAGGTTTCTTTGTTGGTTTCTCATGCCGACTAGGGTTTACTTCATGTAGACTTTTGGCTCTCCTTAATTGCCCAAATTTACTTTGAGAAAATTCATTATTTTCTGCTAATCCTCTTAAATCTTTAACTGTAAATTTATTTGGTGTTGTTAATTCTTTGTTAGATGATCTTAAATCTTCACTGTTGATGTTGTTAAAATCATTATTTGTAGAAGTCGATATCAATTTGTCATCGAGATCACACTGAAAGTCAATCCATTGTGACCCTGTTTTATCAGCATTTACTTCACTAAAAGGTTTGTATAAGTTTTTCTTGTCCTCCCTGTTCGTAAGATAATCCATAGACTCTTTGAAATCATATTTTGGGGATTCGTCCTGTTTGTTCCACTTGATTCTTGATCCTGTATAAGTTAAAGATTCCTCTGTAACTGATTTTAAAGGATTTTTGTTGTATTTTAGTTCTTCCTGAAAAGGTTGGAAAGTATTTAGAGTGTCTGGACCAACTTCCACAGCATAATCCTCATCATCCTCAATATCATCTTGTTTTCCAATACCAAAGAAAGACTCTTTAGACGAATCACTTCTTTGTAAGAAAGAGTATTTTAGGCTGCTGGCGTTTTTCTTTGTGGGTGCTGACATGCATCTCACATGTAGACGGTTAATATTTGGCTCAGATTTAGATAGATTCGTAACCTTTTGAACATGAACTTCATAGCTGTTTAATGGTTTTTCTATACTTGATCCATATATTGGTCTTGAGTAAGATCGCTTATTCTCTCTCTCTTGAATATCTAAATAAGAAGGACCTGTAGATGAACGCTCTCTAAATGGCAGATCACTGTCAACCTCATCTTCATTAAGGTAGTTTGATTTTTTGTATTTTTTATATAGATCTATGAACTCTTTCTCTCTTCTTATTTCATCCTCAAGTGAAAAGGCTGGTTTTGTTTTCAATTCTTGTTCTTGTTCAATGAAAGTGGATCTAAGATCACCCAAGGATTTCTCTTTCTTCAGTAACCCATGATCCTGGTCTGGATTCCACTGAAAAGATTCTTTATTTGATGCATTGTAATAGAATTCTTTATTCTTCTTGGCTTCCTCTAATTCCCCATACAGTTCAATCAATTCATCATCTTTATCAAATTCATACTGTGATTTAATATTATCACAATCAACTGCTTTGAGCTTAGACCTTGGGAGAGAGTGGCATTTATTTGCATTCCGTGATTTGTGTTCTATTTCTGAAATCCTTTCAAGGACAGCAAAGTGCTTCTGGAGCTTTAAGTACTGTTCTGATTTTCCCGTTGAATACAGGATACCTGCTGCATACGACTGGTAAGTATGTGGATCTAATCGAGAAGATCTCTCACTTGTTACTGATCCCCTTGCAGAAAAGGCTCGTGGAGGGAAATTTATAACAACTGGCGAATTTGGCTGTGATTTGCTAAAACTGTCTTGTTTCTTTGGTATATTTTTCAATTGGGGTTCCTCAAATACATGATAACCACTAGGGTTGGAAGAACTATCACGCACTTTGTGTGTCATTTCAATATAAGGTTTTGTTCTATCTGACACTTCAAAATCTTCTTTGTGAGAATAACGACTTCTTGTTGAAGAGCTCTTACTTGAATTATGTTCTGGAGAAATGATCACATCAGTGTTAATGCTTTGTTTTGTTTCATATGATCTTTGTCTGTCTAGCAATTTATCACGTTCTGTATCTACCGACCTCCACAATGATTTATCACTATTTGAGTCTAAATTGTTAAAATCTAAATGACTTGGCTGATAGTCATAATATTGTTCTTGATCTTCAAATTCCTCCAAAGCATTGTCATTTAACTCATCTTCTAATATTTGAAAAAGACTTTCTTGATGTACAGTTTGTTGAGCGGACTTTTGTCTTTCAAATGACTTGTTCCGTTCACGATCAATTGATCGCCACAATTGTTTATCAATTCCTATATCAGGGTTGTCCAAAGTATTCCTTGGGGAATGTTCTGTTGGCAGTTGGAAGGAATATTTAGCCTTTTCCTCTGCTTGGGCAAAGGCATCACTTAAAGCACTGGCTGTATTTGGTGATAGTTTTTCCTGTTGTAACAGTCTCATATAATGGTTTTCCACCCTTTGACGATATTCTTTCCTACGGCTGTGGTCATCCTCATCGGAATAAACAGAACTACTACCAGAAGAACAATCAGGTAGAGTTTCTACAACAACCTGTGGTTGATTCACAAAATGTAGAGACTCTGGTCTAGGACTAGATGTTTCACGTTCACTATAAGTCCGTGATCTATTCACATCATTACAAGGCTGAATTTTCAAGTCGATAATCTTTTTAGAATATCCAGTTGGTTCATACACACAGTTTTCATTGACAACATTCATGTGAAAGGTATGTCCGCGCCCAGATCCATCATTAAATGCATAAAACTGTCCAATACCCGGTGAAGATTGAGAAATATTAGAGGAATTAGTTGAGTTGTAGTGAGTATCAGTGTTAAAGTCATATTGAGTGGCTGAGATCTCTGGCTTGTTAAAACCACTATTATTGTTATCATACTCAGGTTCATGGGTGAAATGGTCATAGCCACTATCACTATTATCATATCTACTGATATCCATGGCTGATATATATATATAGTGTTATTGGTTTAATGACTAATGTCCTACAGAGTTAGTTCTTACAGTTAGTTCTTGTTAATAAGAATATTCGGTTAGCACAAGCATTGATTGACATCACATCACTTCTGTCATGCAGTAAGGAAATATAGAATTATCTTTTCATCCACCATGCATTGTCTTCTTGGGGATCAAAGGGTGGTAAATCACTGCAATAGCAACAAAACACATTGTGTATTGACTGCCATCTTGGCATGTAGTAAATCTATCACAAGGTAATATTTATCATATCTAAATCGATTAAAGAACAATTTTAAAATTTAGAATTTCGAGCAGATAAAATAGATTGTTAAGTGTTAATTTTTGTTAATCAATTTGTTATAAAGCTGCTGGTTAGAAGGGAGAAAAGAATATAATAACAAGGAAGAGACCTCACCACTCAAATTACAGGAAAATAACATTGATTTATTGGACAGATTGTATGCAAATAAATGGATATCTAAAGCGAGAACTACACATACTTACAGATTAAATCTTTCCCATATATAGTTTAAATCAAACACATCGTTGATACTAGTCAATAGTAGTCTTAAAAGTGTCAAATGTTACCATTGAACAAAGTCCATTCATGTTTGCAGAGAACAATGAATCCGACTGATAAATATATCAACTGTTACAGTAGGTGTTATGTTATTGTTGTGATTAGCTAATAATATATAATATCTATCATGCTTAAGCTTAGGTTAAAATAACATTTATCAACATCAGTCATACACACATCATACCGCTCTAAACTACAGTCTAAGGAGGTGTTCACATCTAAATCTACAGATAATCTTTTGGTTTTAAACAGCCTTTGTACAGATATGATTTAGGATACCCACAAATAATGAAAATGAATATATTTGGTGTGTTTGTTTAGCAAAATATTCAAATAGAATAAAATCTTTCAGTATGTAATACATGGAATTGCATGGTTGTGGATAAAATGAAAAGCAAACTAGAATGAAATTCATCCAAATTAAATGATTTTGTGTACAAAATAACTAAGGCCAACAACATTTATAAGATAGTAAACATCAAAACCAGCAGCTTTTAGCATTGATTTCTCAAAAGTTTTTAAAAAGATATAGCCTAATTGTCCAGAAGAAAAAATAAATCACTGGTAGAGATTTTTCCATGATTGATATAAATAATTCTCACTCTCTAAACTAGGAATAGTACTAGTACTTACTTTTTGGCTTGGGAGGGGCAGGTTTTTGTAACCCATGGATAGGGATTTCACCTCCTAGTTGCACTCGTTTATAAGATTCTTTATCATCACCTGGATGATCATCAGGTAGGGGCTCAGCCTCTATCTGTTTTTTACCACCAACAGTACTATAAAATACAACAAACAAACAAAAATTATAGTAAGATTATTCAAGCTAATATAAACTTGACAATTTGATGCAAAATTAGCAATAGAAGTGGTTCTACCAGTTCTCATCACAATATTACCAGATTTGTTTACATAGTAAGAGATGGAAGAACAGTTTCAGAAAAAGCATTAAAAAAAGTATTAAATCAGGGAGCTTTGCTATCTGAATTAACATTCTTTTTTATATGAATTTATGGTTCCTACACCATATGAAGAAAATTTCAGGTTTACTATCTCATGCTTTACTAAAACAGTTCTTCCATCCCTTGCTATCTAGTCTTGTTGGTTTCACACTTAAAACAAATATGGTATGCAGATACACCCACAGACTAAGGATCTGTTCTGGTTGTCCCCTCCACCGCCTGTCTAATACCAAACACCTGCGGACTATAGGTATATTTGTAGTATATACTTGGAGTAAATCGATACAAAAATTTAAATGACAGTGACATTAGGTAGGTGGTAATATTATACTAATAAGCTATTGTTCTTTGTTATAAAATGTGTGTGAAGAGTATACAGATTGGTCTATACACTGTGTAACAGTTTATATAAGTTCTTTGATCAGAACTACAGTTAGCCCACAGAATCAATACAGAAAGTATGATATATGTATGTGCTGCACGAGGCAAAATCCATGTTACAGGTAGCAAGTTTAATCAATAGCACAGAATTTATCAAAATTAAAAGAAATGTGTTTATTAAGCTTGTTGTTTATGTCAGCAAATTATAGGAGTATGTTGTGTATTAAATAAATAAATAAATAGACCTATATCGCTAGACCATGACGTCTGTCTGGAGTAGGTCAGAGGGTTTATGATAAAAATTGTCAGATTAACCTTAGATAATATTGACAGATCTAGACAGATTTATGAATTACCAACAGTTAACAACTCTTTGATATTTATCATTTACATTTTAATCTTATTTTGACCCGTAATTTAGCACAAATCAAAATGAACTTGCTAACTTAAAAATTCCCCTTGAAGAAATTTCTGTTTTGTGTACAATTTGTGTACTATTCTTGCATATTTTAACAATTCATATAAAAGAAAGAGTTATGTGTTATCCATTTGTATATAATATATGTATACTGTATGTAAATGAAAGACACTAGAGGTGTAAATTGATGAGGTGACACTTTATGTATATGAATAACTTGACCACCCAATCTATAATCATATCTACCACATTATCTATAATATAAACCATATAAATAATTCAGGTAATATGACAGAGTGGATGTTATGAATAAAAAAAATACAATGAAACTTGTTTGCTAAGTGACTTTCCAAGTAGAATTAGAAGAGGTATCAGATGTTCTTGATAAAAGTAAGCATACCCATATCTTTCTAATTATAGCTATATTGGACCTGGATTTCTGAAGTCATAGCTATTTGGTAGCCTAGATGGTAAAAGAGAGAGAGAGAGAAATGGGATTTAACGTCCACTCGACACAAACTAGGTCATTTCGGGACTAACACATGGTTCAATTTTTTTCAATAATTCGCTTGCGTGTAGGGGTCTTTAGCAGTGGGAGGAAACCGGAGGACCCAGAGAAAACCCACGAGGTTGGACAGGCGACCCTACTCCTTGTCAGGTACAACCAGGGAATCAAAACCCCGCCAGTTGACTCAATGGCAGGCCGTATGATACAGCACGCACGTGCTAACTATTCGGCCATCCAACTCCCCTAGCCTAGATGGTAAACTCAGTACACTGGTCACAACCAAACATATGTTTAATAATAACAAAGATATGCGGAATTGAAATTTCATCAATATATGCTGTCGCTATGCAATAAGCCTGCTGCCAATTTGTTGTCAAAGAAAAATTTAATGATAGGTCGTTTTAAATCCAATTGAATCCAAGCTGGGACATTATCTAACATTAGTATTTTGATTTTGTTTTCTTAATTAGATGCTATATAATCAATCTGAATACATGTATATATATTAGAGTGGATTATCTGTGAGAAATTAGATATTTTAGTGAATAGTACTAGTTAATTTGGGATGATTTACATATTTAAACACATTTTTATCTGGGGCATCCTGTGAAATCTGTGATTTCCCCTTTAAATACCAAAGTAGTATTGTATGTATTCTTTAGTACTACTGGTACATGTAAATGACACATTCACTTGTTAAGCTTACGAGGACATCAATGGTTCTATCAGTACTAGAAAATCAATGTTATTTATTCAGTACAGTTTATCTAAGGTTTAACTGTACCACATGTATGACAATCTTTTTAAGACCAGTTTTAATATTAATGTACAGACATGAAATAGCTATTTCAGAAACTTGTGGTCTTTCAACATTTTTCTGGTACAACCACAAATTCTTTGCAATACCTCAACGACAACCATCAAAAGTCATCAGATAAAGGTCAAGCTATTGTAGCTGTTTTAATATTCAAAACCCGAAATTTTCATTTTCACATGAAAGCCTTTGGTTATGTTTTATTACAAGACACTCATTATGGATATTTTAATGATAATACAACACTCAATAAGGTTTAAACACATGATGTAAAATAAGTGTAGTTCAGTGAGCAAAAAATATGTGATTCAGTAGAATTATTGGAGCAGAAACATCTCACAACAATAAAATAATTCTTCATTTTACTGAAATAATCTATCGGTTGTCTGTTCTTTGCCTGCCACATGATATAATACCTCTCACCTTAGTAGATAGTTTACATTAAGCATAGGTTACAAAAAGATTCATATTGTTCAACCTGGTGTACAATACAATACCCCCCTCCTGGTGACTCTAGGCTCAAGTTAAAAAAGAACCTAAAAAGATCATCGGAAAATAGTAACAACTTATTTCACTTACACCTATATATATGTGTTTAGATGAATTAAAGCAGCTGATAGCCAATTGATTGAGCTATTTTGAAATTTGAATCCCTTGCAAATTGCAGTATTGTGAAGTTGAATCTTTAAAGGGAATGTCAGTTCAAAAATGGTTCAACTCCATTACTTAATTTACAAAAATATGCTAAATCAAAAAATTTCACAACATTTGCCTGTTTCTACTCATGATATAAGCATGCAAGTGCCATCTGTAAATGTTCGGGCCTCTTTTAATCCAAGTTCATCTACTGATGGTATTTTCATTCCGTTCTCTGAATTAACTGTTAAAATAATCTAAGTATATTTAAGTGTGGATTAAGCCATGAAAAATTAGATGTTGTCCGAAAAATGCGTAATTGGGATCAGAGACATTAATTTGTGTTATCATCATTCATATCATTCAATATTATGTTGAACAGGCCACTAGTATTTACACAAATATTTGACCAAATACTCATATGTTTTCCATACAATTTTCTTTAAACTGTCAAAGAAAACCAAATAAAAATCAGATATATCACAGTATGTAGCCTCTTCACACAATAATATACCTACACATGTCATATAGTTCAAAAGGTTTTGTGTAAATATTAAAGGAACAAATAGCCACTTAAAGATGACAGGTCAGAGAAGTGTTAGCGAAGTGTGAATTGTCCAGCTACATGTAATTCAACTTTTGATGTGTCAAATAAAACATCTAAAATGAAGTGATAATTATATCTAATGGAGTAGGAAATATGACAATATCCTCTTATTTTGGAAGTCGCAAAGAAGGACTAAATTTATGTTACCATTCTTGCTATTTGTATCATAGTAATAAAGTTCCAAACAAGAGATAAGTTGCATGGAAAAGGGATACAGAGGTGCCACTTCTAAATCTACCAGTAAATCATATGAACTCAAAAATTTTATGTCTTACCCCTCCCTGCCCTTTCATTCGAAGCTAGAGTCTAGCAGTGACCTCAATGAACCTAATATACTGCAATACTTCTGGATTATTTCTACTTACTTCATGGTAAAAGTGAAAATATCTTTATATTCCATGGTATCTAATTACTGATAGTAAATTCCACTAAACAAATTTGTCATGTAGTAAAAATCATTATTAGATTCCTGCAGACAAACACTTCAAGAGGGACACCATTTACATACTGAAAATATTTTCTACCTTATCATGATAAATTCGTTAGTCAAACTATATAAGAAAATATTGTAATCTAGGCAGTGTTAATTAGGTATGACTAGGGCAGTATTAGTTGTAGGTTTATCAGGATGAATAAACACAATCTGTCATGACATTATAACACCTTATTATCAGCTTTTCTACATAAATCTACATTGATAATATGAAGGTTATGTTTGGGAATTAGCACAAATGATTAAATCTCTATAAACTTGTAGAAGATTTGGCAGGTACCAGTAATAAAAATTTGTGCACTCAAGCTTTCTGTGTAATATTCACCCATGAAATATCCAGTCAATACTTATTTTTCGCTGAAGGACATGACTATAAGTTATATGATTGTATTTTTAAAGACAACCTGGAATAAATCCAAGCCTCCTAAATAGTCAGAGGTTAAAAAGGTTAATTGAGAGTTGAGACAGATGGACTTTAATTGTTCTTCACCTCAGTACTAGTTAATTAAAAGCACTGATAATCACGGTTATTTGATCCAGAAAGAATTGGTGAAATTGTCCAGCACATGTTCATCAAACAGACTGGAATCAGTTGCTAGGGTGGGGAGTTACCCTTCTTAATCACAAAATGAAAACCGGATTGGCCGTACTTTATGAGAAGTTTGACTATAGAACCTTAGCTGGCAGTAATGGTTGGGGATATTGATTGGTTAGTTTAGAAATGATTAGACGCTTTTATTTCTCATTAACTACAGACGGTCAATTTCACACCGTATAAGATAATCACTGAAGCTATAAATATGTTATTAATGTTGCAAGTAAAAAATTTTTCAGGATATTTTCCTACATTAGTGTAAATCTGAAGAACCTTATAGTTTGCTTTAGTACAGGTTATCCAATATTATAACAAGTGTAACAATAATAGAAGCACAAATCTTTTGCAGATTATTCATGTATGAT